AAACTAGAAATTTTTTTGAATAGAGATAGACTATGATCAAAAAAACCATTGATTTTAATTCTTTGATTTTTTTAAAAATTTTACAAATTGTCCTATTAACATTATTTGCTGAAATAGCAGAGATATTTCAAAACCTTACAAAATTTTGAATTTTCGAGAAAGTCCATAAATATTCAAAGCTCGGACTTCTGATCACGTTGAATTTAAAAAAAAAGTTAAAACTAACTTGATGAAATGGAAAATTATCAAAAAATATTTCTTTCGGAAAGCTCTAGTGTTACTGAACTGAAAACAGAACTTGAAAATTCACTATTATTCATGTTATCTGAATAATACATATTTTCGAAACTTTTTTGAAATATTACTTTGAGAGCAATGACTGAGGAGTTTTTTTGGCCTTTATGAGAACTTATTTTCAGGCATTGAGATCCCAATGAAATCATGAAGTCATACAAACAGAGTCTCAAAAAATCGAAAAGATTGCCTTTTTTCAAGGATTTGTTCTTTGTAGCTTGTTTTTTTTTCTCAACTTTGACAAGCCAATCGTTAATGGGCCACGTTTCAAACATCAAGAATGAAATTTTCATTGTAACAAAAAAGTCTAAAATAGAAAATTGATTTCTTTGGGAATCAAGCCAACTGTTTGATTGCGACCAAAATCAAATCAGAAACTAATTTGAGAGAGGAGAGTTTCTGAGAAAAAAGAGCGAAATCGCGTTGGTATGCGAGGCTTCTTCTGGCAGTTTACAGTGACGATAATAAAATGGAAGCGACCGACCACTGTAAATAGAAACAATGGGGCAACGCCTGACGCTTCGTCGAGACGTTTTTTGGCCTTGTCGCCATCAAACTTTGAGGGTTTCAATGATTTCTCAATAAATAAAAGCAAGGAGGCCAGATTCTTTATCAGAAAAAAGAAAGTGTCAAATGTTCACAATATGACAAATAACGTTTTCAGCAACTCGAACGCGCTCCGGACATTTCCGAGCATTTCTAGTGACCACTTTAGCGCCGTCAGTACTATCAAGAGGTTCCTATAAATGCGCAGAAACGTCCCGGGGGCGCCCGTTTTGCGTTACCAATGTCCGAAAAATGCTTCAAATCACAGCCCAAATTCTACTAAAAGACTTGAAAGAGCTTTACTGAAATTGCAAAAGAAAGATGTTCAAAAGTCTACCTGATATTTTTCCTACCAACCTAACATAAAATTGAGTATAACTAGGCTCAATCTTTGAAAAAACAGAAAAAAAATGATAAAGGCGCTTCAATCATCTGCGGAATGTCCCTTGAACGAACGGCAATTTGGAACAATTAATGGGTTTTTGTCTTCTTTTGCATCCCTTCTCCAAAATGATAAGGCCGAAAGTGATAAATTGATGAATGAGGCGTCGTCACAGACCGACGTGGGAAGCCGCGGCACGCGGAACAATTCCTCGGGCCGGTTCCTTTGTGTGTACGTTGGAAGAAATCAAAACAGAAGAAAAAACGACTCGGGTGTGGCTGATTATTTCAACTGACTCGGGTTTCTGGGAATGATTAGTTCCAGAAAGAGTCGTGTTATCATGGAAAAAAACGAGAGTTGGGAAAATAAACGCTCAAAGTTAGAAAGTGAGTTTCATGGAACAACTCATTCAGACTCTAGTCTGCTAAAACTCTTTAAACTCTTTATTTCTCCTCTTCCAAAAAATATGTTACTGAATCTTCAAAGTACTTATCTCGTCCTCTTATTCTTTCTACGGGGAATTTCTGAAGAATGTTGTTGGCCAACCTTTGACTCAGACACGTCTCACTGAAACAAATAATTCTCTATATGGAACCCCATTCCTTATGATTCAGCTTCTGACCCTGAAACCTCGCCACTGGAACTTCACACAATTATTTTTACTACGTGATTCATCGAAGTTTTTGAATGTTATATTTTCAAAGTTAAATTGTTTTGAAAAAGTTTCAAAATATAATTCTGACAAGAAGATTGAAAAATTTTTGAAAATGATAGTTTTAACAAGAAGATAAAAAGAGTCGAAAAAGTCCAACTGGTTCTAAAAGCGCGGAATACTTTTTCGAGCTGAACAAAAACTTTTTTGATGAGTTTCGAAATTCTCCATGTCCTTGAAAAACCCCAATAAGGATTTCCGAACTGACCGAGTGATTATTTTGATCTGAAGTTTTGCAACATTTCGGCATTTCTGACGCATGACCAAACGCATCGCGTTTTCACTTTTTTGCAAAACTTGTGGCGTATTTATTTTCATGAAGTCGAAGAATTTGCAGACAAAAAAGAAGTGTTTAAATTTAAACGAACAGTGGGCAGAAAAACAGAAAGTTGACGAATTTGAGCGGGCAGGTGGAAATCATGGGTTTGATCAGGAAGACTATTTGCAGAGGTCACTTTTGGGAAAAGATCTTGTTCTTTTTATATTTTTTTGACATCACAAAAAAAGGATAATTTTCTCAAAAAATGCAATTTTATTAAAGTTTTATCCTTGAAGCACACAGTCATGTATTTATTTTTTCGGAAAGTGGAAGCTGAAGTTTTAGATTATTTAAGACCTTTTTAAAACGTTCAACTTTCGAAAACTCCTTTTCCCAAGCTTTTATTCCGAACATTCTATCTACGATTAATTTTGAAAAACTCAACTTTTCAAAATAAATTATCTAGCCGCTATCTATGAGCCCAGTTTGAGTAAACCTTTTCTTTCTCCCAATTAAGATTTGGCTCAAAACTGTCAAACAGTGTTCTCTGACAATACTCTCCAACTTCGCCTTGTGGTTGCGTTCTTTGGGCCTGACCGTAGTCCAAATAATCACGATTGCCCCAAGCTGTCTGCAGCGTTGATAGCTGCTAATTGGCCGTTGAAAACGTGTCAGAGAGGGAGAGAGAGGGAGAGAAAGAGATGGGGTTGCTATAAATGTATTGGGAGGCGTCTATTTGCGGAATGAAGACGTCGTCGACGACACGCTCGTCTTCCCACGATAAACTGATTAAAGTGACATGATCGGCGGCGCATCGATTAGCCCCCAGGCGTTGGTCGAACCGCCGTCAGTGTTCGTCGCAATTCGCCGACAGTTCAGATCTTCAGATCAGGCCCGGTCGAAACAAGTGTTGACGAGTTCCTTCTCCCGTGTTTGCCACGTCTTCGGTTCCTACTTCGATTTGATCTTTTACACAATCAAGAGCAAAACTTCAAAAAAATAGTAGTCCGAGTTGAGAAGCTTGAATGAAATTTTGATAAAATAAGGTTCGATTCAATTTTTTTGGAATGGTGTACGAAAAAAGATGGAGTTACTTGTTTCGAGAACCAACGCCATTCAAAGCCCAACTCCAAAGTTTTAATTAACAACTCTTATAAAATCTGTAGAAGTTCAGAAAGCTACTTTGAGAAACCCAAGAAGTTCAATTTTTCAAAGAACAAAAAAAAAATCTTGTTTCTGATGTTTGTCAAACCTAAATAGTTCTAAAGATCTTTAGTTTTGATCAATTGGATGTTTGACTGAAAAGGCCAGACAAAACATTTTTCATGTAAAAATTGATCCTTGCAAAAAAGCAGTTGGAGCTCTTTAGGGCAGTTAAAAAATCTACCAAGTTCGTAAAAAACCAAAAAGTTTGAGAAACAAATTTTGGTTCGAGTGGAATGAAAAGAAGATTGAAAATCTTCTTAACTTGAGTTTCACGGGACTAGGGAAAGTTTGGGAAATATTTTTTGAATTAGATTATTTAAAATTGAGCCAAATCAAACAAATAGTATTCGATGAACTGCAATACGATTCATTCTTGTCAAAACGTCCTTTCTATTTGGCTGATAATTTTTCAAAGATATTCGATCGAGAAATCAGGTTTCATGTAATAAATAACTAAAGTACAAGTTGACATTTCCCAAATTTTTTTTCTCATCAAGTCCTGTTTTTTTTCCTCTCCGTTCCATTTTTAAAGTTCTCTGTCTGAGTTGACCAACAGTACATCACCACACCCTGTTCTTTTTTTAAAGATTTTTTATTTTTGGCCACAGAGGACATCGTTAGTGATCGAGGCCTTGCCCTAAAAAGAGAGTGTTTCAAATGAGAAAACTGTGAAAGAGAATCTTCTGAAAGCCGTCTAAGGTTCGGTGAAGCGACAAAACACGATGTTTGACCATTTTGTGTTGTGATCTTTTGTTGATCTGATCACAAAACGGAGAAATAATCAATAAAAGTTTTTTTTCGCCATGATAATTGTACTTTGAACCCGTGAAAGGGTGAACTTCGTACTATCGAAAGTGATTAATTGACACAATCCATCAATTTGTCACTTCATGTCGGAAAATTTAGTTTAAACGCCATTTAAAGTTAATTTATCCCATTAATTAAATTTTCATCTGGAAAAATAGATTTGCATTGTAAAAATTTTTTTGAAGATAACTTCCAGGTGTTGAAAAAGCGCATGAACCATAATATTGGAAAATTTTTTTTAAACGAAGAGCCATTTCAGGTCAAACAAGACTTGGACTAGTTAAAAAAACAAAGTTGAAAAATTAAAGTAACAATCTTTCGAAATTACTATAAAAAAAGCTACTAATTCACCATAAGCTTTCCACCTATTGATTTTGCAATCGATCAAATTTAGCTGCTTATTTCTTGTCAAACATTTTCTGTGTAAAAATCACTGCACAATTAGAGAAATTCAAAATTTATTAACATTTGGAGAAGAAAAAATGAACAAAAAATCGAAATATACATAAAACACATTTTGTGAGAAGTTTGAGATCAATCCAGTGAACTGGGCAACGTGTAACCGCGTATTCCGCAACAGAGAAAAAATAATAAAATAAATGACTTAAAGCCGTGACTGTTGGAGAGGGTTACGATAACCCCTCAAGTGACAAATGGTCCCGTGAAATTAAAACAAGTAGCAAAAATAAAATGAGGGAAAAGAAAGTTAAAGCTGACGTCGGTCAAAGAAAAAGCTCATGTTGGAGGCAAAAAAAAAGAAAAAAAAGAGGATAAAACAAATATGAAGGAGATAATTAGGATAAGAGAAGCGTTGGCCGGTCGTGGCATGTTATGGACCGGGAGTGGAGCGTCTGACGACGTCGTGGGACTCCATAGCGGAGGATCATCTTCGTCGACGGCCGAAAGAAGGCGTCGGAATGAGAATGGCTCAGTAAAGGTCGGCACAGTCTTCTAGCGAGTACCGCCAGGGAGGCAAGCATGTAGCCATTTGAGCGAGACGGTATTTTCGAAGCCCTGGGTGGTGCCGGTAGAGCACGACAGTGATGCGAATCAGAAATGTTTGTAAGAGGCCGCAAAATGATATATATTTATGCGGTGGTTTTGTTCTCACGAATTTGTGGGCGGAGTTGCAGCTGCACTCGCCTCGTTTATATAGAGACGAACTGGGCGTGGCACCGCCTCTCTTGTTGGACCAGCCCTCGTCGTTCTTCGCGGCGTGACGCAAGCAAAGGGACCTTCCACGCCGCCTCCGCTGGTCCGGCAGAACCTCCGGAAAGATGTTTTAGTTGATCTCCGAGTCTTCGGGAAAGCTCTGGTTTTTTCTCGGAGCAAAAGGATCAAGCTGAACCCTTCAAATGGGCTCTATATTAGAGATCACTCATCAGCAATAGACATCATCGGGTTTATTGTAAAGGTCGTACTTGAATAATTATTTCACGTCTCCTGTTGTTGTTGTGGCTTTCCATACGTGTCAGACTTTTGCTATTTTTAGAAGTGTTAAGAAAAAATAGGTGGGTCGATCTGTCATGACATTGTTTTCGTGAAGAGTCAGGTGTTAGCATATTCGTCAACTGTCTATGATGACAAAAGAGATTAAATTATGAACTGTGAGCTTTTATCAGGTTAGAAGTGGACAAAGTATCTTAGACCTTTTTTTTGAGCTTTTGCGGTTTTCTAACTGATCAAAACGGCGAATACAACGATTATCGAGTTATTCTTTTTTTTCTTACTGAAAGAAGGAAAATTTTCAAGGAAGGTTTCTTATAAACTTTCAAGTTTTATGAGTGAGCAAAATTTGGGCAGCTAAGAGCTGATTTTTTCCTTGAAAGACAGCTGTAAGCTGAAATCTTTCTTCAAAAATTCTTCAAGAATTATCATTAAGTTTTTTTTGTTTAGAAGCTTTACAAGAAACTCAAAAGAGCTTCACACCTTAATTGCTTGCTAATCTATATTTTTTTCAAAAATTTCCATTTCACTTTCAAAAAAATATAAAGAAGATTACTAAAGTCTGATTGAAACATCAAGTAAACTAATTTCTCCTAACTTTTCAAAAAAATAAAAAAATTATGTGTTTTTCAATCACTCTGCAGATGGGAACTATCAGTACTCTCCGAAAAAAGCTTGGAACCAAGTTTTCTTTTTAAAGATCTGGACTTGATTCTCCACCTTAATTACCCAAAACTGAAACTGAAGCTCAAGAAAAATGTAGTTTCAACTTTAATTAATAGCTCTGATCTTTTGAAACAAGGGAAAGACCAATTTGGCACGGAAAAGGAGGAAGAAGCCTTTGCAGGCGGAAATGCCAAAGGATTTCGAGCTGCAGATTCAAATCGAATTAAAGGCGGACATGACGTCGTGAGTGACCATCCACGTCTTTTCCGTATTCGGAGCCCCGACGTCAGATCGGTCGCCCACGCGTTGGCCGAACTGTTCCCAGTTCATCTCGCGCAAACCGCAAATGAATCATTTCTATATTTGGAAGCGATTCTTCGACAAATTCTTCCGGTGTTTATTAGATTGTTATTTTTCTTGAATTACGACCTATTTACCATGATAAAACAGAAAAGTCCACTTCTTCCGATTCCTCAAGTTTACTGGTGATTGGATTTGAAAAAAAAAGTATGTATGAAGAAACTTTTTTGCAAAAAAATGCTCCAGTCTACACCCTTAAAATGAAGAAATAAAGTTTCCGACCAAAAGTATTCTTCAAGGTAATTTTAAAGGGGCAAAGTCTTATATGAATATTAAAAACCTCGAGAAACCCTATTCAAAACTTTTGAAAGAGTTTCAGAGGCTTTCCTAAAAATTTCAATTGCATCATGAAGCGAGACCAGTTGCTCCTGAGCCAGTTTAGATATTTCAATTATATTTTCAAACAAGCCCTTACGGAAAACTTTTTTTGTTAATATATGAACTGTACTCCATACTTCTATAGTTTATTAGCCGTGGTCAAACAGTTGAGATCGTCACGGTTGCGTTGCGGCTTTTGAATACTAATTTAAATGCAGCAGTTTTCTCTGTTAAGTTACGATGTTTGGTCTCAAGTTAACCGTTAAATTTGGAGCTTGACTCTTTTCCTACGACCAAGGCTTTCTTGCTAATTCAAATTAAGTTAATTGGGCTCTAATTTCTCTAATGACTCAAAAGATTAGTTATAACTTGTAACTATCATCTTCGATACAGATGAAAAAAAAAATCTTGAGCAAAAAAAAACAATTTTAATCTCGGGAGCTGGACCAATCAATAATTACTTCAAGGAATAAAAATGGTGTCTGAATTGGAACACGGAGCTCCGTATTTTTCTTTCTTAATAACTCTTATATTATTAGAAGGTCAGTCAGAGAACCTCCCTTTTGTATTCCGGTAAAAATTTTCCTTCAAAAAAAAAAGCTGTGACGTAGACGAACACGTCAAAAAGGAGAACTTACAGTAATCCTATGATTCAATCATCGGTCCCAAGTTTCGACTAAGTGACGGGTGTGGTCGGCGTGAAGATCTGGGTGGGTCTAAAGAGCCTCCAATCGGCCACCAAACCGTTCCTGACCATTTTTCCGCGTCTCGAATTGAGGTGTGGCCGGCTAATTTGTCGAGATTCGCTAATCGGTTGAGGCAAAACCTGAAAAAAGTTGAAAATGAAGAAAAATGTCCTCGAAAGTCAGCTTTCAAATCGTGGGGTAAGCCCTTTTCGTTGCGAATCAACAACCAGTACGGTCGTACTGGATTTGCGTGGGATGACTAACGTCTTTCAAAGTGCTTCGAGCTCCCAGAAAAAGGTGCTTTGGATAGTTTGCGAAATAAAGTAACAAGGCGCAAACATTCCCTAGGCAAACACTTCAACCGGTCAGTTGCAAAGTATAAGAGTTTCTGGAATCGACTAATATCTGCAAGAAAAAAGAGAAGAACTCTCTACGGCTAAAATGATCAAATCAGGCTTTTGAGCCTTAAAAGAAAGTCAAAAGAATAAGATTACTGAAATTTCTACCCAAATTTTTGGAATTATTTGCAAAAAGATCATGTTCATTACAAAGCTTCAAAATAAAAGACTTGAAATTTTCACACTATCATTCAAGTTTAGGAAGTGAAGCTGGTTAAGACAAGTTTTAACTTTTTAAGAATAAAAACGCCTCATCATACTATTAATATTAACGGTTCCGACAGTCCTGAAAAAAATTTATAAGTCATTCTTATAATAAAGATAAAAATTTCCCCAGGAATTTTTCTGACCGTAGGAAAGTTGATTAACACATTTAAAAAACTATTGATTTAGACTTTTCTCCGGCTAGGAAATAATGAAGCTATATAATAATAAATTCACAGCATTTTTCCATAGATCATCTTTTTTTCTTTCAATTAGAAATAACAAAAATCCATTGAAGTCGGCTTTTCGAATCTCTCACACCCTCACTGTGTCTTCACTCAGGAAGTAGATATGTTTATGTTTTTTGCTGCTCGAAATAAACTAAAAGAGATAAAAATAACGGTTTTAATGGCCGGAAGTCTGAGGTGGCTGTGGGTCTCGCGATGCTCAGGAATGCTAATAACGTGGGAGTTTTCGGTAACCCAAACCTCCGAACACACGTTGATCCTCAAAACAATAACTTCGCCGTTCAAAACACTACACCGAAAACCGGAAGCTCTTGTCCTTTTATTCTTTTTTGATGTTGTGCATTTTTTTTTCAAATTTTCTTTGCAAACTGCAGGCAAAACTTGAAAAAAAGAGAAAAGCGGAAGCTCAATCTCGTTCAAACTTTTTGACGATATTGTGAAAAATATTATCGCCTCTAACGCTAAACTAGAACCACTTCAAAAAGAAGGTTTTTAAATTTCAAAAAAGCATAAATAACCGATGAACTCGGAAAATAGAAAAAGCGTACAGAGTTGAATTTCAGTAATGTTACTCAATATGAATAGTCCAAAACGCGTTCTCGCGATAACATACAGCAGATAGTCAGTGAAAGTTGAAGCTATATGAAAATATTAGAAAGCTTTCCGTTTTGATGTTTCCGACTCGAACCGAAGAGCTAAAACCTCACCGTATTTTCAGGAGAATCGCAATATCATTCTTTCCCGCCAATCAATTTCGAAGAACTCCGGTTCGTTGTGCGTATTATCAACGTCAGACTTTCTGAAAATCTCTCTTCACTGCAATATAACATTATTTATCCTGAAAGCGGAAATATTACAAATTCCGACGGCTGAACTCAAAATATTTATGAATTTTCCCTACGGCGACATTTCAAGGCGTTAATTTTTTTTTCTCTATCAAAAATAAGCTTTTTTTCAAACTTCAGAAACAAAAATAGAAGATAAAAAAAGTTCTAAAAAGTTTTTTTAAAAAGAAAACGAATAATTTTTGAATAAAAAAATTTTTTTGTTATCCGTAGAGCGAACTTGCTGCCACAACGCAAAAAAAATATTTCCTACTGATTTTTTTCTGTGAATTTTTTCAATCCTCTTTTTTTCAATTGAAACGTTTTAGTTGAATTTAAATAGCATATTTATGCGGTTATTCAAGTGGACTGTCAGAATCTCAGTGGGAAGTTTCATGAGATGGCTTCAAATCTCTTTTATTTTCACATGTCTTTTATTCTCGGCGTATTACAGCTATATGTGTTTAGTTTTCTACTTCTGACATTGGTAGTAAAACTTCATTCTCAATCCTTGTTGCCCATAAAAAACTTACTATGATCAGAAATGATCGCAAAAACAAATAAACAAGAGAAAAACATTTTTATCCAAATTTAGTTCAAGCAAATGATGTGATTTCCAATTTTATTGGTGCAAAAACTGTTGAGAATCTTGCAGTCATGCTTGTCAACACGATTTGCTCGATTTTTCTAGAAAAATACCTACCAAAACAAAACACAACAAAACAACAATCAGTACGGAACCTGCCAAATTGAACTGTAAAGTTTCAAAAACCAAATTCGCAGGGTGAAAAAAAGAAGTGTGAGGTGATAAGAACAACTTGTTGCGTTGCCGTTCGTTTCAATTAGTTGTAAGTCCCTGACGTCATATCTTGTGGGTGACGTCCAAATTAGGGGAGCTGTCTGAAGACGTCGAGCGGCTCCAGAAGGCCGGTCGACGATCTCTTTTTTCTTTTTCTTTTGTTGTTCTTTTTTTTGACGTCGCCCCGCCACCGCGAACACGTCAACATTCCAGGGCGGCCGTTTTTGGTGCGAATTCGGTACTTTCTTTTGTTTTCTTTTTTTGAAACTTTCCCATCGTTCTCCTATTTTCTCTGGCAAACACGATGCCACGGACCATTTGTTAAGTTTTTTTTTTAGTCTTACAAGTTAGAAAAAAAGGGAAAAACATTTGAATGAATGTTAAAGAGAATATTTTTGGGTATAGAAAGCGTGTTTTCTTTTTGAGAAGCTGACCCTTGACCTTTTTGAATGACGACTAACTTTACACGGCAAAAAATTACTTTCATTAAACTTTTTTATTTGGCCGTTTTCTTTATGAAGTTTTTCTCTCATGCTTTTTCGAAAAACCTTTTTTAAACTGTTTCAAGTGTGAGTGTGGCTTCAATTCTGCTTTGTTCAAAATTCTCTTTTGAAAATTTCTCTCTATTTTCTCGGTTTGCATCATGGAAAAATATTTTTGAACACATGCGTGTCACAGATGCAGGCTCGAGTCGGCTGCAAAAAAAGAACATCTGAGAGGGATACTGTAACTTCGCTTCAATTCTCAAAAAACGCCCGCTGACCGTGGAATGCCAAGGTCTGACGTAACGACACATGATAGCCAGTGGAAGGTCTGTTTTTCTAAGAAAGTTTCGAAATTTTCGAAATCAGGGACCTCTTCCTTGAAAAAAATCTTTTGAGATTTTTTAAAATAAGCTCGCATCAATAGGATCGTCAAATTAGGAATTTTTGAATTTTTTTTTGTTTCAATAATGTAATGAAGAATTTCTTTGAGACGTTTTTTTTCAGTCCTAGGCCCATCAAAAGATAAACCCGACTCAAGCCGCAACGCGACCGCGACGCTTCAAGAACTTCCTTGATTCCTACCAGAATAACGGAAAAAGCTAAATCCAAGAACTTGCAATCACAAGTAAAGCAGAGATAGTACAGCTGGCAGACTTCCGGCCTCTTTTTTTTTCCTGGAGTCCGGCAGTTCCGTCGTCAGAGCGTCAAGTGTCGGCTATCCGGTGACAAAGACGTCGTCGAAATACGCACGCGTCGTGCTAAACTTAGCACCTCGGGTCAAGGTATCGGCAAATGAACACTTCCCTTTGTTATGAAAGCTCTGAGGGGTTTGCAATTTTAAAAAAATTTTTTTTTTATGAAGATCACTCTGTTCTCTTTTTATCGCTGTTTTCATACATTCATAATATTTTCAATAAGACGCGTAGCGTGTGCGTTCACCACGAGTTCATCTCAGCCGCCACTAATTATTTAAAAAGCTCAAAACCGCTCTTTTTGTATCTATTCAACTATTTTTCGATGCAAAAATGAAAATAATCGATAAATAATCAAAAAAGAAATGAAAAGAGCAATGAAAAGAGCTTTCCAAATAATCGCTGGCGCTTGAATTGAACTCGTGCCAATAACCGCAAACGCACACGCTACGCGTTCCTCGTCTTTCAAGTCGGAAAAAGTTGCATTATTTCTCTACATTTTCTTCTTATGATACTTTGAAAAGAAAGTGTTGAATCTGTTTCAAATTTTTACGATAAAACGGTTGAAGAAAGATCTTCCAAACGAAAAAATCCGCACCGTCTTGAAAATTGCTAAACTGTCTGCGAGAGGAGCAAAAACCGCCGAGCGCAGATCAAGGCAACATTTACAGAGCGAAAAAGTTTCCGCTTGCTCTAAAAACTACGTCAATCGGGACATTTCCCACGTGGAGGGAGAGAGGAAACATTCAGTTTTGCCTCATTTTCTTCTACGTCAGCAAAAACGTCTGGACAGATTCCAGCAACGACGGTGGGTGACCTGCAAAGAGAAAAGACAAACTTTTCTGAGAGAAGCAACTCTTTCGAAGAATTTATCTTTGGTCACGTATCTCTCATAGAGAGAGTGTTGCTACTTTTGTGCGGGAGGGGGGGTCTTTCAGAAATTTGAACAATATTTTAACTTGAGTGACTTTACTAATCTATAGGAGGTTGCTATAGTCAATCCTTCTTGAATTGGAAGGCTAGATGAGTAGACTGGCAAGAGGGCGCGAAGAGGCTGACGAAAAAATTGATTTTGTGGAAAAAATATAGAAAACATAGATTTTCATTATTTTTTTCAAAATTTTTTTGTCGATGTTCTTTTCTTTATATATTAAAAAAATGAAAGAAATATTGAAAAGAATATTTGAAAAATTTGTGGCTCGTGTTTGAATTCGATTTTGCCGCCAAAAGCCGCGTTGCGTACGCAACGCGTTACTCTTGCCAATCTACCTATCTTGCCTTCAAAGTCAGGAAAGATGGACTATGAAAGAATCAAATTTTTTTCTTAGTTTTGTCACAAAATTATTATCTCTGAAATTACCCTAGTTGATTTTTTCAAACTAGTCTTTTTATTGCCTGTAACAAATTAATGACGATGAAAATCGATTATTTCATATCCTTGAACTTTGCACCAAAAGGAAAAAAACCTGAAGCGTCACAATGAAAAATGATTGGCAAAAGAAGACGAAGCACACAGGAAAAGGGAGAAAAAGTCGGCCGTTCGGCGAACTGTGTACCGGGTCGTCGTCGTTTTTGCAACAAGGTTGACTTGCTTTTCTTTTCTCTTTTTTTACGTTCTGCCTTATTAGACGTTCTTGTTCTACCTGTCATCAACAGGTGAAAATTCAACAAAGTAGAAAAACCTGTTCGGGGAAAAATTTGTGGTTAAACGAGTACTTTTATTCCAAAAGTTCTTGCTACTGTTTAAAAAAAGATCCAAAAACTTTATGGTCTTGGAATACTTATTTGCCTTTAAAAATTCAGAATTTTCAAATTTCGAACAGGAACCATTTATTTTCTAATTGAAATAATGTGAATTGTGAAAGTTGAAAAAAAAAAAATTATATCATTTTTCACATGGATTTTCATACAAACATTTTCAACAAAATCACAAAAATCAAGGGAATCAGTATTGCTCGCTCTGATGCTGTCGTGGTCAGCTGAAATCGGATTTTCTTATTTGGAAAAACCTCTAAAAATACCCAATCAACGACAACGTCACCGGGTAGTGGCCAGATTGACGAGTCCTGGCTTTGAAATGGTCAAGATCTGTAAAAAAACCATGTTTGGCGTTTCCCCGGAAACTTTTTCAAGATGGTTAAGTCTGGACCTTCCTTTTTCAATAGGATATTCAAGAAACGGAAACCAAGTCAAAAAAGTCTGAAAACTCTGAATGACTAATTTACTTCTGACGGAAAGAGCTGTTCTTTGTTAAACTCCAGTTAACTACTTTTTTCGCCATGAGAAGTTCAAAGAAATGTTCATACATGAGCAGCGACGTCGTAGTTGATCTGAGCTCTGTTCATATCGACGGCGAGGCCTCCGACGCGGAAAGAACTCAAATCTGGAGTACTAGGGTAGTTGAAAATCTCGAGTACGTCCAAGGTGGGCATGTCTACCGTTGTCTGAAAAAAGAACTTCTTTACTCAAAATTCCGTCAGTCTGCCACATTTTTCTTGTGTAAAATGGTCAGTTTGGAGCTGACGACTTCGTGAGAGAAGGAGAATTCGAATTTGTGGAAGCCGGTTTCCGTGAACAGAGACTCGCCGTCGTCCCAGTAAAAGACTCCGTTTGCTCGTTGGTTTCCGTCTGCAATTTTATAATTATAAAAAAAAATGAAAACGTTTTCCAATGTACAAAAGATTGAGGGAGCTCAAAAAAACGGCTTTACGCCGCAAGACCTTCGCTAGCTTCATTCATGCTCCTTTAAATACCCTGGCCAGCTTTTTCGAGAAATCTATGAATGAAATTCCTGTTCTGCTATTCTTTCAAGTTTGAACGGATATAAAAAAAAAATAAAATAAATAAACCTAGTGCAATCAATAACTCGAAGGGATTCTTCCTGGACTCACTCAGAGTCATATTGGGCGCCTGTCGCGGAATGATGTATCCACCTTAAAAGTTTTTTCCTGATCGATTGTTTTCTAAACTTTCTGAACCTCGAACATAAATAGGAATTAAAGAAGTTTTCGGAGCAGGAACTTGAACATCACCCGTTTTCGACACCAGGCCGTAGTTATAACTCGTCAAGGAGTACCAGATGTCCGACGGAAGGTAGAGTGTTCTGGTGACCACGTCCTTGGAAAAAATGATAGTCCACTTTTCAAAAGTAATATATGCACTGGTAGAACAACAGGCGCGACAAGCATGGCTGGTCCCCACATGAACTGATGTCCGAGGTCGAGAACCCGTGGATCCGTCGGAAACTCGAAGAAAATCGGTCGGAAAACAGTGCCGCCTTCCAAGGAAGCCGTCATGTGAAGGCTGAGATTTCAGAGTATCCATAGGGTCTTTCTATTCTTTCAGAAACCTGTACAGATACGGCAAATGTCGGTATCTGAAAAGGTTGGCCTGGCGAGTTGCTTCAGCGACGTCCGGCCATTCGGCTGGATCTTCTGCCGGAGAGCCCTTGTCGTTGTGATTTCTGTAGTTTCGGGAATCGGAGCTTCTTATTTTTCATTTTTGTTTAGATTTTGTTTGAACTATTTGGATTTACCTGGTATCCATCTTTTTAGTTTTCATAAACTCCAGAAATATCAATAGTAAAGTTTTGGAATCTTTATCTGATTGTAATCTAAACTCATTAATTTTATTCCTGATTTGTTTTTCGAAGTTTTTTTCGCTTCATTTTTTATTCCCTCCTTTCTTTCGTTTCTATATTCTTCCAATTCAAAATGGAATCTTGTTCTATAATCTCTTCAGAAACTTCAAAATGAAGTATTGTTACCTGAAGAAAGAGTGGAATGCTCCCATTTGCTGCCAACGAAGGCATAATTCGTCGTTTGTCGTGGCGCCGAATCCGCAGACATCCGAACCGACGTAACTAGAGGAAAATTAAAGTCAAACAGATTAATAATCAACAAACGGTATTCCGAAGAGGTTGAACTCCTGGGCTCCGATGATGGAGGTCCGGAGATCTTGCCACCGAGCCGTGTTGTCGCCGAGCCAGTGGCCTGTGTACCTTCCGGCTGAGGGAAACGTTGATCTGAAATCCAAAGTTGAGAAATTAGTAAAGTTCGTATTTTCAAAACGATTGAAATGGAAAAAATAGCAGCCCTACCTGGAAACAACGGCTCCTCGTTTTCCAGTCGCCTGGTAGAGAGCACTGAGAGTAGCTTTGGCTTCACTCCAACCTGAAGAAAAAGAACGTGTCACGGTAATGTTTCTTAAAGACCGTATAAATTCTTGGTGTTGTAAAATCGGAGCTTGTTATTGTCTTGGACCGCCTTCATGCACAAAGTTTTCGTGGCAAGCGACGATTCCTGATTTTTTCTAGTATAAAATTGAACGGAAAGGTAATTTATTCAATTTCGATTTTTGAGTTAGTTTGAGATTTACCGAATCTTTGCCGAAAAGCTTCTTGATTTATCAAAGAAACAGAACACCTTGGAGTTCCTAATCTTTAGAAAAATTCTTTTTTTCTATTAGAAAAAAAGCATCTTAACTTTTCAGACCACAACATAATGACAAAATTTGAAAGATATTTTTTTTAAAAAAATAGAAAGAATTTGAGATTTATTTAAAAATCTTCTTCTTATTCAGTAAATTTTTTTCCGCCAGTTTCAGAAAAAAATTTTTGAAATTCCGAAGGAAATGAAATTGAAGACTTGGTGAAAGCTCAGACGAAAAGAATTTCAAAATTTTTTAAATTCGGTTTCCGGAAACTCAGCTCTTTCCTAACTGCCAAAAATCCCAAGAATTTTAAAGCTCTCTCAAAATTACTACTGAAAGAACCTTTCCATAGCGCCAAACACTGTAAGTCGGATAAGGCGGAGTGTCCCAAGAATTGTTGAGTTGGCAAGTCAAAACGGAAATATTTGGATGATCCGGCATGTCGAAATAGAAAGGATGAGGGTCGTTGGTTCCGAAGTTCGACGGTTCGTTCATATCAATCCAAATGCCGTCAAATTCAATCTAAGCATTTTTTTTTCGCCTATCTTTTCGTTTTCGAAAAACCTGAGATCTAAACTTGGTGAACTCGTCGGCCCACCACTTCTGAGTTTTCCCGGTGGAATCGAGGAAATCGGGAAAAGCGACGTGGTTGTCCGGCCACACTACGCCGAGCATGATCTTCGTGTTTTTCACAGTAGGATACTGATTAACTGATTATTTGATTATCGGGGAACAAAATGGAAAAAACCATGTCTTGGATGTTACGCTGAACTTCCTGCATCGTTTCCCATTCGATAAATCTGGCACCCTGAAAATTTTAACGACCTTTTTCTATTAAATCGAAACTGAGAAGCGATAACTTGAATTATTATGGTAAAATGAGGACAACTAAAACTGTTGCGGTTGCAGTCTGATTCAAGGTAAAAATCCAAAGTTTAATTCAAAAACTAAATTCAAAAAATTACAATGATCAAGAATCTTGCGCCAGGAGCCACCAACGGGTTCCATTTTGTCGCAGGTCCATTATAATTCAAGCTTTCATTTCTCGTATATGCTTCCAGGGTTCATGTTCGTATTCGGTTGATAATAATACAGCTAATTGCGATTTCTTCCATCTATTGATAACTTTCAAAACTTAATTTCAAATATGATTTTTATCGTTTTTCATTAAAATCGTTCTCATATCAGAAGTGGAGGAAAAAGTTGTAAATACAAATTTTCACTTGTTTGGAGAAAATCAAATCTGTTCATGACAGAAAAAACAACTCAAAACGAACCGCGTTCATAGCTCTCTGAAAACTCGGATAAGTGACGTCTATGGCGGGATCAAAAATGAGAATCAGCCGCATTTTCCAGTCGTGCAGCTGTTTTATGTAAGCGGGAAAGTTCTCCCAGCCCTCAAAAAGAACGAAAATGAAATCGAGGCTCAAGGATCGGTTTTACAGTTCCAGTGGTGAAGTCCTTGTAGCGATCCATGTAGTCAATGTCAGCAACGGCTGAGCTCCAACTTTGAAAATCAAAAAATCATTTGAGAACTCACCAATATCAATAGGAATGTTGTCTTTTCGAACACCATCTATCCTCGCCTTCATCTCGTCCAAGTTCTTATATCCATATCGAGAAAGCTATAGATTCAGAATGTTCTTTTTCTTTTTGAACCTACACACCTGGTAGCCTAGAGCCCAATAAGCAGGTAGGAAAGGTTTCCCGATGAGAGCCAAGTATTGCTGGGTTACCTAATAGAACAATTCGAGACAATATTGGAGATAAAGTAATAATAAAAACTTGTTCAGGAGTTGGTCCTGGAAAGAAATAAATATCTAAAACGCCGCCGATAGTTCGGTAGATCCAGGCTGGTCCTGGGGCAGTAGTTACTTCCTGAAGTTTTCAAATTATTTGACGTTTATTGAAAATTCTCAATTTTCACAATTTCATGCAGGATAAACAGCATGGACAGGCCTTGAACACAATCAAAACAAGTATCAAAAAGAGTGCGAAAAAATTTTCTTTTTTTTTAAAGTGTATTTTTCTGACATATCATATGTGTACTATAACACACAGGGAAAGTCGGACAAGGCTCTATAGGAATGTTTAGGCTGACAAAGGCTCCTTTTATCTGCCTTTTTGCTTCATTTCAAGGACTCTTTTTCTGCCTTTATCATAAATAAAGGTTTTATGTGGCCTTTTTTGAGCCTCTCCCTTTGCGGCCAATATCCGCCATTCCGACTTTGCCCGAGCAGAATGAAGACCATCAACATCATGAACATAAATAAACCACTGCCACAAATTTTCTTTCATACAAAGTGGAAATTAAAGAAGTGGCGGACAATGTGAAGTAGACATATGTGAAGATGAACCTGAGCATTGCTGTTGAGGATAAGAACGCCGTGGGCTTTTCCGTCTTCTTCGACAACCATATTGTAAGGGTGTACTCCTGAATAAATTGGAATTTGAAACTATAAACTTCCAACATGAAACTTTAATAAACACTGCCAAGAACCAGCGAACTCTACCATTTGTTTATTCCTGGCCGTAAATTTGAAATGAACCTGACCTACCGTAAAGGTTTTTCGTGTCGAGATTTGCCGAGTCCGGCGGCTCGTCTCTGGTCAACATGTCCCACGTTGTGTATCTCGAAAAAGTTGTGCTAAAACCTCCATTCACCAGTTTCTTCTTTATTTCAAAACCTTCAGAGATTGATGTGTGTTTTCTCCCCAGCCGTACATGCTTTCGCTAGGCAAAAAGGTGGCGATTTGCAGAAATTGGTCAGAAAATATTAAACCTCCTGGAAACTTCGATTTATAGGAGGAGCAATATAAATGACTGAAAAAAGCATTCGAAAAAACTGACCAAGGCTGGTGTCAAAAAGAACTTGTTGCGTGGATGACCTCACAATTTGGAAAAAGTAGGGGTCAGAGGTGCGGTTTTCCTTGAAAAGAAGAGATTCCGTGGACTGCGAGGATCCCATCGGGAGATCCACAGGCGGCTCGAATCTGGCTGTCGGCGCGGCTATTTTAACGTTCAGGGTCGATCCCAAGGACTTGGTTGTGAGGACGATTTGAGGGAAATCGGCTCCCCATGGATTTGAAATCCCCTTGTTCTTCTTCAAAACGACGGTGTTCGCTGTTTTGGAGCTGTCGAAGGTGTAGCCGACGCCTGGAGGGAAGTAGCACCACGGCTCGTACTCGTCTGACTGATTCGAAAATGAAGAATCTCACTTGGAAAAGTAGTAAAACAATAACGATAACCCAAATTTTTTTTTGATGAATAGTTTGTTTTTCCTGGTGATAAGGATGAGCTATTTATCTATGTGGCTGAAAAAAAGATATATAAGCAGAATCAGAAAACCTATTTTTCTGCAACTTTGAGTCTTTCTCTTTTATTCACGATACTGTGAGTTGAAGTTGAACCTTTTTGAATTTTTTTCATCTCTTCTCGGGAGAATTATATTATATAACCTCACATATTCAAATTATAACGACTATGATAAGCAAAAAATATAAAGTTTTAAAAAATTTAGTAGACTGTTATTCCTTTCAATAAAAAATAGAATTACCGGATCAATTGGAGCACTCCAGATGCAACCTCGAGAAATACACATCTTCTGATTGGAATTCGGCTCCGGAGCACAGTTGATTCTCACCAGCCGTTTTTGGCAAAACGCCAAGCCCACAAGGAAACTCAGCAATGAGAGGAGCTTTCTCATTACTGATTTTTCTGAATAAAACAAAGATTAACCTCAAGAAAGAATTTCGAGAAAAGAAGCTTAATAAAAGTGGCCACAGGCTTGTTGCCTTTTTATGAACTGATAAGACCCGTGGAAATGTGCCATTGGGAAGTCTTAATGACTCGTCGTTACATAAACACGGAAATAAATATTTTTTTAATTACTGTTTCGAAGAAAATTCGTAAACATTATCAAAATTTTATAACCAATCCGACTTGTTAGTCCAAATGCGAGCCATTCAAGGCATGTAAACTGATGAGAAAAAAGTGCACAATTAAATGAAGATTTTCTAATTTTTCCCCTCAACTTGGGTCATTTTTTGAAAAAGTTTTCAGAGAATAGGAGATAGTTCAAAAATCAGAAAAAGAATTCACACTTTCGAAATTTTTTTAAAAAGTTTATTTCAAAAACTACGAGACAAAAATTTGAAAATTTCAAAATTGAGAGCAGGTTTATAATTATTAGAAAAAAATGAGCCAACAACAGAAAAATTTTGAATTTGAGATATTCAAGAACTTCATATCGAATATACATTTTTTTCCAGATGACACAAAAAAATGAGAAAAAAATGAACTCACATGAAAAATGTTAAAACATGAAAGCGCAAAGACCATCGTTGCTGAAATAAAAAAAGTTATACATTTTACGAAAAAAATATTATTTTTCGATCGAGAAAAACTTTTCCAATAAAAAAACTACAAAACCACATATATCAATGATTGATGATTTGGACCGTTGGCAAGTGCAAAAACCGGTCTTCAAAGAAAAAAAAAAGAGGAGTCTGAAAACCATCACATTTCACTTACATCGTTTTGGCAACTTTTTCTCTGAACCTTTCAAAAAACTTCTTTTTTTTATTCAAGTCATGTTTCTTAAGAAAAATAAATAATTCAGAAAAAAAGAAGAACGGAAAGAAGTTTACACCGGCTTTGCGGTACTTATTTGGTCAGCATTTCATTTGATAAGAAAAGACGCGGAAGTAAATTTCTTGGGCTTCTTGATTTTTTCTCGCTTTTGACCTTGTTCATTAACCTCGATTCTGATTGAATTCCTGAATTTTCGAGCCAATAGGGAAACAAAACAAACAGGAAAAGCTGGGTTGTTTGTCTGCGAAAAGGCGAGATTTACCTTTGCTTTCCGTCACCCATTTTGATGTGTGTGTTCCAGCACAGACTTCAATTTTTCTTGTGCTTTTTTTGTTGGGATGATCCGATTAGTTTTGAGAATTTTGACTTATGCCAACTTTTGAGCTTTTCAGGTGCTACTTTTATCTTCCTTAGCTTTTTCTCACTGATCCGATCATCATATAATAAGAGATTGTTGTCTCAATTGCCGAACTGTGATGAAAGGATGTCAGTTTGAGACACATATTCCTGAGATTCACTGGTCATTTCTCTCTTTCTGTCTTTTCTGGAGACTTCCTATCAATTCTGACACTTTTCTACACTTTTATTGGTGCGAAGGGCTGTCAAAAGAAGAAACCACACATTGAGATGACGAATATCGTGTTTGCCTTCGGCACAGACTCCAAGGCTTTTTTCCGTTAGCACTTGTGCCAAAGTTTGGCTACAAGCCCAAAGAGTGGACCGTTACTATCTAATTTTCTTGCTTTCAGTCCCGCCATCTTTATTCTCAATTTTTGTTTTTTCTGGAAATCTAAATTAATTATCTGGTTTTTATGGTTACAGAACGAAAACGGAGAAGTTCCTGAAGATTAATGTCCACAGATGCATTTGAACTCGAGGCTAGTGCTTTTCTGAACGATTCTACGAAACTTAAAGGTAATTCTTCCATTTCCATCCTTTTTCCAAACCAAGAACCACAGCTTCAAAAAAACCTTCAAACTTTTTTTTACTTCTTCTTTGAATATTTTTTTAATTAACTTTAAAAATCGGTTCTTTTTATTCCTAAATTCAAGAAAAACAGAAAAAAAGAACTCAAAGATAAGAATCTGTGATCAAAAATAAGGTCGTTAGTATTCGCAGAAATCCGTGAATAAGGTTATCATTATCATTCTCTGAAAAACTTGTTTTCGTGTACTTTTTCCTTGAGATGTTCCGTAGGTACAGGACTAACGACCCATCTTGTCCGCAAAGTCAATATTTCGGCTGATGAGGAAGTCTTGACAAAACACACAGTCCAAAGGTGTTCTAATAATGCAAAACCTGGCTATAGATGGCGTCAAGGAGCAAAATTCGGCGGATTTGCCGACAAAAACTGATTGGAAAGCTATCTACGTCATCGGTCTCATCACTTTCGTAGCTTTCGTCGTCAACTTCTTACTCGAATCTAATCGTTGGCCATACCTGCAAGAGGTACTTTTTTGTTGGTAGTGAAGAGAAATTTAGGAGAAACCGTACGATAATAAAAAAATATTAATGTCAACTTGAAATAACTTTGCTGCGATTAAGACTATTTAAAAGTTAAATAAATATCATGAAACTTTTTATTCAAAGTTTTCCAGTGGCCTAAACTGCAAAGCTCAAATTTCGAGAACAGATCTTTTCAGTCTTTCATCAAGATTGTAATAATTTTTAATTTGAAGGTTGATACGGACACAACAGCCGAGTTTTTCGGGGTCGCCTCGGCCGCTTCGAAAGCCGGACACGCCGTGTTCACCTTGGTCTTCTCCTACTGGAGCTATCACTACCAATGTGTCAAGTTGGGCAGAGTTCAAGGCTTCAGTTCAATCTGATTTCAGGCCCCCAATAGTTTTCGGTTGTCTGATCTCACTGATTTCGTGCGTTTTCTACTTTTGTGTTGAGCTTCTGACTGATAACCGTCGTTATCTGATGGCTATGTGTTTCGTTCTTTTCGGAGCTGCCTCAAGTATCTACAGTGGAATTTTGAAAAACAAAAACTGGATAATTCAGGCAACATCACAGTTCTGCGAGCTTACATCGCCTCGGCATCGCTTCCTGAGGACAGGACCAAGGCATTTTCTGCGTCTTCTCTCTCCATTCTTCTAGCTGTTATCGTGGCTCCAAGTAAGCCTGATATTGACGGGAAATATGAAATAATCGGAATTCATTCAGTTATTCAAATCTCTTTCTCGAAGATCCCATATCCTGGCTGGGAAGTTCTACCGGACGTTCGTTTTCATATTTACACCGGTCCGGTGGCTCTCGCCGCGCTGATCAACGTCGTTGTCATAGGAATAACTTGGTTTTGCTTGCGAGAACTGCCAAAACGTAAAAAGTTCGCAGGTGAGCTTTTTAATTTAGAATTTTCTGTAGCCCTAGGTCTTATATTTTCAAGACTTACAAGCGCTTTTACAGTCTCCCAATTTTCACAAATATTCTAAGCAAAAAGTTAAATGACTTTCCTTGTCAGTAAGCAAATTTAAATAGACTGAGTTTTCGTAAAATCTTTTTCTTTTTTTTTTAATCAAAAGAAACTTCCCTGATGTCTACAGGACCAGCTAACGGCTCCACTATCGATTATTACAAAGCGAAAATGACGGCTTTCTTGAATCTCGACATCAAATGGGGACTCGTTCTTTTGTGCTGTTGCATGAAAGCCGTCTTCACCCTTTGCATCGTCATCCTCATGCTGTGAGAGAAATTTTTTCAGAACTTGGAATTATTTCACTTGTTGAGGATCATGCCGGTGTTGTACACGACGAGCTACGGCTGGAGCGGAACGACTTTGGTTCAGATTTCCGCCATTTCAATGGGAACCGCTGGAATTCTTTCTCTCGTTGTCGGATTGCTCTACGCCTTCCTAGGAAAATAGTGAGACCACTAAAACAAATAAAAAACTCCTGAATTTGCAGTATTCCGCAACGCGTTGCTTTTCTCTTCGCACTTTTCGTTTTCGGATTGCTTTTCGTCTTTACTTATCCCTACGAGGCGATAAGCAATCCAGTCGCTCCTTACAATGGTAATACTGACAACTTTTCAAATTCAAAGTTTCTTTGAAGAAACTACAAACTCCGGCTGTAACCCAGAAAAGTACGACTGGTGCCAGACGGCGGTGGCCCCTCCGGCCATTCTTCTGGTCGTGGTTCAAACGGCGGCCATCAGTTTGTGCATGCCGATAGCCATCGTCTCTCTGGACGCGATCTATTCCAAGATTCTGGGCCAAATCAACCAGGCTTGTGCTAAAAATCCTGCTTTGATCATTTCACACTTTCAGAGTATGTTACAAGGAGCGTTCATCATTTTTGAAGACATCGTTTTCATTGTCGGACCCATTGTTTTATCGTAATTTTTTGCCATGTGAAAAAAGATTTATTTTTTAATAAATTTCAGCGCGATTTTCACGGAGTTCGGCACGAGTCGTTTGTGGCTAGTCAACATCGGCGTCGTGGCCGCCGGCGTCATCGCTTGGATCTTATGTTTCCGAAATCTCAAACCATATTCATAATGCTTAATTTTAAATCTCATAATTTTTTCCATAATGATCATTTCGTGTCATTTTTGTTGCATAAAACTCTTTTTGAAAAATTGCACTTTCATTAAATGATGAATGGATAGACAAATTAGAAGTTGCGGTATCCGCGTCCTCCTGGTCCGTGGTGGACAGCCTCCGCTTGAGCGCGGTCTGGGCAAGAGCCTGAAAATGCGTCAGTCAAATAAAGGTTTCAAAATGAAAACAACTCACAGTACTCGGCGTCCTTTCCTGGTCGACCATCGGATCCTTCTTCTCCCTGGATTCCGTCTGGTCCCTGAGGTCCTTGACGTCCGGTTGGTCCAGAAGGTCCAACTGGTCCTGGCTCTCCTGGTGGTCCGTTGAGTCCGTTCTGTCCGGAAGCTCCTGGCGGTCCTTGATCTCCGCGAGGTCCTTTTGGTCCAGGACGTCCAATGGGGTGCTCAGCGTCGCGTCCTTTTTCTCCTGGTGGTCCTGGCTCTCCGATCTTGCCGATGGGTCCTGGTGGGCCTTGCTCTCCTGGATGGCCTGGTTGACCGTCACGTCCCGGGTTTCCGTCGTGTCCCTTTGGTCCGACAAGGCCTCGTGGTCCTGGTCTGCCGAGAGCTCCTGGTGGTCCTGGAGGTCCTTGCGGGCAGTAGAAGCAGCCCTGAGCTTCGCGTTGAGGAGCGATGTCGTCAGCGCCGATTCCTGGAACTCCGTCGAGTCCTGGAAGTCCGTTGTGTCCAGCAGCTCCAGGCAATCCCTTTGGTCCTGGTGGACCAGCTGGGCAGCTGTTGTCGGCGTTGCAGTTGCAGGTAGGGACCCGCGCCGTTAGCTCCGTTTGGAGTAGGATGGTGGTTGAAGACTGGAGGAACGGCTGGAGGACTTCCTGGAGGAATGGACGGAGAGCCGTCTCCTTGAGGGTGCGAAGAGGGGTTCGACTCTTCGTATTGACGACGGATACGCTTCTGAGTGGTTCCGATGGTCATGATGTCGCGCCACATGTCGTCGGTCGAGAGCTGAAGAAAAAACTTGAGAATTGGAACCAAAAGGAGCAGAACGTACTCGGAAGACGTGGATTTCAGACTCGAGCTCGCTCCAGAAGCCGGCGACCTCGGTGTAGATAGAGGACATGGCGACGAGACAAGCCATCAGAGTGACGGCCGAAACCGAAGAAGCGACAAAAGTCGCCGTTTGAACCTTCATCTTGTTTGCTCTGAAAAAAAGAGAATTAATTTGGGATTTCAAGAGCTCGAAAAACAGGGAAAAAAATAAAAGATATTTTTTTCTATAAATAAAAAAAGGTCTTTTTTTAATTCTTGGCCACCATGAAAATTTTGAATTTATGAAACGATACTAAACTTTAAAAATTTTATTTTGTTATTTGTAACTTTCTTTTTTTGGCCTTTTCGATTTTTGAACATTATTTGGCTCTGCAAAGTATGCACCAAAAAATCTCGAACCACGACAAGGAAAAACATCTTTTAACTACAAAAATGATAACTTAAGGAAAAAAAGTGCAGTTACTATCTTTTTTTCTACACATATAAAACGTTATATGTTTGATATACAAAAACCTTACAAAAAACAAAAAAAAACGAACCCGAAGATAGACGTAGCCGTTCACCAACAGAGTGAAGGCTTCCATCCGGGTGACCTCTTTTATAATTTCGATCTCCGCTATTCAGTCCGCTTGCCAGTTTTTTAAAGACACACCTTATCTGGCATTGTTCTCGAGAAAACAGCGCTTCAATTTCGGAGGCTTGAGAGAAATCGAAAAGAAATAGCGCGCAATTGATGGAGAGGTTCCCGATGACCGCGCGGCGCACCTTATCCAGTGCGGCTTCGGTTCATCCAAATCGGCCTCCTTTTGTTTTTCCTCTCACCGCAACCATTTCGAAAACGATTCACCAAAGTTTTATTGAGGAGAGAAAAATGTTTTTTTCATAGTTCTTAGAACGTCTAAATTGTCGACACAGCTTTTTCCAACCGATCCATAATTCGATTCTTTTCAGTAGCGTTCAATCTGACAAGTTATTTATTTTTCAAACTCTGAGAAAATTGAAAAGATACCTCGTTTTTTTGAAGTCAACAGTAAGCTTGAATTCGAACTGAAAAGAATATAATGAAATTAAGAAACACTTTTTTAAGCAACGCTTGTTGAGTATTTGAGCAGTTGCTACTGTTTCTGATTGGAAAAATTTTCTTTCAACTTTACTAAAAGATAGTTCTTATCATGAATATCAAAAATTCGTTATTAAAAATCATTAAATGGAAGTATACAACACGGCAAAAACGCCAAAAACTCCTCGATTGACAGTCGCACCAAATGCAAAAAAACGATGAGAGGTTCGATAAAAACAAAAATAAGTTGATATTATGTAAAAATCGGTCACATAATCTTGCAGAAAAAGAAGAAGATTGACACCCTCGGAGTGAAATAAATCGTGAAAAAAACGGAGTGAAGTTGGAAAAAAATACTGACTCGCACGAAAAAAATAATAGTTTGAATCGCGAAAAATATTATATAAAATTTTGAAAAATACTTTTTTTTATTTTTTTGCGCGTCACTAAGCGCGATGATTGTGACATTACGTCGTTCTGCTGCAAAACATGCGTTCCCAAAAAGTTTACCATAAATTTTTTTCCTTTTCCATGAACTGAAGTTTTTGTTTTCCTAGTCCATATATAATCCTTTATCAATGAAATAAACGTTATAAAGTAGTTGAAGTTCCGTTTTATCCAATAAATAATTGGTAAATCCGCTCATTCATGTAAAATTTACTTTTTTTACAAATGACTCGGTTTCTAATTTTACGCGAAAAAAACGCTTTCAAAAACTTGATAAATAATTTTTGAAGAAACTGGTCATTTTTCAGAGCCTTAATACCTCAATGTTGGGGTCATTGCGCCTTTGTGCGAAAAGCTCGTTGACGACATCGATCGTCCAGGCGGTGAGCTCTTCGACGTCGACAAAACCGTTGATCGTTGCCAGACGTTTGCTTCTGCCTAGCGTCGATTGAGAGCTGGACAGGTTTGATTTTCTCTTTTATAAAGTGAAAAAAAAACCTCGACCTAGACGACGTAGACATGACAGAAATACCTTGATTCACGTATTTGATTTAAATTCAACACGCATACTCCGTCGGATTGAAATGGTCATATTGCCTAATCGAATAACCTTGTCGGTTCATAAAAGTCTTGAGATGAGCCAAATTGGTTTCGTCGTGTGTGGCTTTAATGGACGGCTAATGAACGCTGGCGGAGAGGGCGGTATAAACACGATTATTGGCACTCGAAACGAATTTCCCCCGGAAAGACACCGTCCTTCTGAACGGCGCAATGTTTATTCCAGCTCCTCGTTCTTCCGTTCTGAATATGATCAACTTTCTCAGTTTCTTAGTTAAAAGTAGACTGGATATAACTATTTAATCTTTAGGAAATGGCATTGAAGAGTTTTCAACTTAAACTGGAGCAAAAAGGAGCTTTGTTCTATTCAAATTTTAAAAAAAGCTGTAGGATTCTACTGATTTCGAGTAACGGAATGACAAAAATTTTGATTCCAATAAATGCTCGTTTTCTCACTTTAACGAAATATCGAAAAACCCCCACTGAAAATTCTGTGCAACGATTTTTTTTCCTGTTCATTTCAAGATTGTATGATTTTCAAAACATTTTCGGCGGGGAATATTTTTCAAATACGCTCGCAAATTTTGTTTTCATCCTCCAGAATCGTGAGAATTTTCACGGCACCAGGTTATTTGGACAGGTAAGAATGGCGACAATTGAACAATTAGTCATGCTCCCGCCTTGGAATCCGCGAAAACACGCCGCCGATCTCTCAATTGTCCCTCGTTTGGCCGACCTTCTTATTTTCTATTCACCTTTGAGGATCCGATGAGTTTTTGATGATGAAGAGAGTCTTTTGATATATTTCATGCAAATAATGTTGATTTTACCTTTTATGCACAAGAGAATCTCTGATAAGAAAGATATTTTTGAATGTCCAGTTAAAAAATGTTCTTTAATAAGTTCACGGAAATTTGGAAATTTGGAAAAAAAATTGGAAATTTGGAAAAAGTTTGGAAATTTGGAAAAAAAAAGTTCCTTTATCAATAATTTTAAAATCGATATATTATTTCATTCAGCATTTTTTTCTTTTTAGAATTAGGAGATAGTCAAGAATAATTCGACGTTTTTTTTTCAAATTTCGTTGGATTTTTGTGAAGAAGTTCTAGAAAGCTTTGTTTGTGACTTTATGAGAAGACGATTTTTATTTCCCTTGTCTAGAAAAAAACTTATATATTTTTCGTAGTTTCGACCATCCAATTTTGCCCTAGAATCCGTTTTTTTATTGAAAAAAATATAATTCAAATAGTGGTGAAAATTGAAATCAGTTTTTTTCTTTTTTTATTCAAGAAAAAAATAAAACTTGATTATTGAGCTATTAATAATAAAAAGTTATTGACAGATCAGCGTGAACCCTAACGAGTTCACTTGGATCTAGAATTTGAGATAATTCATTGTACAACTATACATCATTTGAGTCTTGAAGGAGAAGATATGGAGAGCCCGTGTAATGGTAGATTGGCACTTTTTAAAGACTTGAGTGACTGTTGACACCTAATAAAGGCCCATTTCATCAATATTCATCAACCTTTTCGAGAGTTCTCTTTTATGGGCAGCCGAGCTGGAATGGCGTCCGTTAATCCCGTTATACGACCCCAGTCAGAAGTTGTAAAGACTTAACCGGTTGGTTCAACAATTGGATTAGCGCTGCGGATTCCTCTCAAAGAAATCGGAATTCAAAAAAATTTCAAAATTTCATCTTCTTACATTTTTTGAAAATTTGCTGGGATCTTCAATTTCATAAATGTACCAGTAAAAAACTCAATCACTCCCGGAGTTTATCTTATAAGATCACCCGGCCAAAAAGCTCAAAGTATTTCACGCAACTGAATATTATTAAGACGTTATTAAAAAAACGTTTGGATGATTTCATGGTTTCGCATTTGTTCTACACCTTCAGCTTCTGATTTTCTTTTTTTTTTGAATACAGCTTCATCGTAAAACTGAGCCTGGGTTACTTTTTGTTTATCGGTGCCACTTCTTTTCTTAAATAAAAGGTGTTTTTGGGCTGTTTTTCTCCCAAAAAACACCTTTTTTTTTTGTTTTTTTGCCTTCCCAAACAGGTATATTTCCGCCAAAAAGATTTTCGGGAGGTAATTGTTCGGTCGCTACGAGCGCCAATTTCACACCCTTTTGAAGTCTTCTTCTTCTCTTTCCCTTTTTCTTTCGACGGGAAGTTTGAGTCAAAATATCGGCCTATTTTTTTTCACGTTTGAATCGATCTTCATCATTTTTTCTCAGCACCAAGAACTCAAAAAACTGAAAACCTCTCAAAAAGCTTCATATTTCTGAAAAAATCTGTTGGACCTAGGAAAAATGTGTTGTGGATGAAGCTCTGCGAGTCTTTCAATAATATGTCGACGGACAAGGGTTTGACCGTGCTCGGCGAGCCGCACAAAGTGTAAAAAGTGTCGTCGTCGGAAGATGGATGGCAGCCCGTTCGTTACGGCGTCTCCTCTCCACCGCCACTAATTTTTTATGGCTTTCCTAGTTTTTTTCTCTCTCCTAAAAAGCATTTTTGATGTTTTTCAGTTTTCTGTATATAGTTAGTAGTCTCGTAAGGGTTTTCTTCGAAAAATTTTTGGCTTTGATGATTTTTTATTTTTTCCTCTAACTGTAATATACTTGATGCTTTTTCGAGGAATAACGTCTTTTTTTTTTCTTTTTTGTATCAATTTAAGTTACGACCCTTCACATATTTCCAAATTTCGGCAAAGTATATCCAAAAATGAAAAACCTAGAAGCCTGGAAAGTAGATCTCGACTGTAAAAAAAGATATTGTTCTTTATGATGCTCTTTATAGTTGGAGTTTTTCTTTCCGATTTGTTATGAAATGGTTGAAAAACATGAATTTCTAGCTATAAAAAAGAAAATTTTAATATTTTGCTTATTTATTTCAAAACTCAATTTTCTTCCATAGATGCAAAAAAAGGTTTGAGTCGAAAAGCTTAGGACTTACTTTTTTATGTTGATCTCTGCGTCTAGAAGCTTTAGTCAAAATTTTGTGAAACCTCTTTTTTCTCCGTCGTAACATTTTTTTTTCTCAACTCATTATGAACTGAGCTTATTCAAAAGTTTTCTCAGATCTGCTCGGATAATCCAAGCGATCCCTCGAGTGTTCTTGGCGCGCACTTGTTGTATTGTGACCGCCTCCATTCACTGGCACCAGCCTTCCTTCCACACACACCTATTTTTTCTTTTCGTTTTGACCAAATATGCGACACTCACCTATTCGACCCCATTTACACACACACGCGTTTGTCTGTTCGGCTCGTTTCCCATTGTAAATGTCGTTTTGCCTCATTTCCAAGTCTAATTCATTCGCTACTTGTTTGTTTAAGTCACTTCTTAACAAAACATTCGAGTTCAACGCGAAATATCTAGGATTGATATGGTCCATATGGACTTCTTTCAAGAAACTCATGCTTGGAACGAACTACTGGACTGAAAAATTCCTCAGATTTGAATCGAAGCGATGTAATATTCAGTGGTCAACTTGTCGATTTATGAACATTTTTTGACGATAAAACTTTTCGAAAATTGAAAAAAGGTGCAAAAGAGCAGAAGTGAAGTCGAATTCAAACTTCTTCTTCTCTTCCATCAAGAATGAAGTAAACAGAATCGTTTATTCATCACTCTCCAGCATCTGGAATCGAACAAAGACGTTCCTCCGGCTGCAGTTCCTCCAAATCAAATTATTTTTTTGTCAATTTTCAGAAACCTCACCCAGTTTTCCAAGGTTTTCCCAGCTTGTATTGGACTTTTTAATTTCTGTCGCGCGCAGCTATAAAATCCGCGTAATAGCGTTATTTCCATCTGGCCAAATTTCAGATTTCCAGACAAGATTTTGAACGGCGCCAGTTCATTTCCGACGCGAGGAAATTGCTGAAATCCAATAGTTCCGTTTCGAAAAATTTGCTTGGCTCTTCGAAGTTCGAGCTTATTTCTCAGACAATGAAAATTCTTGTAAGCTTTTTTTAAAGGCCTCTTGAAATCTGGACTTAAAAAAACTTATTTCGAAAAATCTATGTTAAGCTACCTAAAAGCACGAAAAAATGTTTCAGAACCTCTCTAACTTATTCTAGGCTCTAACAAGTAGAAAATCACGAGATTGCACTTTATGACAAAACAGGATATTTTTTTTATGGCGGATGGGAAAATTTCACAAAAGAAACTAGTTATATGTTTGGTAGTTATTCAAAACTGGGCCAAAACTTCTAATTATTATGGAGTCTCGACTTGCACGAATTCCTATTTTATTAAATATAAGCCTCAGAAATCATTTCTTTGCAAAAGGATGTAATTTTGAAGCTTCCGTTAGTCTCAATAAACAGGGAAGTTCATTTTGCTTGAAGGTTTGATTTCTTGAAAGTTTGTTCGAAAACTTTGAAGCTGGCCCATCCTTCAAGGAGTTTTTCAGGCTGAAATTTTCAAGATATCTTTATTGTACCTTGTGCTTTTCAGTCAAACTCCAAAAATTGTAAACATCCCAGTAGATTCACCTTTTTGGTCATTTGGACAGTTTCCCAGTCAAGCTCCACCGGAGTAATGCGTAATGCTTACTCTGGTTGCTTCTCCTAGCCAAGCCAAAAGAGTGAGGGAAAAGTTTTGTTGTGGCGTCGCTTTGTCTTGGTTCTTTCCTCCAGATGGCCATCTGGGAATTGAGTAAGTTCTCAACGCAGAAAAGCCGCGTTATGCAAGATCTGCCTTATGTTTCTATGCGGATGTTTTGACGGGGGAGGGGCCACAGAAATGCGATGCCGCCCATAAATAGGAAATTTCGTGTGTGTGTCGCCTTTTGGCTTTTCGCCCCACGGAATGCCTTTTCCCACGCGAGCCGTTGCCATGATCCTCTACTCGTGTTTCTTGGCTCATTTGACCGCCAATTGCTCTTTTGGGATCCGATTAACTGGTTTTTTGTTCAGCTCCTCCTGCTGTTCGTCTTTTTGAGATGACTCTTTATCTTTTTCAACAACGGAAATTTGTTATTTTTCGAAGATTTTTGGTATTTTTCAAGTTTTCGCTTCCACAAAAAAAAGTTATTTCTTCCAAGTTTTACCAGCTTCTCCCTTTTCAACTTCTGGACTCTTTGAATGGAGTTTTTGTCTTTTCATTCACAGGAAGTATATATTTCAACAGCCATAACGTTTTTATTTCATCTAAAACACTCAAACAGATGTTTTTGATAGCTCGAAAGCTTCTGCTCGCCATGCAAAAATTTATTTTGCAAGGATATATTCGTTTTTTGTTGTGAACTTTGAACAAGAAGTGGTCAAACTTCATTTTTCATTTTTTGTAGAAGGCATGCTTTTTTCATTTATTCAGATCTATCTCAAAATTAAAAATTGTTATTTTAAAATTTTGAGCAGAAAGTCATTTTTTTACAGCCAAACTTTGCTCAGAAGTTTTTCAGTTGCTAGAAAATTTTAGTCTTTTGTTTCTAATTTTCACTAACTTTTCTTCTCCCTTTCCAGCTTCTGCCCCTTCGGCCAACTTCTACTTTCGTTCCCCTCGTTTTACACGGAACTTGGCCGTTTTATGTACTTGCTGTGTGGCCCATTAGGTTTCTTCTTTACTTTAACGGCAGATGTAACAAAAAGAGAAGGAGCGAAAGTAGGAGGAAAACTCGTTGGCCGAGTATCGTTGGAGATGATCTCAAGATTCCGTCCCTCTTCAACCTATTTTTCATCCGCGGCTGTCAACTCTTTTCTTTTCCACGAATTCCTTTTAATATCTTCTTACGGAGTCGTTTTTCTTGATCTCTTTGCTCTTTTGCTACTTTTGACATGATTGAACACTTGTGGTCGCATGGGGAATGGCTGAAGCGCGATTCAAGGTAAAAGTTCAATGATTGGTCTTCCAATCTATTGAAAATGCCAAATTCGTTTTGTAGGCTCGAGGCATCCGTTAAGCATTTAACCATTCTCCATGCGGTCATCTCAGTTTGGATCGAGATTTTCTCATTTATCTCATTTTTCAGCGCTCCGATGTCGGATCGACTTCGGCTGATGGTAATACTGCTACTTGCAATTTCTTCAGGTTCGTATTTATTTTCAAAATATTTAGAATTTGTATATATCAGTGCGTACTGAATCTAGCAGCGGCTACAAATTTACATAGGTTATCAGTTTTAATTGCAACAGGAAAAATAGAAAATTTCGGTAAAAGGCGCTTTTTACAAGGGGAACTTTTTTTATTCAATTAAATTGACTTAAACATTTTTAACGGAACTAATTTCAAATTTAAGGTTAAAAAAAATATTGTCATAAATAATTATATCGATGAATTTCACAACAGCGACGCGTTAATCTGTGTCAAATTTATATATTATCACTGTAAACTATATATTATCACTGTAAACTCAACACAATAAAAATTCAGTAATTCGATAAATATGAAATTTGAAAGAAATAGAAAGGTAGATTTTCTAGGAAGTTTTTATCCTCAAAGTTTTCAACAAGAATGAATCTTCTATCAAGAAATTTACCTCAAAAAAAGAAAATGTTATCTCGAGTAATATTCTTGAACTCCGTTAGTTTTAATAAACTTGTTGTAGAGCCTGAAAAGTTAATTTGGTGTCAAAACCCAAAATATTCTATCGTTTTTGAAGAATGTCTTTCTCCGAACCTCAACTTTTTTGAGACTGGCGCAACTTGCCATAAATCACAAGAAGATAAAGAAAATCACGGGGAAACATCTCCGAAAGGCCTGTAATTAGGCGGAGCGATGACGACAGCCGCCTGGCAAATTGTTGCGTGGCGAAATTAGCCGCGACTCTTTGAAATTGACCAACGGATTATCTGCAAATCTCCACTTGCATAACTACAAATTGACGGGACCCCACGGCTCAATTCCTGACTTGGCGGGACTCCCGGGGGAGCCGCTATTTGCGGCTTCGACGACATTTTATACGACTCGAAGTAATTGATAGGGATTTGTAAAGGTTAAGCTCTCTGCTGATCCTTGCAATATTTCGATGGAGCACTAGTGAAATAAGAAAATATGTAAGAAAAGGTCAAGGTTTTGAAGAAACTGTTTTGAAGAACACAAAAGTTCCGAAAAGGCTTTATCTGATTTAGTGGCTACTCTAGAGGCTCGCCAAGGACTACTTGGAGATATCACTAAACCGACCTCTATAGTGGCTACTATAAAGGTTCTCTATTTAGTGGCCACTTCAGTAGTTTTTTATCCAGTATTCCTTCCAATAACTCTGATAATTTTTAAAAACAAACAGATTAGACCAGTTATGTTGATCCATAGACCCCTAGAGTGGCCACTAAAATTTTTAGTGGTCTAGTAGTAGCACTTAGACCTCTATAGTGGCCACTAATTTTTAACCCCTTAAGTGGCCACTAATTCGACTATTATAGTAGCCACTAAAATGACAAAACCCTATGGGTGGCCACCAAAAATTATCCCAGTAGTTCCATTTTTTCTAAGTTTCCTCTTCTAACTATTCAACGATTCATAGCCGCACACGGGACCTGCAATTTGTTGGGCCGACGTGCTCAGTGGAGCGTACTTGTGCAACTTTTGCCGTGCAAATTAGTTGTTATTAGTCCAATTTGATCGAATTGCTCCTGCTGAAAACGTCCTTGGCCGGCGGCCGATTGAGCAGAAAACTCGACAAAAGGGTCGAGATTCCGCGCGCCTTTAATTAACTTTAATTACACACTGTAGCGTTTGCTCAACACTGAGGAAAAAAGATCTGGAGAATGTTTGGGAACGAAAAAAGAGATTGGAGAAAGTATACGAAGGGATCAGGAGCTAACACGTAAGATGAATAATTTTTGGATGCTCAACCGATTTTTGAGAATGGACATTTGGTTTGTGGTAATTGGATATTGTAATTTTTAGGTTGATTGTTAGATATTTTGGGAACTAATACTCCGACTTATCAAGCTTAGCCTCATTTTTTCTACAGCAATAACTAAGTTTAATCAAACGTGATCTTCGAATTTACAGAAGGGTCTCCCTCGGACCGTGATGAGCCGAAAAAGAAGCCTTCGGAGCAACTCGTGCCGGTCGGGGCGACGACGGCTCTCATGTGCGAGCCGGCCTTCGTCTCAGACTCCAAGGCGACTTGGTTCCGCGACGGCTCTCCTGTCGCTACAGTATCCAAGTGAGAGAGTCCTTGGCAAAACCTTCAAAAAGAATATCTCAGCCATTCCAACGCCATCTATCAGAATCGATCTCCTACGGCGCCGGCGGCGGAAAAGCTCCCCGAAGTCGGCTTCCTGACCATCTTCAATGTCTCCAAAGGTTCTCTAACTATTTTTAAATGAATGTTCCTTGAATTTAACTCAAAAATCTTTGTTGATCGAGCTTTTTCTTCTTAATATTCTTTTTTTTTTTGAGCGATTTTTTTCTTGTTCAGATGTAATTTTTGGACTCGTATCTCTTTCTAGAAGACCTGCAGCCCTAATAATCGTATCTGACTCAAAAACACGTTTGGGGGATAAAAAAAAAATAAACCAAACAGAAGGAAACTTTTTGAAAAAAAAATTTCATTCTGCAATTTGAGGGAGGATTTTATGTAGATCAAAAAGACCAGTTTATGAAAAATTCCACAACTTTGAAAAGTTTCCAGAAGACCAAGGGACTTACTGGTGTCGAAGGGAAACTGACGGACAATTTGGCGAAGTTTTCAACCTCCAAGTGGCTTTTCTCGATGTGCCCACAGATTTTCACATAACTCTTTCGGTGATTCCTTTTTTCATCAAATCTTCACATTTATGTTTCAGTCAAAACATCCAAAAACCGGAGAGAGTTTCTACGCTCATTGTCCCATTCCGGAAGGCTTTCCGACGCCTAGAATCACTTGGACCGTGGTCAGTTATTTTTTTCATTTATTTATTTATTCGTTTCACAAGTTTGTATTTAAATGGGGAATTAGAAGTTAATTATGGGACTGGAATGTAAAAAAAGCCGAGGGAAATTTTTGAAAAAAATAACACCTAGAATTGTGAAGAAACCAAAAAGAAATTTGATGATTGATGACTTTGAACTTTTTTTCTTTGTACGTCTCACAAAATCCGTAAAAATTTTTTTCAAAAGAATTTATTTAAATTTTTTTCACTGTGACCATCTCTGTTACAAAAAGCTTGGCGAAGTCGAAAAAAATATTTTTTTGGCTTCATATTTTTAAGATTATTCTCTCAAAATATTTGAAAAGATTATGGAACGAAATCCAGCGGTTAATCTAGTCCACCAATAGCTTCTAAGGTTGTAATTATTTTCATTCGCTTCAGTAAATTTGTAGTTTCTTTCTGTGATTTTTCATATTCAAAAAGGCATAAATAATAAAGACAGACTTGATTTCATTCATTTTTCGTGACAGGCTTGATATTTCAGAACGAGATGCCGATGTCGCACGTTTCCTCCGATTTCGAGGTGTTCGCCAACGGAACTCTCCATCTGCCGCGGATGTCTTTCCACCATTTCGGAACACTTGAATGCCGCGCCTTGAATTTCGCCGGCAAAGCTATCGCCAGGACCTTTGTCTCTTCCCGAGAGCTTCATCCGCAGATGGGTGAGCTTCTTTCAGTGATCTTGATTCGGCGTTGGCTCCAGTTTTTGTTTGAGAATCCCCACGAGTTTGCTGAAAACTGTTCTAGGCATTGATAGTCGAGTTTGCAGAGTAGCATTATCTTTTTCAAAGTCATTTGCTTAGATCCTTTAGGCGCTTTAATTCAGCTAGAAATAACATTGAAAACGTCTCTTCGCTTACGAGGAAGACCATTTTTCTTTATGGTTGGGAATTTTTTTTTTGATTTCGTCAAACACTTTTTGATGTTTTAGTGGAACTTCCAGATGAAGATCCTGAAAGATTAGACCTGCACAACTTCCTGGTTTTCAAGAAAAAAGGGTTCAAAGTTTCAAATCAACCGATTTCAACTGATTTTGATGGTTTTCTTTGAATTTGAACGGTTCTTTCGGAAAAAAAAGTGGAGTTGTCCAGCTTGAAACTTCGAGGATCTTCATCTGACACAACATGGTGCGCTCTTGTCAGTTTCGGCCGCAAAACGGCAAAGCAAAATTACCTCCTTTGTCAGGAACATTTTCTTTGTCATTTTCCTAACGCAGAAAGGTTTTTTGGACGTAAAAGCTTCATGTTTGGAAGATAAACCATTGAATTAAGTCTGAACAGTTTCATTCGAGTTATGTCTTATTTTGGAGGTGCTTGGGTTTGGGATGGAAGGAAAGAAATTTTCGACGTATTCTAGCATTTCCTCTATCTCACCTCACTACTTTGATCTGTTTCAATTTCAGAATCAATACAAATGGAGAGTATCGGAAACTCGCTCCGCGGGTCTTTCCACAGCGCCTGCTTTATGTTTCTCATGGGCTGCTTAGCAACTTGGTTAGTTGAATCTATTTTTTTCAAAATTTCGTGTTCATCTCAAAAAATACGGTCTGGTAAAGTTTGACGTGGCTTGCTTCTGGTTGTCGCTACAAACTTGGGTAAATTTCCAAAATCTATTTTTTCTCAATTGAGCTACTAAAAGAACGTAGATTGATCTAGAAAAGTTTTCAGACTGGAGGTTATTTTAAGCTCGTTTTGAGGCTTGAATCAGTTAGACCATTATAACAGACGGAATTCTTTGAAGAAAAATAGATATACCCCACTGAAACAATTTTATCAACGACTGAAGCTCTTCAATTTCTTCAAAAAGGAAGTGTTGTTGCAGCGCTTGCGTGCTCATCTACCTCCTCGGCGTCGTGTGTCTGATGCGTCGGCGACCGCGTCTGACGCTGCGCCCGACTTGGTGGTCCCGAGGCGACCCGGCCCTTGCCCCGGGCTTCCGGAAGGCCGTAGTTCCCCTTCCCGACTGCTTCGCCAACGCCCGAATGTTGTCTCCCGCGTGATCCAACTTCCTTTCCACTTTTTGCTGTAAATTCCTGTAAGCTTTATTCTAATTCTACGGGTCCAACCTTGCCTTTCAACCCTAAAGTTCATTCACGAAAACTTCTTAGAGTTCAAAACCTGAATCTACCGATTTTGTTTCCGACATTTTCAGTTAATTGAAAAGTTTACAAGTTTCTGAAGCTTCTAGAAGGGTCGTGAATGACGTAGTTCTGTTATTCAGGTTATCATATACCATAAAGTTTTAGAGAGTACCTCAATTCATCCGAATAGCATCTCATTTTCAGTCCAACTTGTATAATAATCTCATCTTGTAAATTTACGGGTCAATGAAGATTTTTTTGAAACTTTTTTTAAATGCCATAAAAAGTCAAGGAGTTTGATAAAAATATATTCGATTCGCATCTGCTCTCTTTGAAAAAAGGTTATTTTACAGAATATTCATAAATTCCCTAGATAAATTAAATTTTCATAAAATTTCAATTAATTTTTCTGTTTGCCATCGAATTTCTAGTTTTTAACGCTGCCAATTACGAGGCTTTCTCTCGGGTTTCCTCTGCAAAAATGACACTTTTGGAAAATAAACGTCGGAAAAAAGGCTGAAGATGCGAAAGGCGTGGTCATCAGCCAATTAAATCTCGTCGAGCATTGTGTTGTCTCAAATCTTTTTCCGGTTTCTGCTCATCACAAATAAACTGAACTTTTCAATGTAAAACTAATCTGTCCTTTTGAATTCACCCACCTAATGTATAAAATGTGTTGGTCTTTCAATTTGGGGATGTTTCGTGTGTTTTCTTTTCAGAAATCTATCTTTCAAATGTTAAGGTAAATTTTATTTATTACATGAACTTAAAATGAAAACATGAACACTCGGAGTTTTCCAAAACATCACATTTTATTAAATAATAAATAACTTGGTTCCGCTCTTGATACTTTCTCAAAATGTCTTATATTTTTTTCCTGTTTTTTTCATTTTTTTCAGAGTATAACTTAATGGGAAAAAAACTTCAGAAGTAGAGCAAAAAAATTATCTTTTTGAAAAAAATATTATAATAAAATGAAGAAACTTTTTTTGAATTTGTGTCCAACTTTTGAATTCACAGCTCAAAAAGTCAACAGAAACAATTTTCGATTGCAAAGAATCAAGAGATGATTTTCTGAATTTTTGATTTTTTTTTTCAGTTTCCCACTGATTCGTAAAGTTTCGTCAGAATTATTTCCATGATCTTTTAGAAGATCAGAAACGGAATAAAAAAACCTCACAAAAAAATTGATTTCTTATTTTCATAATTAGGTATAGATAAAGACCGCAAAGCCACGCCCCTTTTTCCTGAAGGTTGAACGAACTGTTTTTTTTTCAGTTGTTGTGCTTGTGTTTTAGTGTAAGCATTACTGAACCAAAAAAGGAGAAAACTGAAACACAAAAAGAAAAAGATGAAAAACTGACTATTTTTTTTTACTATTCTTTCTGTCATTTTCTTTCTTCATTTTCAACCTTTTTCGGAAAACTAAACTGTTCTAAACAGGAGATGGAAGCAGCTACCCAACCATGGTGATTTGAAATCATAAAAATTTTGAAGATTACGTTACGGTACTTAAAATACACCGGTTTCTATCAACCTTCTTTGAATGTAATAAAAGATCCAGGTTCAAAAATCGAGAGAAGAAGTAGAGGGTGGGCTCTTTTTTTCAAAGCTAAGCGCCGATCTTTCCGCAAACGAGTGATCGCTTCCTACTGCCAAATAAGGCTAATACCCGGGGAGAAGAGAAGTCTGAGGATCGCCACTCATAAAACACGGACCTTTTTCCCTTTGCCTGAAGCGACAAAGAAAGGTCGAAAAGCCGGCGGCCATTGTTTTGGCGGATGAGAAAGGCAGGCAGGACCAATTGATGCGTGAAATGGCCGCGTCTTTGCTTCGAAAGTCGAGCCGCCGAGATGTTTCCGCCGCCCAATCACCGAATTACCGCTCCACGGCACACGACCGCCGAGCACGCAATCCTATTTTTTGACTCCACTGTTCTTCCTTTTCTGGTCAAGTTCCGTCTTAAAATTGGGTCGAAGGCCAGTTTGTCCGTCAGCCTAACACTATCTTCCGTTTTTGGCCTCTGGTACCTATTTATTTTGAAAATTGTTCTGATTTCTTCCTTCAAATGATGCTAGGAAAATTAATTACATAATCAGGTACTTCCTTTTTACTTTGTGGTTGGGAGTTTCCTAAAAATCGGCCGGAACCCTTCTTGATATACCAGAAAGTTTCAAGCTCAAAAACGACCTATAGCCTGTGTACCACGACTTGGAGTTTCACGGGACGACATTCCGCTGTGCCGCTGCGCGCCTTTGCGAACCTTGGTCGCTCTATTAATTATTTTTTTCTTTTATTAAGGTACTCTACTTTCCTGTGCTACCACAGCAATATCGATAAATTGAAAGAGTGACCTAGATTCGAAAGACGCTTCGCGAACGCACGCAGCGGAACAGCGGAATGTCGTTCGGTGAAATTTCAAGTCGTGTCACACAAACTATACATATTGTACCGAATTTTGAGGTTTTCAGGTTTCCTTTCTCAAAAAATAATAGATGAGCAAGATAAAACTTTCAAGATCCTCATCTGGAACATCAAGGAGTGTTCTAGCTAATTTTCAAGAAATTCCTACCAACAGAGTAAAAGGACCTCCTTGTGAGTCCCTTTCTTTTCTCTCTTGATTTACTGCCATTGCAGAAAAAAAACTACAAGAAGTCTCAATTACCCTATTTTTGCACTTAGTTCCGCTTCTGCTTCAAATATAGTCTCATCTTCCGTTTTTTTTTTTCTGAGATTTCTTACACAAAAAACTTTTTTTTCTTCACAGGTGGGGTCCACCTAGTGGTCTTTTTCCCTCCCTGCAACATCACCATACCATCCCGATGTTGCGAAAAATAAACAAATTGATTTATTGATTGATTGAGATATCTCAAAGCTCATAGCCATCTCCATTCTGTTATTTTTTCTCGTCTGATGTCTGGTTGGATGTCCGCGTTTCCCTGACAAGACATCATTTTCTTCACAACAGCCAATTTTCTCAGACAAATCTTTTCGTCCTACTTTAATTCCAGTTGAGACCTGAAGCACGGCAGAATTTTCCAATTTCGCAACCATTTTCCAGTTTTTCATTTAGTTCACGGCTCTCCGGGTGACCTTTTGTGTTCAATTTTCCGAGATCGTACGGAAATACTTGGGGTTAGCCATGTGTTCATTTCTTTTTGGGCAGCTCTGATAAAAGTAAGTCAAAATTATAGTTCGTTTTGCGCCAGCTTGTCTCGTTTTTTTCCCGAAGAAAAAAAAACCGTTTTGCTGTACTTTTTTCAGTTTCGTGAAAAATGCGAGCTGTAGTTTTTTCATTTTTTAAGAAACGGGACCGTCTAGCGTCTAGCACACTAATTCACCACGGCTGAAAGCTTTTCAAATTCATCATAGGGGTCTCATTTCTATCACCTTCTTGTTTAATTCCGTGCGAGTATTTTCTCTTTCGTGGTGGCTCTCATTCTGAGGCATCCACCTAGAGCACGATCTCCGGGTTCCAGCACAACATCCGCTAAACTCTGAGCTCGTCGGCGCAACTGAACGAACTACGCGCATAAGAACGAAGTAAAAGACCGTAAGACCTGGCTATCAGCTAGGTCAACTACACGTTTGGACTTCTAGTTTGCCAAAGGCGGTTGTTCGGCATAGTTTTGAAAGTAATTTTCCATCTTCTAGTCGATTACATTTGTGATTATAAAAATATAAGCATTGACTGATTTGTCGATAAGATACTCCGAGGAATGTAACTTCATTTCTTATTTGATCAAAACACTTTTTGATTTTGTGAGATGAATTTTATGAGATTCCGATCTTGCAAAAGTTCTCAGTTTCAATTGTAGAAATCTTCAAAACTGGTTTTAATTGATGCGAGCAATTGACGGAAACTCCGAGGCAATCTTGAAATCTTGAAAGTTTTGGCAAGTTATGCTTTAAGGAGGTCTATCTAACGTTAGATTATCTAACGATTCAAAGAACGTTTAGAGCAAGTTTCAGAGAAATCAAAAGTTTTCTATAACCTCAGGAACACCAATCTATTGAAGAAAAAAAATTTAAAAAACCGCTGAAGACACGATCCAATGAAAAATTCCGAAAATAGGAAATATCGATGAATCCGGGCGTTGGAAACCTCGCGAGGAATTTCTAAACAGCTCTGGAACATTCGACGGCCAAGGTAAATAAATGTTATGCCTCCAATCCGAGTAGTTTCCGTCGTTTCTGTGCAGCCGCGTCGCACAGCCGGGTCGCAGAGATATGTAATTGGACTTTCTGCACTGACTGACTTGTTTTCCAGACTGCCTTTCTTGTTGATCGTTTCTTTTTTCTCAGAATCTGAAGACGACGAGATGATGTGTTTATGCGACTCATCTCATTTTTTTTCTTCTTAAATAACTCATCAAGTTTTTGAACATTTTTGTGAATCACATTACAACAAAAAAAGGAAGGTCATAATTTTATAGTTAAAAAAACGGCAAAAAAAGAGATGCCCGTTTCTCCAAATTAGTTTGTTTATTCATGTACCTTTGTGAGGAAGGATGTTTAATGAACTCTTATTGAGGCTCTGATTGTGAGGTAAGGCATCTAGTTTTCAAAAAATTCAAACTTAGTCATCTTATTTTTTCTAAAAAAGAAAAATTAAGAGTCACCAAAAACCAGTTCTTTTCGGTCTTTTTTTTGACTGTAGTTTTTACTCTGATCAGGTTTCAGACAACCATGATATCCACCTTGATGAGTGTGAGAACAAAAAAAAGTTTATTGGAAAAAAAAAGAGAGGCTGTCATATCGGATTCTAGTTCCGTTTCAAACGAATGCATTATAAAAGCGAGCCGCGAGAAACTGAAAAAGAAGGTTTCGCTTCGAAATCCGTGAATCATTCTTTTCCCAACTTCTTCCAGGTACTCGTGAACTTGATCACTCTTTCTACGTTTCGAACAGATAAGAAAAGTGGTTTCTGAGCTTCAAATTTTCGATTTCAGAACTGTAAAGTGCCCTTGAGGGATCACTTAAGTCGCTAATTTTTCCTTGCTGTTCACTACCTTGGCGGTGGCCGGAATTCCGCATTTTTCGATATAATCTCTCGAAAATTTACTTCAATTATTATTTTTTTCTCACCGTTCCAAGCATCTGTTGTCATCCGCTAACCGCAGAAAAACGTAATTGAAAAGAAAAGTTAAATATATGATATATCATGTTACCTTTACATTGTAATTACAATTTTAAAGTTTTTCTTTACTCTGTACTAAGAAAATATTCAGTGCTTCCGCAGAAGAAAACTTCATACCGAAGTCCGCTATTTAAAAAATGAGCTCCGCCCATCCCTGTCGCACGCATAACAAATTTTTAGATTGAACAAGCTTCAACTTGATCTAAAGATCGTCTTTTAATTGTGCTTTTTCGAAAATCTTGACAAGGAAGAAGGTCAAATTTCAGGAAGCGGGTCAAAGAATGGATGAGTCAGCGTATAACTTCCGTCGAACGCAGTCCTGTCGAACGCCTCGAGGTTCTTTTTCACTTTCACATTTTTTTCTATTTAATTTTCTAAACTTATTCGTTGACCATCAGAGTTGTGGAAAGACACGAATCCTAAAAAAAGAAGACCAAAGAAAAAAATTTTTTTTTCGTTATTTTTTTTCTCTTTTTCAAAAAAATATTGAAATACGTTTAATGGGAAGTTCAACATTTTCAGAATCAATCAAAGATTTTAGTGAGAAAGAAAGTTTTTAGTGTGCCAGGTTCCTAAAAGTTTTCATTTTATGAGATTTCCTGTGTTCTGCAAGCTTTTGTTAGGGAGCATTTTTTCTTCGTCTTTTTTTTCTGGATCCCGGAAGAAAAAGACTTTCAATAGGAACTTCCCGGAGTCATATAAAAGAAACTCAAAACTTGTTACTTTGAATTACTTTGAGTATGGAACCTTTCAAAAAAATAGTTGTGATCCAAAAAGAAAAAAATTCATCTTAATAAGTCGAAATTCGATCTGGAATTTTTTAAAACAGGTAGATTACGAGTTTTCGGTTCAAAACGCGGAGAATAAGTTGTAAAAAATAAATTTCAGACTTTTACATAAAGAATGGAGCTTTTTGGTTATTTATCTCGTAGCCAAGCTATAAAGAGATTCCATCCAAGTTATTCATATAAACGAGGGGCGAGAAAAGCTGAGCTCATCCAAAAGAAAGATGAATAAGCGGAAAGAAACAGAAGAACTTGTAAACTGCATAATTTATCCGAGTGTCGGGCAATTGCCTTTTTTCCTTTGCCTTTGCCAAGTTCCTTATAAGTTCTTGAGTCAGGCCCTTTTTTTATTCATCGGCCTCGTTGCGTTTTGTGGAAATTCAGCGAAACGGACACGGATTTCTTTGTTTCCATTTCTTGAAGCGACGGAAGCCAACGAAATGAAAATAGAAGGACAAGACGGCGAATTTTTTGGATTGGCGGCAAAAATTGTCTCATTCATTTTGTTTTTTTTCGGCGCATCTTCTTTGCTTTTCTCTTTCTTTTACCTAGTTTTCATTTTTTTTTTGTTGAAAAAGTTTGATGAGTATTTAATAACGAGATAGTTTCAATAACTCTTTGAAATAAGAAATTCTAGCAAACCTTACTCATCTTCTCCTCACTTTTCAGTCATTCAATCTTTATTATTTTCTTTTGTGAACGATTATATTACTTTTACTTTGAATCGTTCTTTGATTTTTAGAGTTTTTGAGCCGCAAAGAACTTCCCAAAGAGCCTAATAAAACCTTTGAAAAAAAATTCGAGGAGTTTTCGGAATTTTTCGATTAGACTATCACATTTCTTCATATTTAATACAAAGTTAACGTCAAAACTTTAGCTTTTTATGTTCTGATTTTAGTTTCTGATTTATGCCCAACTCATTGAACAGCTTGGAACTAATTAATAAAAATTTCAGAGACTTTTTTTGATTATCAAAAATGTTTTTTTCTTACTCTAAATAGTTTTCTAAAAAAATAGTTTAACTTTCGAAATCTTATTATTTGGAATAGTTTCCTGATTTTTTTGAAGTCTACTTTTTTTCGCAGTCTTTTTCCACGTCTCTCAAATTTCCAAGCTCAGTTTCATGAGCTCTGTGTAGTTTGTTAAGCTAAATTAAGATTTTTTTTCAACATTTTTTTAAATTTACGGGATTTTTTCATTAGCTTCTTTTTTCCAATACTTTCTACTCGAAACTTCCTGGCGTGGAGTGTCTTTAAAGCGTTGAGAACTCGGAAAGTTTCAAAATCTTAGCCTTTGCGATGCATACGTTCACAAGTCGTTTCGAGTCGGTCGCATCCGTTTCAGGCTTCCGGAACGAGTTGAAGGGAAAGGAACTATACTTTCACTCTTTCTATGAACCAAAATATAAGTCTCATGACCGGATCCACTCATATTTGTCTTCCATTGAGAAGCGCCTCTTTGGATGCCAAACTTGGAGGTCTCGAGTTGCATCGAAGCAATTCATCCACCTAGCTCTTCGAATACATAAAATGTGAGCCGATTGTGTGGATAGACACGCGAGAGTTTTGTGTTTCGCACCACGAAATATTTCGTCTGCATTTGGCTTGCATGGAATTGCCGTTCTACGCCCCGAAATCCATTCATTTCTTCTTTTATTTTGTCGTTCTCGAAGAGATTTCGCGGGTCCGATCCGCCGTTGTTATGAACAACACTCGCCCAACATTCTTCGCCACTTTTTCTACCGTCCAGCCTTTTTTTTCCACTTTCCCTGTTCTGTTTCTGAACTTTCAAGGAAACTTTGTTTCTGACACTTCCTTTGCAAAAGACATTTTTGCAAAAAAAAAAAAAGAATTCTTATGGTAGTGACAGGAAATCGGAGAAAAAAATGAGATCAAACTAGATTCAGACCGAAGGCAGCCAAAGGTGGAAAAAAATTGAAAAAAAAATGTTCTATTTATTTCATTACATACGCCGAGCTTCAGAGTTAAAGTTCAAGCTGTAAAAATATTATTCGCCGTTATTATTCAATTTATCACGCGAAAAATGAAAAAAATAAGATTTAGACGGGAATGCGAAAAAAAGCCCAAAAAGAAAGCTCACTAACTTCCACTTGTTCCAGGCGTTGAGCTTTTTGAGCCAAAGATCAGAGTTTTAGTGAATTTTTCACCTGTTCCGACCTTTCGTGATAAAAGTTTCGTTCATTCAAGAAAACAAGAAAAAATGTATAACTTCATGGATCTCCTCCAAAAGCTCTAAAAAAAGGAAAAATTTTACAGTTTTGTTTCGCTTTTCAAGCTTATCATCTATTAGAAGACTGAACAAATTGTTAGAAAAAAAATTTTTTCTGCTCTTGTGAGCCAGAATTTTTTTGAAGATTCAGAAAAATCGAAAAAAATTTTTAATTTAAATTCACACTTTTTGAAAAAAAGATGTCGATTTTTTTCGAGCTAATTTTTCTGTGTGACAATAGTGCAGTCCTCTGTGAAATCGGATAGCGTTCATAGTTCGGAGGAATAATTCATGAAAAAGGGGACATCGAATTGAACTAATTCTGTGAGTCCCTTATCCAAAAGTTGTTCTCTTCCATCTCCTTCCGTGATGTTCTGAAACCCCTCAGGCGTCATTGTCAAAGACCGAAAGCCCCTAATATTCGTCATTATCCTAATTGGCTCAGCCGTCGTCGCCGTTTTCATTTTTCTTTCTTTTTTTTGCGTTCTTTTCCAACTTTCTCTAGGCTTTTCTAAGCTTCCACAGTTTGAAATGAATATTGGAAAGGTTTCAATTAGTTTTATTATGTTGGAAAATTGAGATCTTTTAGAAAATTAGCTTCGGAAGTTAGAAGCAGTGCTCTATGTCTTCCCATGTTATACGTTAACAAGAAATCTTGTGGAAAATTGTTGTTTAAATTAAATGATTAACTGATAATCATCTCATTTTTCCTATGAAACAACTAATCACGTTAATTGAAGGATGAGACTCATAGAGAAAGAAAGCTTTTCTTTTTTTAAGTCCATCTCTAGATGTTTTTTTGTTTCCCTGAACTTTGTTCTCATTGGAAAGTGGTCCTCAAGTTCAAAATTGGCTTAAATTTCTTTCCCCCTCTCAGTTACCAAATGACGTGAAGGTCGAGTCATGCCAAAAACATATTAGTTTTATCCATTTCTTTTCACGAACAGGAAAAATAACAACACTTATGCACGCGACTCTAATTTTTTTTCGAAATAGTTAAGTTGCTCCATTGTGTCTTGTCTTTCCAGCCAGAATGGGTAAATTTCCAATGACTCTTTTTGCGCTTTAACACGCGATTTTCTCTTTTCTCAAGTACCTAATTAAACTGAATCCAGTGAAACCCAAAAGCCGAGCGGTTCAAAACGTTCCGAAACGAAGAATTGAACCGCCATGGCGAGCAGCGATCGTCGCCGCTCCAAGTACGATCGATCCTACTCGGTCCAGGAAGAGGGACTCAAAGTTGGCCTCGCAGGTGCAACTCAGCTGAAATCAGGGAAAAAATTGGGGAAACACAGAGTATCAAACGAAATAGAAGTTTACCTTCCAACATGAAAATCAATTCAACTTTTATAAAAGTCACTCCTTACCCCGGGATTTCCTGAAATACTTCGTGATGTCATAGATAAAGGCTCTAAAAGTGGAAATCCGCTAGATTATAATTTCTCAATTTTTAATTTTCTATCCACTTGTCCAAAAGCTACCTTTGAGGGGTCTTCGATAGAAAAAGTTGTGTTGGTTGGAAATATCAGGATCTTCCTCCAGTACATAAAAGAACAATTTTTCAAGATGTTGAGAAAAAATCTTCCGTATCAGAGCCAATATATTGGTTCATCAAGATTTTTGTCCACCTCTTAAAAAAAGAAGTTTCATGAAATTAGAGAACCTATTTGGAAGTTTGATAAGCCGAAAAAACTGGGCTATGAAATACTTGAAAACCGTCTTATTCTTAGAGGATTCATCAATAAAGAACAAACTCAGGGAGAAAAGACCAAAAGAACGCTTTTTCAGGACCCGCGGGCCTTTCGCGGAAGTCTCGGCCGTGCAGCAGGTCCAAGTCGACGCGCAGAGGTTGGTGACGTTTTTTTTTCCTTTTTTTTCTTTCCATCTTGAAGAAATTCGTCTTGACATCGTTTGTTAGAAGCCAAATTGGGAAAAAGTGGGCGGCGCCGGAGCATTAGCCTTTGCGGATCCATTAGAAACTGCCATTTCAGGACCTGGTTTCCCACAAACTCGTCGCTTTCTTTCTGTAATCTAAGGAAGCGAATATTTTTATTCTCGTTTTTTTTTCTTGCTTTTGTCTTCGAGCTGAGTTATTTCCGTCACGTTCGTCCATAATTCTTCGGGGTTTCTGCCTCATTCGTCGCTCCCATTTTTGGTCGCTTCGAAACGAAAAAGAACACTTGACTTTTTTGTTTTTTGTTTGAATTTTAGTCCACCCCGAGGGCACCAAAATAATCCAGTTGCAGAAAAAAGTGCAAAAGTTTTGATGTTTTAAAATATTTTTTCCTTTAGTAAGATATAGTTTTTTGAAAACGAATTCTACTGTATTAATTTATTATAAAGGCTTTTCGGATGTTTTTTTTTTCGCCATGAAGTTCTTTATTCATTAAAATTCTAATATTCTCTTTCTGAATTTTTGAAGATTTCAAAGACCTTTCCAACAAAAATGGTTCTGATTTACATCAAATCTCAAAAAAAAGGTTAGAGCCGTTATTGGATAAAATAACATTTACAAACGAAAAAATTTAAAAAAAATAAGCTTTTTGCATTTTTTTTAAATAGTCAACAAAGACCATGAATAGATTTTCGCGGTGATTTTCTAAATATTTTTTCCTGGAAACTTTCCAAGATATTATTTTCAGATGAAATACTTTGCAGGACAGCTCGGCACGGTGTCGTCGTTAACCTACAGTCAGAAGCAGGCCTTGACGCTGTCCTGGCGTCTGATGAGGACCCAGGCGGCGTCTTGCTTCCGCAAGGTCCTTCTAGAGCTCGAAATCGCCTCGCCCAAGGTCAAGCAGGTCTGATTTTTTTGCGTTTCATCGTTATTTGGAGGATTTATATTCATTTGATATTAGGAAACGGCGCCTAGACCTTGACTGTTCTAAATTCTTTCAAGTTGATAAAAAAATTCTTTAACTAACTAATTTTTGCGGGATATTTTACACATACTAGAAAGACTTATTGAGAAAATATCTCAAAGAAAGTTTTATCAACTCAAATTTAAAATTTTTTCAAGGTTTGAATTCTAAGCTTGACTGTCGTGCATTAAACTGTAAAAAAATTGTTCTTTTTATTTTCTTGAAGTAAAAAAATATCTACTTTTTATTTTTTTGTTTCAGAAGAACTTGAATTTGTTTTTATTCTGATATTTTGAATTTTCAGTTCATATTTTGAAGCTCTTTGTTTTTCTCTTAGTCACAATGAATTAAACTTGGATCCAAGTAAGATCAGTGAGTTATGATCTGAAGCTTCACACATATCATTTGACATTTTTCCTGAAAGAAACAAAGAATATCCTCAGATATTCTACAAGGCCGCGCTGGTGGACGCCTTCAACAAGGACGAAGACAACAGTGCGACGATGGAGGCTCACATTCGTCTAGTTATCAAGTTCGTCTTCTTCTTCTTCTTCTTCAATCCAAGACTCTCCAGATTCTTCGATGACATCCTGTCGACGCTGGACGACGACGACGAGTGTCTGAAGAAAATGAGGGCGATCGGATCGTCGCACGCCGTCTTGGCGCGGAGTTGCAACTTCTCCGGCGACATCTTCGAGCGGCTCGGCGAGATCACCATGGAGCGCATTTGCTCGCACGAAAATGTTCAGGTAGCTTGTTATTTCAATTTGTTCAAAGAGTGGTACTGTAGAAAAAAATAGAGAATATAAGACAGGATTTTGATGACGTCTTCTCTGAAAAAAATTACTTTTTCTGAAAAGACATGTTTCCATTTTGTTCCGTTGAAAAAAAGATTTGATAAGAAAAAAATAAAAAGAAACGAAAAATATTTTTTTCTTTCGCTCTATGGAAACTTAGAAGTTTAATTTTTTTGTTTTGTCTTGCGAATTTTTTTCTTTCAAATGTGACGTGCTGACGTCGAAAAAAAGCGGAACCATGGAAAATAATCGGAATTGAAACTAGGATGCGAGTCGCGTTTTTGCGCTCCATGGAAACAAAAATTCAAACTTTCTTTTTTTTTATTTGGTTTTTTCTCGTATTCACTTATTCCTCATGTCGGAAACTGACGTTTTGAAACGAGGAAGAATTTGAGGAAAAGAGGATAATATTGGAAATCGCATGTGAGCTCCATGGATACATCCTTCTTTTACATTCATTCAAAAAATCGCTCAGAATCTGCAAAAACCGGAAAATCATAGAGAGACTCTTATCCGAGCTTTTTATCAGTGGAGCACAAAAGTCAAACTCATTTCCAGAACTCGTTAGCCATTTTTTAAAGAGCGACTCAAGTTTCAAGTTTCTAACGTTTCTTTTTAATATACTCGGGGAAGCCCAAGCGGTACTTCTTCAATTTTTTTAAGCTTTGAAAATTCTAGTTTGCAGTCAAAAAAAAAGTTAGCGTGACACGAATAGATAACCTTCGTCGTCATTTTTAAAAAAGAGAAATGAATTTTTTGATTCAGAAAACGCGAGAAGCGGCGAGGGCGTGGCGAATTCTGATTGCGATAATCATCGACGAACTGCGCAGCGGATTCGACGGCGAGGCCCGACAACACAGGTCAGACGATCGGTCCAGAAAGACCAGAGCAAAGAAAAAAAAAAGCTGAAACCGGACACCTTCCAAACGCGTTTATTTATCCAGTTGTCAGGGCGAACTTTTGAAATTCAGTACGCTTTCAGGAAATGTTCATCGTCTGACCAAATCGACAATTCGCCTTGCGAGGAAGAGGACGACCTGCACCTCAAAGTGCGGCAGTTGCGCGTCGATTTCGACTCCTCCTTCCAGACTTAGAAAAAAGCTTCAAAGGAAACACATGTCTTCCCCGATCGTTTTGTGATATTCCCCGGTTTGAAAAGAAGGCTGGACTCTTGGAACCTTCCAAAGTTCGACAATCGAAGCCTTGTTCGCCTCCATTTCCGGGAGCGTCTCTCCTTTCTTCGCATCTTTATCCTTGTTTTTCTGGGTTTTGTCATTCATTTCGACATTCAATTACATATTCAACGCTTCCAACAAAAACAAAAACGAAGCGAGTAACGCATAACAAATAAACCTAACGCGCTATATTTTACAACGTTGACTTTGGACAACAAAGAACTGCAGGGTGGACCTATAAAAAGTCGTTTCTCGGAGAAAAACGGCATTGCTCATGTTAAAGGTCGGATCATGAACTAACAAGATCTCATATTTTTCGATTTTTCATGGAACTTAATAAATTCAGCAAAAAGGTTGAAAAGACTTCTCTTCGAAAACTTTTGAAGGTACGAAATAATTTCTAAAAGATCACTTGAGAGAGATTGAAAGAAGTAGAGAAAGAGAAGGTTCAGATGACGAAAAAAGTAACATTTTGAGAAGAAATTTTAAATATTCGGAAATCCTACAAACTTTCCGAAAGCATGAGTTTCCGAGGAAGAATCAAAAAGTCTACAGAAACTTCAAAGTTTGGCCCTTGGACGCGTGCCAGCCTTGCCCAACTCCGGATTTCCCGTCAGCCGATTGAAAGTCATGATCACGTCCATGGCGGTCATGTTGCCGGTGTTGAACTGCAGCTGATGACCGTCATCTGAATCCACTCGACGTCATCAGGAAATGAAATGACTTCGCACCCAGGGTGGCGACGAAGAACGGCGGCTTCCTGTCGTTGCGCACGTTGGCCTTGATCCTCGCGTTCGGATTGGTCATTCTCACCTTGGGGGTCATCACTGAGTGCCAGAATGTTCTGGAAACGCTCATTCCATTAATCATTAGATAGAATAGATAACTGGACTCTGAATTTGCTAAAATTTGATTTGATTTTTATAACTTCCATTCCCTCATCGATCAATTTTTTTCTCTGAAAAAAACTTCCAGGAAACAGTTCTTCCATGAATTTCTCATAATATCCTTAGTTTTTCAAAGTTTTTTTCAAGTTTACAAGCTTTTTAAAAGGTTGTTTCATAAAAAGAAGATTGTTTAATTGAGTCTGAAAAATCACTAGATAAGCGAAAATGAAGGCTCTATGAAGCTCTTTTTTTCAATTTGAAAAACTTTCACGTATTTTTTTGCGAATCTAAATAACAGGAGATCACGCTGCTCATTAAAATGAAAAAAAGAGGGAATTTTTCAAAACTTTGTACATTTTTTTATGACAGCTTTTAAAAAAAGTTAAAAAATTGCCCCTGAAAAAAATTGTTTTTTTCAACTTTGTAATCCATTTCTGTGACAAATGGCATTTCGAAAAAAATAGTTTCAAAAAAAGATAAAAAAATAGCCGTCTTTTTTTGTCGATTAACTTCGAGTTTCAAGAGATTTTATAGGACAGAACGATCATTAAAATTGAGATTATTTTTCTGAAAAAGCTTTTTCGAGAAAAAAAGTAACCTGATGGAGAGGTTGTCGTGATGTAGAGGATCAAGCGAAATGTCAATATTCTTGACTTTCTGAAGATTCAAAGCGCGAGTCGCCAAAGCAAGACGTTCTGCGGGGTTCCACCGCACCCCGTAACGGATCTTCTGCCACATTTGGCACATCTTCAAAAAAAAATCACGTCATTGTCAATTTTCAAAGTGAAAAAAAGATAAGAAATGGCGTCAAATAACCCATAAAATCCCATAAAAAAATATCATGGAAATCTAACAAATTTATCGTGAGAATCTAGCGACGCGAACAAGAATGACAAAATGACAACAACTGCAATAAAGTAACAAAGGAAGGGAGGTTCTTTGAGAAGTTAAGTGAAGGGAAGAGATTTGAGACGAAATTATGCTTTGAAGGCCTCGACGAGTTCGCAAATCTTGGTGATGTTGGATTCCATCTCGTCGGGAGTTTCGGATCGGAGCTCGTGAATCACTTCTACTCTTAAAGTCCCCAAATTATTCTTAGTCTGATCGAAATCTCAAAAAATCAAGATTGAATGAAAGATAATCGCTAAGTTACAACTGACAAAAAAAGTTGAGCTTTGAAAAAAATTTTCGATTTGTAAAAAATAGTAAGAGTCTAGAAGCTTTTTGAGGAAAAACTCTGAAAGTTAGGGCTGTAAATCAATTCATGGGCCAAAAATTATTCATGACTACGGATATTGATCCTTTAAAAATGCTCTCTCAAAAACCAGTTTTTTTGCTATTTTTTTGTTTATACTTTTTTATCTAAACTCAAAAATGGCTTAGCTTTTTTTAGATCAAATTTTTTTCTCTTTTTTTTTTTGAACCAGCAAAATGCTAAAGATTTCCCTCGTAAGATGGGTACTGCAAATAAAATTGACTCAATGATTATTTATATTGTGTCAAATAATAAAGACTAAAAAACGTAAAAAAAAAAATTACAGAAAGCAAAACCCCAGCTTTATCAAGTTTTTTCTAGACCTGCGAAACTGAAAAAAATTCCAGAATCTTCATGAATATTTTCAAAACGCTAAAGACTTCAAATTTTCTTGAGGAACAAACTTATAAGAGTCGCGGGCCTCCTCGAGCAGAGAACCGAAAATTTCGCATTCAATGTTCTCACGTATCTGCAAAATCTCAGCCTCCTTATTCCGGATCTTCATAATTATTTCAGAAAACCTTGAAATCCGTGTACCCTCGCGCCGCTAATCGGTCATACAGAATGCCGTTGTCACATCGAAGAACAGCGACAATATCGAACCACCTAAAAAATGGAAGATAAACTTCTGAAAAAGACATCCAACCAGGATCGTTTGAGGGACCGGCCCATCAATCTATCGGCCTTTCAAGTCTGACGAGACCCGGCCTTAACGAGGCCTCAAGCAAAAACAGCCGGCTTGACTTGACACAAAAAATGCAAAATTTTTTTTGATGCAATTTAAAAATTGCTTCGAAGCCTGGCCTGGCCCAAGTCCGCGCAGGCTTATTAGCGAGGAAAAGAAAAACTCAAGACCCGGATCAGGCCGCAAAGCTTGAAGAACAGGTTTAGCTGGAAACTATATCCGAAAGAAAAAAAAAGCCGTTACCGTTCTGGGAAGAAGTCGCATCCATGGTAATCCACAACGACGCCGCCTCTATCATCGTCCATTCTGTCCTGGAAATCTTCCCCGTTTCCCAACATACATACGGAGTTTTCTGAGCTTCAGAACTTTCATAAAAGAAAATTTTTTTCTATTTTTTTATTTCGGACTCTGGAATTTTTTTATTGAATGAACCACAAACAGGGAGCAAGATTCAAAGAAAAAAACTCATAGGAAGTTCGTAAAAGTGAAAACTTTTTTTCAAAAAAAATTTTCTTAACTATTTTTCTGAGCTCAAGCTTTTTGGTCTAAAAAAGTCTTCTACAGAATGACCAGACAAGCCAAGAAAAAAATCTGTAGGAATTAATCGCACGCAGATTGGCTTAACGAGTCACGCGTCACGTTTGAAGATTTTAAGAAGGGAATCAAATATTATATACCCTCCACAAATGAGCTCGATCAGAGACAATGAGATTTTCGAATTTTGAGGGTCTATAACTTTTTTCACAGACCTATATGGCAGCTTTTGACACCGGATTTGGAATCAGCATGGAAAACTACAACTAGACAACATAGTCTCATTTAGAACTCCCCCTGTGAGCTGAGACCATTCCGTGGTGAGATATTTTATAAAGGCGCGCGAGTCGTTCTGTGTCGGGCGCAATCTTTCTCTTAACCGATTTGCAGCCGAAACTTTTTCATTATCCTTCCCTCTTTTTCCAAGTAGAAGCGAATTTACTATGAACTTAACTAAAGGGTCATCAATCGAAGTTACTTTAATCTAAAATTTTCAAGTCTTTTTTTTTCAAAATAACCTGAATGTGATCGAGTAGTTTTTCCTCGTCGAGTACATGACAGCCGTACTCATTGTCATAGGCAGAATGAAGGTTGTTTTGTGTAACTTCTTTGGAAACCTTCAACCAAATATAAATGAATTCTCTTCAAGAAGATCCACGAACATCGATCAAATCAAATCCCAACTTGTCGGCGACTTCCTTCGCCAGTGTACTCTTCCCAGTGCCCGGAGAGCCAGTTATCAGAATATTTGGCCGCGATCGCGATTCCGGAGTACCCATTCTGGAACTTCTTAGATTTTTTTTTTCTTTTAGCATAAATCGACTTTTGAGTGCTGAAATAATAAGACAAAACTGTAAATAGCGGTTAATCCCTTTTTGAAAAGGGTAAAACTCCATTGAGCTACAAAACGGGGAAAAATTATTAATATCTAAAATTCTGCTTTACCTTTGGTCGCACTAGATGAAAAAAAAATGTTCGATCAATCAAACTACCTCTGAAACAGAGAGTCCATGTAAACGTATTCGCTTAGGAATTAGAGGTATAACAATTCCAGAGAGAAATAAAAAAACATTTTAACCAGGTATTCATCATGGAAACGCTCCCATTGAAAACTCAGATTCGCCTTCGATATAACCCATCTTTATTACTATCATACATACATGATCGGAAAACAGAAACCCGACGAGGGAACACAGGAACGAGGCAAAATAAAGCAATCACGGGGAAATCAGTTGCGGCCGTACTGGACTTGGGCCAAATTCGGCTTTCTTGGACATGTCGATCGTGACGTCTTGAACGGCGACCAGGGTCTCGTTGATCTGAAACTTCCGAATTGAGGATGATCATCCGGGCAAGAAAAACTTTGGTCTGAACGGCGCGGAGTTGTTCAACATTCACAAGACGGAGGATTCTGGCGGCCATGTTCACAGGCGCCAGTTTGTGTTGAGGGATTCCCAGCGGAAACGACTTGATGTCCATCATTTTCTCAAAATTTCCCGATTTTCGAGTTATTTGAAAAGAATTTTCACGCTTGTTTAAAAAAAAAAGAAAAAGAAAGAGTTTTGTGAGTAAAAGTGCAATTTGATAGAGCTTCCTACTACGTTATGACGGTATACTTAAAATTGAAAATATTGTGCTTTTAGAGAAATTTGGATCTCATGGAACAAAAGTTGAATTACTCTGAAAATACGTGAAATGAACCACCTAAAAAACAAAAATTCTTCGTAAAACATCCATGGTTTAATTTAAATTTGGTACCTTAAAAAAAGTACATGAATTTTGTGATTGAGAAAAATGAATTTTTCCAAAAATTGGTCATTAAAATCCTTAGAAAAAAACTGTCGTATTTTCATTGAAATTTGCATCAACCTCTTGCAGAGCTACTGAAATGTGTGATTGATTTTGAAAAAGCTGAAGACAAAGGAAACTTTGAAAAATCACTCAAAAAGGATAAAAAAACTTCAGAATGTCGAAAAATATCACTTTTAGGCCTTCCTTTTTTTCGTCTTTTTTTATCTTTGGTTATTATATTCAAAAGATATCGCAATTGAATAAAAAAATATGTTCAAAGAAACTTTAAATCCCTTTTCTCTATTTGAAAATGAAAAGTTCAACTGACCAACGCCTTTTTGGTGTCTTCATTGAGAGCTCTCAACGATTCGTCGCTCAAATTATTGGAAATATAAATACAGGCCGCCTGAAACAAAAACCTCGTTTGGATTTCAACGAATTCAATGAATACCTTAAGGGAAACGATTGGATCAGGGTGCTTTGAGATTCCCAGGAGTTCGCATAAAGCTCGCACTTTTTCCGCGAATTCTGGGGTTTCGTCTAAAAAAATAAAAACAACTTTCAATTCAGTAGAATAAAATTCAGAGAAGAAAGTTAAAACGAACAATCGATGCGGTTCAGGGGATTTTGGGAGTTTTGGTGCTTCTCAAACAACGATTTTGCTCTTTTTCGGTATTCCGAAGTGGTCAAGGAAGTCGCATTTTCTGGAGATGATCATAATTTTCGGAAATACTTGTTTTCCCTGTACCATTGCCCTTGTAAAGCTGTTCAATGGAGATGTTCAAAAGTTGGTCGACGACGATTTTTCTCGAGCGATCTTTTGGAATACCGAGTTCTTCGATGTACTGAAAAAATCAGGAATTTCTTTGGCTTTTTCGAACAAATCAGGTTTTTCTTAGCAGTTATATGAAAAACAAGTTTTGAAAATTCCCGCAAAATTTTGCCGGATCACGCAAAACTCGCAATCACAGTACAAAAAAATCGCCCAGTTCGGTTTTAACTCATTTTCTTTGGAAGATGAGCTGTGTAATTCAAGGAAATTATCGGGGAAAGCCCAAAAAAGGTAGAAAAAAAAGTTAAAAAAGAGGGATGCTACAAAAAGGCCCTAAAAGGGCCATTTCTGCTACCTTTTTGCGGCTTTTCTTCTTTGGCAGAAATTTCGAAGACACAATGAAGGGTTATAAAAAAGAGAGGCTGAAAAGGGTCAGAAAAGGGAAAGGAAATGGTGGAAAAAAGCTGCTGAAAGAGTAATGGTATAGTTTCAAAAATGTTTCAATTTCCTGTTTTCGTTTTTGTTTTCCTTTGAGGAGCCAGACATTTTTTTTTCAGGTAGGAACCTAGAAATTCAGCCACAGAAAACATGAGGATTATTTCACGACTTATTATTCGTTTCCTTGTTGTGATCAGATTTTGACCTAGTAAAAATTATTGATTATCAGTTTATAAGGATTTTTTTGCTATTTTGACGGAACATTTTTATCAAAGTCAACTGCATCAGCTTTTTTCCCAGATAAGATCCAAACTGTTCAACTTGGAAACCTTGTCGATCTCGGCCTTCCACTTGGCGTCGTCCTTCTCGTCCAAAAGAGCCGCCGACCAATCCTCGTGTCTTCGCTTCAGATGAGTTTCTTCAAGGGTCGCCACGAATCTTCTGATCGCGTCGTCATCTGAAAATTGGACATTTTTCAAAGGAAATAACTTGAAATTCACCTTCATAATCAATATAATCGCGGTCGTACTCCACCAACTTCAACTTTCTGCGCGACATTCTGAATTTGATATCAAAAACGATAATCAAATGAATAAAAAGGATACTTAAGGGTAAAATTACCCATAGATACATTAAAAATAGAAATAATAAAGTAGGAGATTTATAACAGTTAACAACTGAAATTATAACAACATGGCAAGAATTATTCAGCCTCGATTTTCTTGTCTTCTTCCCCTTCCTTTTCCATTTCTTCCTCCTCCTCGTCTTCATCTTCGTCATCTTCTTGGATTTCCTCTTGTTTCTGTTCCTCTTCCTCTTCTTTCTCTGATTCTTTTCCCTCTCCTTCTCCATCTTCTTCTGCTTCACTTTCCACTTCTTTCTTCACTTCTTCCACCATCGTTTCTTCTATTTTGGCTCCTTTTTTCAACTCGAGCTTCTCTCGTTTCTTTTTCAAACTGTCGCATTTCGGGCGATCCGCAAACTTGACGTGATTTTGACTGACCGGATGGTCCTGAATACATCAATTTTGCTTTTTTACAGAAAAATAACTGACCAGAACAAACTCTATCAATCCCTTGTTCATGTCTGGACTTTCCGAACGGTCGGCCAATGAGGAAACCATGTCTTCGACCATTTTCGATCTGAAAACATGTTTCTAGGAGGACAAAGAAGTACTCAGGAAAACCTCGAATTATAGGTGGCCCAAACTTTTTGCAAGTGAGAAATCGTCGAATCCAAGACGGTCTTGTCCATTCGCCAATCCAAAGATTCTCCATACCTAAAAATTAGATTTCTTCATGTTATCATGTTACAAAAATGCCTGAAAATCGATAAATGATGATTTAAAAATCTCACTCGCAATCGAAAAGACACAACGGATCTTCGGAAGCCGTCGTATATTGAGGGCGAGACGGCGTCTTGGAAATGTCCAGCAAATCATCTACGACCTGGAATAAAATCGAAATTTAATGGTTTCTGTCGGAAATTCTTTTTTGAACAGAGTATAGTAATTGTCTGATTAAAAATGAAAATCGTCTTCCAGAAAACGAAAAAAAAACTTTTCGGCAAATCTTCGAATGCAAGTTTCAACACTAGCTTGTAAAAAAAAGCATGAATATATATTGGAACATGAAAAAAAGCGCCTGCATCCGAACTTAGTCAAAAAAAAAAATGAAAATAAATACAGAAACTTCAATTTTTAAAAATGAAAAGAGACTTTGAAAAAAAAAGAAGAAAAACTGAGAAAAGCATTGGAAAACCGGAAATGTCATTTTTCGACGGATAAATTAGAAAAGTTGAAATTCCAAAACAAAAACGGCCATTCTTATCACTGAAGCTAAAATAAATGATATATCTTTTCTCATCAACTCACGGTGGGTTCCTCTTTCCCGCGGCCGACTTCGACGAGGACAGTGACTATGAATCGAATCATGTGCCAGAGAAATCCCGTCCCCACGACAGTCAACTGCAACATTTCCGTCGGATTCTTCGTCTCGTCCTCTTCTTTTCTGAACAAGAAAGAAGTTCTGAGGAAGTTCGTCTCGAATTACTTGCTGAACTCGTCGATGGCGACGTCCAGAACTGTCCTCACGTACGACTGTTCCACTCGTTTTTCGTTCATATCAATCTGAAAAAATTGATACAATCAAAGAATATTTACTTTTTTTGGAAGTTTAATAGCGATTCGAACGAAAATTTATAGCTTTTGAAGCGCACTAAAAATATGTGATAAATTCAGCCTGAAAAGCATAAAATAAAAGCATAATTACAATCGGTAATTGAACTTCCGTCTGGAAAAAGAAAAATTTTAATTGGATTTTCGAAGTTTCAAAAATTTTAGAAAAGCTATGGAAACAGAAAAAGCAATTTTTAAAAAATTCTAATTGTAAAAGTTGAAAACCTGGCAAAAGTTGGAAAAGTCGTGCTCGCCAATCAGTTTCAGACATGCTTCTCGCATTTTCTGCAACACTACATTTATGAAACACAGAAAATCTTTCTAAAATCCACCTCGACGTCCAAATCGGCTCTGGGGAAGGCGTACCTGTACGCTCGCTGAGTACACGCGAACCTCGCATTGAAATCTTTTCGAACTGGAGCCCATCTGACAAAATTGACCATTTTATCTACTGCCTGAATACATCTGAACTTACGCAAAAACCCGAATCGACTTTGGCAAGAACTCCATTCAACATTCTTGACGTAGTTCAGCTCGTCAGTTCCCTTGTAATTCAAAATAATGTCTTCCTCCGAGTTAGAGTCCCAGAAAACGTGGTCGCCAAGCATATCTGCTGACCTTAACCATCAAATTATCATTAGAACTGAAAACCTAGAAGATTTAACCGAAAGTGATAGAAAAAACCTGACAATCAGAGCGGCGGTCTGCTTGAAAGCCGAGACTCCCTTGTCGGTTCTGCCGCATCGTGAATAGTCGCACTCCTCCCAACTTTCTATCAACCGTGTCTTTTTTAGCGCCATCATGATGTGCTAAAAAAAGATGATACCTTTATATTATATGAATTAAAACTCACAAATTCGACGGTATTGTAATTGTTGGGCTGTTGCACGAGGCCGTCATGCTCCCATCCTAGATATAAAAAAATTGCAGAGCAATCTTTCTTTTCGGATGATTTAAAAAAACAGAACTGCCTCGCAGGCTTCATGACTTTCTGCTTTTTTTAACTGAAATAAAATTAATAAAGTGAATTGAAGTTAATGCAGTAATGAAACCTGCGATTGGCGGCTCGTATTCGTTAATCGCTTCTTCCAGTGTTCTTTTCATACCCGTCAACCTGAAAATTGAAAACGCGTTTACTTTTATTTTATTTCAAAATATTTCAAAATTTTATAAAAGGAAAAAAAAATGAAAAAAGAGGACGAGCAGATTTGCTCCACAGACAAAAAAATTGGCATTAGAGCGCACTTTAAGGCAGATCTTTTTTTATATTTTTTTCATTCCAACTTTCGTTTATTTAAAAAAATTTCATGTCATAAATATTTATAAACTGAAGATTTTCGTTCCTCAGACATTTAAGAAATGAAGAAACGTATTAAGAGTACACGCCTATGCTGGCGAACAACTCGAACTCACAAAATGGGATATTCGTCCGTTCCACCTTGGATTTCAAAAAGGATTTGAAGTAAAAAAAGAAAACCTAAAAGATCATATTTCTCTAGCAAAAATTTTTAGAGTTCATCGCTTGGTTTCTTTGGGACATTTTCTCGTAAAAAATGGCGAAATGCTTGCCGCCATTAGCGATAAAATAGTGCTTCATCAGTCAGTTTCCACATCTGATCGACAAACAGGTTTTTAACTACTTTTCGAGATTTCTATAGGAAATTTTTAACAGAATTATCGCTTCCTCTACTTCAAGGCGATGCCATCGCCCACGTTCATCTCTCTTTGTCGGGTTTTCACGCGATTGTTTCGACCAAAAATGGGCAAAACTTTTACATTCACATGAAAACCAATAGTGTTCATCATCTCAAAAAGCTGAATGTTGGATTTCATCGACTTCGAAATACATTATGTGATTCTAGAAGGTAATTTCCGCGGTCGGCTGGAATCCAGAATGTCTCAAAGACACGGAAACTGGACCGATTCTGTTAGGAACACAGCAAGGTTCGGTCCAGATATATCAGAAAATATTTGCTGAATTGCTCAGGCGCCGTGTTGGAAATGTCGCTGTCGAGTTCCGGAATGGTGCATTTTTTGAAGGAACACACTCCGTCGCTTTCTTTTGGACAGTCGGGACAGAATTCCGTTGCTCCGATCACTGATATTCAGCTTTTTGCGGTCAATTTCGACGATCCTCACGCTAATAAGTTAGTTCTCTTGCATTTGATCAAAGTTCAAAATAGTTGGGTGATATCAGATTTATGAAAAATAGTATTTAAAAAAAGAGCTTTCAGAGTTTTTTTTCCCAAAGGTTGAAAAAAGAAAGACATGTTCAAATAAGGAATACCTAAAAAGTCTATGAAAAAAATAATAGGGTGGAAAAATCGCAAAAAACCTTTAAGAAGCTTTTTTCACTAAATGGTGAATTTTCAAGGTCTCGGAACATTTTTTCACAATGTCAGATCCTCAAGCTTTTTTCTGCGAAAAAGTATGAAAAATAATACTCAGATGGATCCTGATAATCAGCCAACCAACAAGAATTTCTTGTCTTTCTGCTTCCATCGATCCCGCTCCAGTCCGTCCGAGCGGCTTCACCAGTTCGGCCTCTTTGCAGGTAAATAAGATGATAGGAATTTATTCTAAAGTTTATTTCAGGCCGGACTATTGATGCCGGAGGCGCCGCAAACCGTTTTCCATCCATTTTTCAATTCCAAAGGTTTTTGATGTTCCAGTTCTAAGAGATGAATTGCGTTCAGATGTCCAATTCAACTGTCTTTATGCAACCACGACCGATGCGGCTTCCAAGGGAAAGTTGCAGCCGAAGAGTTGTCTCGTTTTCCATCCGCAAACATCGGAACCTTCCCGTTTCGCCTGGCTGACTTCTGAAGGCGTCATCACCGGAAGCGTCAACGTCTACGCCGAGAAGATCCAGGACGTTCTGGTAGAACAACACAATATTGAGTGAGTTCCGATGAAAAGTTTTGAGATGGTCGGCAGGAACCTATCAGAGGTCCAAAAGATATAAATTAAGGTGCAAAAATTTACTTTTTCCACTGTACCTGCCAAAATAGGCTCTAACTTTTCATTGTTTAAATGCTCTTCGAATTCACTCTGGACGCCTTTCTTTTACTCACAGAAGAATCATAAGATGTGTGATTTTTTGAACGATAATTTTCGAAGCAAATTTTTATCCTTTTGCAGACACCGCCTGATTGAAGGCAGGATCGAGGCTGCGGTGGGAATTTCCCTGACCGAGTATCATTTAACCCTCGCCTATTCCTCTCGTCTTCTCGGTCTCTCCGTTTCTCACCCACACGGTCGCCTATGAAGACGTTTGGCCCAATGTTTGCTTTTTTTCAACGCCAAGATGTTAAATTATTGGACCTCAGGACTTGGGATCGGCCCAAGGGCTCACCTCGGATCCGAGTTCTGAATTTCTTTGGCTGCACACCTCGACGGTCTGCATGAAATACCGGCCGAACGATGAGGCCAGGTACAAATAGAACAGTTTTCCTGTGAAAGAATGGTTTTTGAAGGTATGTGTGGCGAGTTTTCCTGGACCGAGGCGAGTATTCCAAAGCCCTGCAAATCGCTCGGACGAGGCTGAATGTGGAGCCTGAGGCACATGAAATGGTGCTTCGAAAGCAGGCCGATTTCTACATCGACGAGAAGAAGTTTGTTTTTTTTCTACATCTTGAAACGCATAGAATGATTTAAAAAATCGCGTTTGTGATCGAGAAAAGAGATTTAGCTCTTCTATTCATCCTCGCCCATGCTAACGACGTTAACCAACCGTTCTGACAAAGGTTCTCAGGGGGTGTACCCGTATTTAACCCGTCTGAGCACAGAGGATAGGACTTTCATCATTTCTTTTATTAGCTGAGGCTAGGCTTGTGCGAGGGCCGGCCCGAGAGCCCCATTGTTCGTTTTCTCAGTCCGGCTCGGCCTTAGCAAGCCCTCAAGCAAAAATGGCCGAGACCGCCCGAAAAGCGCAAACTCAACCGCTTTGCCCGGCACAGGCTTTCCAGCCACAAGCCAGACCCCGTTTTAGCCCTGTTTTTAGGGCAGATTTTCGAATAAACAAAGCTGGATCACCAATTTTTCTTGCATCCGTGGCTTTCTTGTTTCATCACATCTGACACTCGATAAGCTTCAAAAACGCGGGTTTAATACGGGTAGACCCGTTGAGACTCCTGCCCAGCATAATATAATTTTGACTTTCGGTTTTCAATCTATTGGGTGACGCAGTGAGAAAGTAGCTCAATATCGGAAGATTTAAAAAGAAAATGAACCTTTCACAATGGCGCCACTTTGAGGGGAAACCTTTGAGCCACGTTTCAAGGTGTTTCAAGTCGTTAAAAATAAAATATATGTCTTCTTTCATCTGATTATGTTCCAGCTTCACTGCCGCCGCTGAGATTTTGGCTCAGTCCAATGAACCCTTCGAAAGCATCGTTCTGAAGTTCCTGTCGATCCAGGAAAATCGAAAAATGGGATTGAAGACGTTGCTCGATAAGAAGTTGGAGAGGATGAATAGGCCTGAGGTAGAAAAGAAGCAATCAGAATTTATTTCAACTTGGAAGTTGAGGATCGAATGAAAAGAGACGCTCTGGTGATTTGGCTTCTGGAGGTCCAGCTGACGGAGTTGGCCGAGCTGAGAAGGTGCAAAGACAAAGAAGCCGAAGTTCGCGACGTCGTCGACCACGTCCAGCGCTTCCTCATGCGCAAAAACGTCTTCGTGAGTGTTTCATCTTCCCGAAAAGGGAAGTCATGCTACTCAGGGAATTCCTCGAAAGTTAGCCAGAATACTCCCTGATGCACAGTATGAAGATTCTGAAAGTCTCTGCAAAATTTCCTAGTTTTTGAGAAATAAGGGCTCAAAGCCTCAAGATGACATATTTTATAGGATTTTGATAGGTATCTTTGAGTTTGAAGCGTCTTTCCCGAAAAACTAGGAATTTTCGCAGGTTAGAACTTAGAAGATTAAGAGTTGGTTCTGATAATCTTCTCCATATTTTGAAGAAAATAAAATCGTTAACCAAGAAAAATAAAGTTCAGGACGCCGTCCAAACGAACCTCCAAGCCGTTTATCGGATGATGGTTTCTCATGCCGACTTCGACCTTCAGCTTTTCGTTGCCAACGCTGTGAAAGGTATAGATTTGAATTGAAAAGTTGATCATCTACTGGATGCTCAGACGTACGGACGATCGTCAACATTTTGATGCTTCGCGAGCAGTACAACAGCGTCCTGGAAGTCCTCAAGACCCAGGTGATTTATTAATCCTTGTTTTCAAGAGAATTTTATATTGCTTTTAAAAACTTCCACGAGATACAGTTGCATAAAAAATATTCAGAAAAACTTTCTAGGTTTTCAATTTTTTCCGTTTCAATTTTTTCTTCACAGTTTTTGAGTTTTTAGCAAAAAAATGATTCAGAACAGATTTATCAGAAAGAATTGAAAATAACCAAGGGTTCTATTCGCGTCACTATAGAATTATTGTTGTCTTGGAAGTTAGGCTAAATTTTCTGAAAAACTCTAAATTTCAATGGGAAAGTTTTTTTCGATCTAAAAAAATAGATTTTCGGAAAAAAATGGAAACTTCTGGTTTTATTAATCATTCAATCATTTTTTTGTGATATATATTTAAAGTAAAAATTTAAAAAAATCTAAATATTTCACAATCAACTTTGTTTTTTTAACATTTTGATCGTCTTGAATCATTTTTCTCCCTCTAAATGAAGTACACGCATTTTCATAGTTGACCCCTTTTCTTCTCTTTCATCGAAAATCTCGAATTCATTTTTCAGTCGAACATGGATTTCACCTATGAAATGGCGCCGTTGCTCATCGAGCACATTCCCAAGCAACTTTTCCTCTTTTTGCTCCAAAATGAACGAGTTCGACCCCTGAAAATCCTTCCGACCCTCTCGCTTTGCCTCAAGACCGATGTCATGGTAGGAATTGACAGAGAATAATTCGGAAAAAAAAACTAACTTTTTCAGGCGATTCCGGCAATGAAATATATTGATTGGGCGATTACTCGTGCCAATTGTAACGATAAAAGATTACACAATTTGCTCATTCAAATGATTGCCAAGGTTTTTTTTGACTCATTCTTCTCAAAAAATGGATGGGAAGTGTTTCAGTTCCGTCCGAATAGTCTGCTGGAATATTTCACGAAATGCGGCACCCAGAGAAATAATATTCCGTATGATTTGGAGTTTGCCATGCGAACTTGTGAACAGCAGCGTTGGTTTTCATTATCGTTTTTTAAAAAAAGGTTAAGGAAAAGTTAAATTTTAGCGCTGTGCAAGTTCTTCAAAAGTTATATTTGAATATAGTTTTCAAAAAAGCCAATTATTTCTCAGAGATTTCTCAGAAAAACTTCAGTTTTTAAGTTTTGATACGAGTTAGAAGTTTCTAGACGTTTTGATACAATTTTTCCACTTTTAAAAGTTATTCTAGATGTGAAAGTTTTTCAGACATTGAAGAATGCGTCGTTTACCTATTTTGCGTGGCAGAAATGTTCTTCGAAGCCGTCGAAAAGGCCCTGAAAATCTCTGTTGATTTGGCCAAAAGGTAATAACTTTTTCTCTAACCAATTCCTCAATAAGCTGTGAAAGATGGGACGGTATTTTGTGGAAAGTTAGACCGTATTTTTCGATTTAAGAAAATACGGCTTTCAAGATAGTTAAGTTTGGAAAGTTTTTCATTTCAGATGCGCCAAAATGATGGACATGAACGAAGAAGACCTCTTCGACATTCCAATCAGCACCGAACCTCGGTTTTCCAGGGAATACCGCAAGAGAATCTGGTTGATGATTGGTAAGTCGAATGGTTTGAAAAAGAGGTTTAAAAATTTTTTAAAAAACTTAGGGGAAAAAATTACCAAATTAATTTAACGAAAAAAAATAGCCTCCCCCTTAACTTGTGCTCTACAGATAGACTTTCTGAATTTTTTCCAATTTTTTTTTCTGACGTGGCTTCTTCGTAAAATTTGTTTGAGAAAGATAAAATTTACTTTTTCCATTTTTTCTTGACATTCATAATCTCCAATCTTTCAAATTTGTATTTCGTGCTTCTAAAAACTGATAACTTGAAACTTAAATTTTCAGCGAATCACATGATCGCCAGTGGAGTAGAAGCGACAGAATGCATAGGATTATTGAGAGAATCGAAAGAAGCCCTCAGTATTCAGGTTCTTTTCAGACGTCACATAACTCACATTGAGCTCTTCTCAGGACATTTTGCCGCTTTTCCCGGAATTCACGAAGATCGACGACTTCAAAGACGCTTTATGCGCCTGTCTTCGAGAACATTCCGTCAAAATAATGGACCTCCAACAAGCCATGAAGGACGCCACCCAAATCGCGGCCGAAATCCGAGAAAAGTCGGATAAGCTGAAGAATAGGTTCTTCAGAAGGTAGAACATTGGGAAATGGAATTCTCAGGGTCGTGGTGGTGAAGCCGGGAGAGCTCTGCTCTTCTTGTGCCCGATCCTTGACCGCTGCGCCTTTTTTCGCCCATTCCTGTAGACATTTCTTCCACAGGGAGTGTTTGGAAATCGCCATGAAGCCGTTTCTCGACGCGGTTCGCCGTCCATTTATTTTCTCGCCTTAAGCCAAATTTTTGAGAACGCGGCGAAATCGTTAGAAGACCTGATAGTGAAGGAGAAGCGTCTTTTCGTTCAAATGGAGCACATTTTGAAGGTCGGCCGCAAGTCTGATGCTGCCGGTTCGTTTTTCATCAAGTCTGAACTGATAGGGGGACATTTTAATGGGACCAGAATCAATAGATATAGTTTTCAGGCTCATTTTTGGCTCTGTATTCAAAATTTTGTAGGAAGGTGTTTGAAAAAGCTCCCGCTGCTCAAATTTTAAGTACTTCACTCCAAAAAAAAATATTTCAGCTTGAAAAATGCCTGAAAATTTTTACAACTGCTCTAAAGAAATTCATCAAACTCTGAAATGGCTATAACTTTTTTTCCCCTGATTTATGCGCTAACTTTCTGAGATTTAGAATCAGTTTTATCTGTAGAACCTCCTCTTATTCTGAAATACAGTTCGTGAATTTTTCACTTTGTTTCAAAATGATTTTCAGACGTTGAAGCTCAGTTTGAACAAGTTGAGCGTGAAATCGGAAAAATCCTCGGCTCCGACTGTCCTTTCTGTGGAACTGTCGCCATCAGGTTTTTTCTGGCTTCTGGATTTTCGAATCAGTCTCAAAAAAAAAATGGAAAGCTTTTTCTTCAGCCTGATCGACAAGCCGTTCTTCGAAGACGAAGAGTACGAATTGGACGAAAATTCTTGGATCGTTTAATTATTTATTAACTCTTTTTTCTGTACATAGAGAGATTTTAATGATAGCCTTACTAATTTTCCTTATTTTGCTACGGTTACAAAGTGCTCTACCAAAACTGTGATTCTTCATTTCATGTCATGAGAATAAATTTTGTCCCATTATTGTATTTTTTTGGGTTTTCGGTCAAGTTACCCCTGAAGATGTCCTCAAACAATGTTAATTAATATTCTTATTGGCTTTTTTTAGGATTTTATGAGCGACCAGGAACACTGGCGACACACCTGGCCGAGTGCGACTGTTTTATGTTTGTAGTGAATCGCGTTTTTTTTTTTTTGAAAACTGATCTCCAGGCGATTTTCTGTGTGCAAATTCAAGCTTGTTCTGTGGGAAAACGGTTCTTGAACTTGGAGCTGGAGCAACTGGACTAGCCGGGATTACAGCCGCAAAATTAGGGGCTCATCGAGTTTTTCTCACCGATCATCCATCTTTGGAAGAAGTTTCAAGCGTTCAGTGAAGAGGAAATCCGAGTTTTAGGCTTTGGACTTGTTGAAGAGGAATATTAAGCAGAATGACGTAGAAGATAGATGTGAAGTTGAGGTAAAGGGGAATATTTTTGGGATGTTCCTGGGAAGTTTAGAGTCTCGATTGGGACGATCTCAGGACGACGGAGAGTTTCCTCGCTTCTGTAGAATCCCTTGACGTCGTCGTCGCTTCCGACGTCTTCTTTGATCCTTCCACCTTCCAAGGACTTGTTAGAACTATCCGTCTTCTCATCGATTCTCATCCCAGAGCTCGTGTCATTTTTGCCTACCAGGAACGGGAGTAGGTTCTCTACAGTAATTAAAATATAAAAATGATAAGAATTAACGCTAAATTTTTAAGATTTTCATGGACTATGATGGGCTGCAAAAAATGATTCAGAAAAACCAATGAAAAAAGAAATTTTTTTTTCTTGGTTATTTGGGCCGAATATTTTGTGTTAAGTTGATTTTTATAAACTTTTAAAGTTCGGAAATGGTTTCTAATTTTTTTTTTTTGATTGCTTGTTTCTTAACTTGAAAAAATTTATGACTATGTCTTCGAACTTCATTTTTATCACTGTCAAATCTATTTGTGTTGATAAAAAAATTGCCTTTTCCGAAAACTGTTGTGAATTCACCAAAAGACTTCTTGCAAACTAGAAATTTTTATTCCTAAAATCTTATCAAAATCAATCACCTTATCTTTAACATGTTGCGTTGTCGTTATCGATTGTTTGTTTGTACTTTTCATTTCTCTCTGATCTTTGACCGTATATTCTCCCCGAAAAAAGTTCAAATCTAAAAACTTTTAGTTAAAAATTCTGCCAGGACGCTCAAAGGCGTCCAGTCGTTCTACAGGCAACGAAATAATACTTTTTTTCAATTTAGGTTTTCTATAGCCAAGCGAAAATTTTTGCACAGGCTATACAACTTGGTAGCATTTTTTTTGGCGTGTTTGTTAAAATTTGTGAACTTATTCTCATTATAGAACGAAGAAGCGCCTTGATCTTTTTGCATCAATTTTTTTCAGTGATAACTGGACGATCGCCGATCTTTTGAAGGCGCAGAACCTCCGAGCAAATTTGGTCCGACGTGTTGATACGGATCGCCACACAATTCAGATTGGGATCATTGACAGAACCGATCCGAAAAGAACAATGTTTGCTGGAATTGAGGGGTTGACAAGACGATTTGAGCATTTGATTTGATAATTTTTCAGCGGTGGCACCGGCTCGAAGTTGGTTTTTGTGGATGAAAGCGGCGAGAAGCGAATTTGGTCGACGTCCATCGGCACGAATTATTGTCTGGATGGAGTCGAAGTCGTGGGAGACCGGGTCGCTCAGTGGATTCGCTCGGCGGCGGCAGAAAATGACATCCAGCTTCCTGTGAGAGCCTTGGTGAGTTGGCCGAAAATTGTTTGAGGTTCGAGAAGTTTTTTGTTGACTAGGCTTGTTTTGATCTTGCTGTAGGACTTCTGGAAGCAACTAGGATCTCCATTTGCATTTTCATTCCCACACTTCCCGAAATGGCTAAAAATTCCATGGTAGAGTGAATAAGAAAGCTTTTTTCCCTTGATATATTTATGTACTCACGTAAAAATTTGTAAGCTTCTGCTTTCGATTCCTCGGATGTCGTTTAAAATCTTTCCAGTAGGTGGTTAAACGCCTTCCACATAGCTTCTCAACACCTACTCGCCTTCCAGAAGCCTGCTGGAAGGCTTCTGGCCGGTCTTTTTCATTTTCGGACCTCCCGAGACTTTCCATCAGTCTTCTGAATACCTCCCCAAGGCCTTCTGAAGACCTTCTAGCTCTTTCACCTTCCAAACCTTCCCGACCCTTTCCCAAGATTCGCCTGAGTAAAAGCTTTGTAAATTTAGTTTAATTGCTATGATGACCATGAGGTCAGTCATCTATCAATCAGAAACGGATTCTATCGCTGTTTTCTCTAAGCTCATATTCGAAGTCAGCGGGAAAAGAGAAATTTATCAAGCTTTTCAGGGAATGGGTCTGTCCGGAGCTGAAGACGATGAAATGAACAACAAGTTTGTGCAGTACCTCTTGTGAGTACTTCAGAGGGTGTTTCCGACATTCTCTGTTCAGAAAAACCCACGGCGACATCGCAGAACACGTCCATTTGTCTTCCGACGCCGTGTCCACGGTCGCCGCCAATTTCTCACAGCGTCAGGCTTCTTGATCATCGTCGATTCTTCGAATTCAGAAGGCGTCGTGATCATAGCCGGAACGGGCTCTTCTTGTCGGATGCTCAAGGCGAACGGCGAGGTCAAAGGCGTCGGAGGTTGGGGCCACGCGATCGGCGACGGCGGCAGCGCCTACTGGACCGCCAACAGGTCTTTCCCCAGCCGAAATCCGATGAAATTCTCCTTCCAGAGCCATCCGAATGCTTTTCGATGACGATGACGGTCTTGAAGTTGCCAAACATTCAGTCGAACTCATTCGTAAGCTTCTTTGTGAGGTATCAGAATTCATTTTAGTTTTGCAATGACAAGAATTCTTAGCATTTCAACATCGCTGACAAGGTGGGAATACTCGACTTTCTGTATAAGAAATTCGAGAAGCCGGTCATTGCTCAATTCACAAGAGTCCTGGCTGAACGTGAGTCAGTCTTCTGTGTGCGTGAAATGCTGCATCCCGTGTTTTTTTTTTGCTTGAGGAATGGCTCGTGGTCGGAATCGAGGTTCTACTCCATTTAAAAGTTGGCAGCTTTCTCTAATTTTTTGTTTTGAGTCGGGCGCGTCGAGCCATTCCAATTGCGTCCGTTTCCTTTCGAATGCATTGAGAAAAGAGAAATAGAAAAAAAATCACTATTCAGATGCTGAAGATCCGGCGATTGCTCAAATCTTTTACGAGTCTGGAAATATTTTAGGCCGCCATTTACGAGCTGTTTCAAGACATCTTGATGAAGTTTCTCCTTAAAAAAGAATATCGAATGAAAATCTTGTAGGATGACAAAAAGGAAGTTTTGGTGGTTCTGGTCGGAAATTTGTTCAAATCGTGGAAACTTCTCAGACAAGGTTCTAAAGTTCGAAAGTTATCTTTTTCCGATTTGACCGTATAGAATACAGTGTGATCTCCAATTAAGGTTTCTCGGATGCTTTAACAGACAGTGGAATCGGAAAAGTCAGCTTCTTCCTGCCTTCGGAAGAGCCTGGAATCGGAGCCGCGGCGATTGCGGCAAGAGAAGTTGGCGTCGATATTCCTCACGCCCAAAACAAAAAATTGATCGACGAAATCATCTTTTGATCTTTTGATACTGTGTAATATTGGTCCCCTTGATAAATATTTTGAAATACTTTTGCTAATTTTTCCAATCAAAACAAAGTGATTACTTATTTCAACCGAAGAGAAAGGTGAAGAAAACGGTTCCATAATATTTTTTTATACAAAGTTTTACATTATAGTACTGATTTTTTAAACGTTTATTCTCGCCAACACAAGCCAGAGTTGTTGCATTTTCTGGTTTGCGTAGCGAGTTTTAAATGTGGGTTTTTTTTGAAAATTTTGAAGATGTGTGTCTCGTTCTTTTTTTGTTCCCATTTTCGCTCTTTTATTGCAAGAATGAATTTTGATAAAAGCTTAGTGAAGCTCCGCCTATATTCCTGCATTTTTTCGTGATATGCCTCCTTCGAACCAAATGCATTTTGATCTACGCGCAAATTTATACGAGTTGCGGCTGGAATTTTTTCCTTTTCTTTTTTTCAATCAAGAGAATTTTCCTCGAGTTTTTTTTACAATAGTTTTTTTAAATTAGAAAAACTTAAGTTTTTTTTGGGGATTTTCTTATAACAACTGGAATATATCAAAAAAGGAGGGAAACTTCAAATTTATTTGAAACGCATACTCGTCCAGAATTTTTTCATTATCATATCGTTTTTCACAAGATTTTCGTTTTGAATGGGCTTTCTCTCTGCCTTATTTTTTGCTGGGCGCACACAGATCGATGTGGGACGCGCTTGTTGACGCTCACCCACAACATTTGTTTCGCGTGAACTTTTTTTCTTATCAACTGCGTTTCTTTTTTCGTGTTTTCTATCGTTCCCTTGCTCTGTAGTCGACTTTGATAGTTGCTTTTCTGGTGATTGTTATGAGAATTTTTGAATTATGCAAAAGTTCTCATTTATAAAAGACTTTTCTGAGACGTTTAAAAAAGGTCACACTAATTTCATGAGAAAGATTAATTCGAAAGTTCCCTAGGAAATATATTAGAATATCATTGACGTCAGCTTTCGAAGCGATTTCTTATAAAGTTGAAAATTTCACAACGTTTCCGCCCTATGAATTGCATCATGCCGTTTGCATGTAGTTCTAACTTATCTTCTTTTTTTTCAGATCTTCTAACACTCATCTTTTTCTCACTATGGCTCCAATAACGTACTTATTTGTTTGATTTATGAATACATATGCAAAGATTCAGGAAAATGACGCGCAAGTTCTTTGTCGGTGGAAACTGGAAGATGAACGGAGATATTCCGTCGATCGATGGAATCGTCGCATTCCTCAACCAAAGCGGGGGTAAAATCATTATTTATTAATTTTTGATTTCACCATTTTCTCAAGAAATGAAAACAATGAGCATTGTGGGAAGATTAGTTTTTTTCCAAAGAAGTTTTTTACTATTTTTCAATTTAAGCCAATGACGCCGTGGACATTGTTGTTGCTCCACCAGCTCCATACCTTTCATATGTGAAGAGTCAGGTGAAGAACAACATCAAAGTCGCCGCTCAGAACTGCTACAAGGTATGTATTTTTTCTAACTTACAGAGATTTTCGATTGAAAAATCCCGCTCAGGTCCCAAAAGGAGCCTTCACTGGCGAGATTTCCCCTGCCATGATCAAGGATTTGGGATTGGAATGGGTCGTTCTCGGACACTCTGAACGGCGTCACGTCTTCGGAGAATCCGATGAGGTTCAACTTCATTTTTTTTTCAAATAAAAAGAAAGCTTCCTAGCTGATTGCGGATAAGACAATTCACGCACTGGAGAGCGGAATCAGCGTGATTTTCTGCATCGGAGAGAAACTCGAAGAGCGCGAAGCCGGCCACACCAAGGATGTCAGTTTCTTCGTTTTCGAATCATCTTTTGACAACATATTTCTCAGAAGAGAAAGTTTAAAATTTACTCATTTTCGTTGTCAAACCGTGTATTGTGTATGCAGAAAAAAATATTTTTCTAAACTTTTTATAAAAATGTTTCTTTGAAGTTTTGACGAAGAAAAAGTTTTCTAAAACGATTTTTTTAAAAATATTTGCTTTTTTTTTCGAACACATATTTTTTTGTAACCTGAGCACTAAAGTTGGAAGTAAAGTTATGGAACTGCGAAAAATTTTCACAGTTTTTTTCTCACTTTCTCACTTTTTCTTTAAAAATTCCTTAGAAGGAGTTTTTTTTACTGGTTTGAAATTGGTTTATCGAAAAAAAAAAATCTTGAAAAATTTGGAAATTTGACCATCGGTCAAAAATTGTCACTTGAAATAGGAAAAAAATTTGAAGTTTTTTTGAACGAACTGATTCTAAACACAGGTGAACTTCCGTCAGTTGCAAGCGATTCTGGACAAGAAGGTCGACTTCACCAACATCGTCATCGCCTACGAACCCGTCTGGGCCATCGGAACCGGCAAGACGGCGTCGCCAGAACAAGCTCAAGAGGTTTGACTATTCAAATGCAGAAAAATTAAGATATTTGAATGAAAAATCGAAGTCTGAGAAAGTAGAAAAAGTTTTTTAGAATTCAGATTCTGAGAGATTATTGATAAAGTGAGTTTTCTTCACAGGTGCACGAGTGGATCCGACAATTCTTGCGCGAAAAAGTCTCCTCTGAAGTCGCCGACAAGACTCGCATCATTTACGGAGGTTGGTTGATTGGTTTATTCTCAATATGTCTTTTTTTCATAAAAATTGAATTCCTGATAGTGTAAAGTAAAAATATGTACTGAAAACTTTTGAACTTGGAAAATGCCTAAAAAGTCGATTCCTTTTCCTTTGTCGTTAAAATTTTATTCCGATTCCTATTCGATTCCATCTGACTAAAATAAGCAATAATGACGATGAAAAAACTACTTTTTTTCTTTAGGCAGGGTCATTTTCGCAAACGAACTTTTTAGCGCAAACGTAGTTATTTTTCTTTATAAAAGGGCTATGTCCCTACTGTCGGTTTCTTTTAGTAGAATGTTTTCCTCGGACGGTTCTAAGAAACTTCGGAAAATCAGAGTTTTAAAATTTTTGTCGGTTCTCTCAAACTTATTTTTTTTAGTTTTCAGCTCAGAGTGTAACTTTGAAAAATTAAATGATTTTTTTTCAAAAAAATATTTCTAATTTTTTTTTACCGACTGTGTTTTTCAATTTTTCAAATATATAAGTTGACGTTTCTCACAAGTTTGAAGGTGAAGAATGCGTGCTTGACGGAAAATATGAATGAAACTGACTTTTGACCCTGAAATTTTTATTTGAGTTAGTCTATGATCTTTCGAACATCACAGTAATGTGTTAGCGAAAAAGAAAATTAAATTTTTTTCCATTTTATTCGATTTTACAGGATCGGTGACGGCTGATAACGCCGCGGAACTTGCCAAGAAGAACGACATCGACGGTTTCTTGGTGGGCGGAGCCTCGTTGAAGCCCGATTTCGTCAAGATCATCAACGCCCGATCTTAATTCTCTTCCCATAATTTCAATTTAGTTGTATTTTAGCGCACAATTGATTATGTCCCCTGTATTTTTGCACACGAGATTTTAACAAGTACCCTCTGGCCACAAATTGCTTCGATTTCAGTTGTTTTAATGTATTTAATTGCTGACCGGTAGATGAGATAAATTTTTAATGCATCATTTTTTGTTCGTTTCAGGGCGTATGAGATGTTGAAAAACGTTAAGATACATTGTGATTTGAAATTTTCTTCTATTTCCTAAAGATTGGAATTTTTAGAAAAGAAGGGCCATGAGTAATCAATACATAAACGAGCCAGTCACCAGTGGAAAGGTTCGATTTTTGATATATTTTTTTCTCGAATCAGAAGAGACAAATCTTCAGGATTAAAAAAAACTTCTCTAGTGGAAAAAAATTAGTTCTGAATAATTTTTTTCTCTTTGAAGTTCATAAACTAATTTTCATAAATTTTCAAATTTTTCTTCTCGTATTGGTGCTTAAACGTAGGAAAAGCGGCTGAAAAATTTTCAATTTCATTATTTTTAGCTTTTTTGTAAATCTCAAATAGTGATATAGTTTTTTTATATTTTTTTGAAGCTTGAAAAAGTTTTAACGTAGTGAGACGTCGAAAAAAGTTCCGGTGTACACAATTTCTTTTGATGTAGCTCTAAAAATGAGGAAAATTAGAAAGTTCCTCCAAGTAAACTTTTTTTTTCCTGATTCTACTATTTTCTCCGTTCAATTGAAATGTAAAACTTCTTGCTGTTTCGAACGTTTTTCTTATAAGGCGCAGGACGGTTGAAAAGTCAAAAATAAAACAGAGAAGTTAGCCTTTTTGAAATTCATCTTCATCATCATGATCATCAATATTTATTTATTGGTTGTTCTAGTCAAATGAAATCGATCTTTCGAATATATTTGTTTCAAATCTTTCTTTAAAGGTCTGTTTGCACACGACGGCAGGAGATATCGAGATCGAATTGTGGGCCAAAGAAGCGCCATTGACGTGTCGGAATTTCGTGCAGTTATGTATGGAAAACTATTACAAAGGAAGCGTCTTCCATCGACTCGTGAAAAGTTTTCAACTTTTTCCGAGAATCTTTCAATAAAGATCTTTTAGATTTCATCCTACAAGGCGGCGATCCAACAGGAACTGGCCGGGGCGGAGAGAGCATCTACGGCGGAACTTTCAAGGTTTTTGAGCAGGGAATAGAAGAATAAAGGGAAATGTTGATATTCGATGCAAAGAGATTTTTAATTATGGGGTTCATTTTCATTCATTTCAAAAATGTACTTGCTGTTTTGCAATCTGCACGACAAATACAAAAATATCACAACAATCAAAATAAATCTAACAGCTGATCTGTGGAAATGGTTCAGTGAAAACAAAATTTTTGCTTGTTCAATTTCTAAGTTTCTAACGAAACATAGTTATGTATTATCAGGATGAGTTCCACCAAAGGCTCAAGTTCAACCGACGCGGCATCGTCGGAATGGCCAACGCCGGCAAAGACGACAACGGCAGCCAGTTCTTCTTCACTCTCGGCGACTCCGGAGCTCCCGACCTCAACAACAAACACACCGTCTTCGGAAAGGTAAGAATCTCCTGAAAATTAAAAACTGAATCTTTTTTCCCACTTGATAGCGTCAAAAGCGTTGGTGTCGCTGGCCAAATTTGAGAATTTTCGAGCACTTTTCTATCAGAAAGACAATAGGAAACTTGAGAATTAGAGCCAACTCTATTGAGATTTTCTTTTGACCACCCTGATATCAGATCAGAAAGAAATGCTTCGAATATTATTATTTTTAGTCAAATAATGGCGTCATGAAATTGGTCGAGTTATGAAGAAAACAGTGTTTTTGGCGCATCTGAGGTTTTTCGCGTTGATATTCTTACCAGAAAGCAACAAAAAAATGAATGAACTTTTTTGTTTTGATATTAAGGAGCTCTAGAGAATATTCCTAGAAATTTTTTTTTATTTAACACAGTCGTTCATTGGAAATAATGCGCTTTGCTCTCTTAAAATAATGGGAAGGAAAAGGAAAAGAAAACAGGGGTTTAAACAGAAAATAGAGCCCTTTTCACGAGAGGCTATTTTTGAATATCATCTTTAAAAGGTTCAATGATTTAAAAAAACATTTCGAAGGAAAAAGTTATTATATCAATTACTCAGAGTTCTAAGCTGCTAATCACAACGGGCTGAAACATGAAATCCATGAATACTCGTGAATTTCAGGTCGTCGGTCCGACGCTGTACAATATGCTGAAAATAACGGAAGTCGATGTGGAAAATGAGCGACCGACGACTTTGTACAAGATCACCGGGGCCACGATTGTGAACAACCCTTTTGACAACATCGTCCCAAGGTTTTTCAGTCGATTTATTCGAGAAAAAACGAATAAATTCTCAGAGAGAAGACCAAAAAGGAGAAGAAAGAAAAGGTTGCGCGAGTTGTGGAGACGAAGAAGCCGTCGTTGCTCTCTTTTGGCGACGAGGCCGAGGAGGACGAGAAGGAGCTGGTGATGATCAACAAGGTGAAGAAGCCTTTTTGAAGCTTTTCTAGTCTACCACAAAATATTTTAATAAAAGGAGAATTATCAAAATGATATGGAGGAAATTTTGAAGAACCTCACCATACATCGGCTGGACCAGCCGACGTATGAATCTCACCCTTGGAGGCAAATGTCCAGTTATCAGTAAATTAAAATTTCTAGAAATTGAACAAAGGCGAAATCGGCCCACGACGCCCTGGATGACGAGAGATTGAGCAAACAAGTGGCTGTGACGAAAGACGAAATGACGGGGTACAATCCCGAGGAAGAAGAGGACAACCAGGCGACCGTCTCCAGCATCCGCGCCAAACTCATGAAGAAGAAAAATGTATGCTTTCTCATTCATTATAGGCCTGACGAGAAAAGTAATTTCCCTTTGTGGTTCAGAATTCCTTGAAATTTGACCAATTTGATTCTTGAGGTATCAAAAAAAAAAAAGACTCCAGATGAACTTGCACAACTTCCTAGTTATCGATATTGAGGTGGTATGGAAAAAACACTAGCCAAAACTCAAACGGCGACTTTTCCGATTTTTTCATATCGCTAGGGAACTTTCCGACGGCCACCTTTCCGACGATCCCTTTCCGACTTTTTTCCCTGATATTTTTCGATTTATAAAACATCTATTAACATTTTTTTTTCCTATTTCTTTGTGTTTTAGTCATGAATGACTTGCCTATTTTACATGGGAATAGTTAAAACGAAGATTTTATCGAGAAAAAAAGTCCGAAAAAATTTCGTCGGGAAGGTGGCCGTCGGAAAGTTCCCTAGCGATATGAAAAAATCGGAAAAGTCGCCGTTTGAATTTTCGCTGGTGTTTTTTTCATACACCACCGAAAATGATAGTCCAAAGATTGGAAAAAGCCCTTTTTGCGTTCTTCATGTTCAAATCTTATATAAGACAGTTTTATCGATTGGAACGTTTTTATTTTTCCAGAAGAGAGCTTTTAAAAACCTTTTTCTGAACTTTTTCTTAGTACCCTATGGCATCTAAAAGGTATTTCTACGTCCTTCGAAGGCTCTCACCGAAAATTACCCTACCAGGACGTTTTGAAAATCTCTGCGATTCACGAAGTTTCCCAGTAATTGAACTTATCTATTGTTCAGGAGGTCACATTCCAAGAAGAAGAAAAAGACGAAGATTTCGAGCGCCTCATAGACGAAGAAAGAAAAGCCCGCGAACGCGAAGAACTGTAGGAAAATCTAATCTTCTGAGAGTTAGCCAATCTTTTTCAGAGAAAAAATGGCTTCAGAACTCAAAGACATGCAAAAAGAATACATCAAAGCCTTGAGGAAACCGAAAGAGAAGAAAAAAGTCGACGATGGTCGGTTTTTGTTTGATTTTCAAATAAACTGAGGATTTCTTCCAGAAACTCCGCAGAGCGAAGCAATGGCATCTTACACGCAACTGAAGATGAAATTCAAGTCGAAGGCCAAAAATATCGTCAAGCAGAAGGATCCGAAGCGGGAATCCCAAGTAAATCGAGAAATTTAGGAGGAAATGAATCTTTTTTTTTAGACGATGGACATGTTGGAAAGGTTCAAGAAGCGGCTGAAGTCGTCGAATCAGGAAGCGATTCTTTTCGACAAGAAGATCAAAATTGAGGAGGAGGTGAAGAAAGAAGAAGGAGATGAAGAGGAGAAGAAGTTCGGAATCGATCTCGACGCGGAAGACGTCGCTGGAACCGACTGGTCGGCTTTTTATTTTCAATTTTTGACCTGAACTTTCTCACGTAATCTCCCTAAGAAGCTTACTTTATCTTGGAATCAATGTAATATTTTTGCTGATACGAAGAATCTTGTTCATGTGTTAATCGACAAGTAAACTTTGCAGGATGGTGCACCGATTCAAGGCGGAAGACACGGATCCGGCGTTGTCCAAGGCGAAGGACGCCAACATGCGTGACGTCAGCGAGGACTGGTACGAGATCACCGATCCCCGGAATCTGATCAACCGTCGGAGACGTGGCGAGGTCTAGATCCTTCATGGGTTTTTATTTATTCAATTATCTTAACTTTTGAATGGAATAAGACTTTTTCGCACTTTTTGAGCGTCCGACTTTTACCTTGAAAAAAAGTTTTGCAATCGTTCATTATTTATTCGATCAACTCTGAGGTTGTGTTTTCTCTTGGGAATGAAGTGAATGAAAAAGTAATTTTAAATCTATAAACATGAATCTTGTTACTCATCTACCTGTAAATATCCAACAAATTCTCTCACTCTTTGACTAGAATAATAAATAATTTTTTATTAGAAAAGAAAAAAAAACGGTGAAACGATGAAAAACAATTTGGAAGAGTGAAAACAAAGGAAGAACTGGGCGGCGGAACTCCACATCCTTGGGGTACATTTCTGGGTTGCGCGTCAGGGACTCGTTTCATTTTTATCGGTGCGCAATGGAAAGAAGCTGGAAGATTTTCCTTGGGTCGAGTGTGAAAGAAAAGCCGACCAACGGAAACGGGGCAGTCTGGCACACACACACACGCAAACTGTACAACACAAAAAAGGTACCTTGTTTCTAGAAATAAGAAGAATGAAGGGTGTTTAGCCAGCGTTGGACGCTGCAATTTAATTCGGGATGAAAAAAACAATCATTTGAAAACACCTATCAACAACCGGAGCGGGAGATTCGTCACCGGACGGAGACCTTGTGAAGGAAAAAAAACCGGGTAGAAGGAGGGAAAGAAATTGCGAAACAGCAACATCGCCGGCCTCGGAATTTGTTTGGAAACGCGGCTTGAAACTTTTTTTTCTCATCTAAAACCCGTTTTTATGTAGGAATATAACAAATTCCGAGATCGACTTTGGGGCAAAAACAATAACGAATCTAACGCACAGTGCTCTGAGAAATCTCAGAGAGGGACAATTAAATAGAAGAAACACCGTAGAACAACTGCACGAAATACTGAAGTAAACTTCAATCAATGTCTAGAGAATGTATAACTTTTTTTTTCGTCGAATCTAAAGCAGCTTGGGACCGTTTTCAAGAAAAGTTGGAACAAAGGAACACTTGATAGCAACGTCGAATCGATTTGGTTGTTGTTTCTAACAAACTTTTTTTTGAAAGTTTAAAATGAGAAAAGAAAAGTGCTATAGTTATATAACTTTTTTTTTAAATAGAGACTTCAGCTTGAAATTATAAAAATATATAAATTCCAGAAAGTTTCGCGTCTATTTGAGAAAAAAAACTGAACAACACGATTCACGTTCTCTACAGAAAATCAGTACATACACAAAGATCGGTTAAACGGAGCGCTGTGCGTAGAAAAAAAAATAATGATAAAGAGGCGGGGCCAGCCAATCAGAGATACCGTCAAAACAAAAATGCACATGTGAGATTTAAAGTATAATTAGATTAGAAAATGCTATAAGCAAACAGATTACATGAGAAAAAGAAGTCAAGGGTGCGGGTAAAAGTCGAGAGTGGCCGGCTAAGCAAACCACGCCCACTTTGACAGATCTTCTCGAAAAACAAAAGGAAAATGGCCGCATCGAATACGATAACCAAATTTCGATCTGTTTCTCCTTTTGTACTGTGCAATTTACCCTTAGAGAAGGTCTAGAACGGATGCGAAAAAGTCGATCAATACATACAAGGAAAAATAAAATCAATTCACGATAATCGTACTAAAACATGCAAAAAGAAGGATAAGAGAGTAACTCAGAGACCCCGTTGAGACGACGTTTCACGTGCACGAAATATATATTGATTAGATCGGTATTAAGGTGGAAGAAGTGTTGGGGAAGAATCACAAGGAAACAATGGATTCTCCGGACGGCAAATTGCCGTTAGAACTCGTTTCGAGTCAAGAACAACGGAAACGAAAGAACTACGGGGGAAAGTTGTACAACAGTCTCAGGGCGACGACATTTTGAATGGGCGCCGAGGACGAGTCGGAGTTGGGCTTGGCCCGAGCAGAAAAGGAAGAGAAAACGAAGGTCTCATCAGTATGTGGAGGCGTGCTTCATGTTGTTGATGATGCTCTGCGGGTTGAACTGATTGTGGGCCGTGGTCGCGGCGACAGCCGCCGCGTTCGCCGTCGTCGTCACCGCCGTTCCGCTGTACCGCTGGATGTTCTCCAGAGGCGTGATCATGTTGAATCTGCAAACTCTGTTTATTTAGGGGCCTTGAGCGGTTCTAGAGACTCTTTTATTAGTCTATTAGAAAGATAAAACTCGAAAATTCAAGAAATCTCTGACAAATTTTTTTTAGAATGTTTCTCTCAATTTCTAGAGTGGGACCAGAAGCGGTATGCATCGATAAAAACTCTGATAGATAAACGTTTATGAATTAAAAATAAATCCGAAGCTTTTTGTTTTCAAATTGAGTTAGACGCTTCAAAAGGGACTACTTTTTGAGCTGGAACCAAAGAAATTTAAAAAAAGCAGCTGAATTCAGAAGTTTTTTTCTTGACACTCTCTTTCAAAACAAGTACTTTTTTTAAATCAATTTTTTTCTGATCCTATTTGTTTTTACAGACCTGAAAAACAACTAAAAAAACTTTGAAAAAAATATGAAATTTCTATTCTGCTTCAGTTAAAAAAAAAGTCCCCTTTCGAAAAAGAAAAACTGTTTGTTGAACCAAAATAGCGAATACCGCTTCTGATGCCAGTGTAAAGACAGAGCTGAAGTGCTCCAAGACTTTTTGTAAAGCTTTTAACTCAGCTTTTAGGTCCCATTTTTAAAGGCTGACTCACCCAGCGGGACGGTCGCCGGCCTGTTTGATGTTCTGGTAGTCGAAGTAGCGCGGATTGTTGCGGAAGTTGAGCAGCTGGGTGAAGGCGCTGTTCTGCAGCGCCGGGTTGTTGTAAGGACTCGCCTGGTTGCCGGAAACGGCGCCCATCATCGAGTTGGCTGCGAATTGGTCTGCAAAGAACTGGTCATTCTACCATCCATATCTACTACTTCAAGACGCAAATGATGTATAATTGCACAATGAATTCTCTTAAGTTCAAGATCCAAGTGAACTTCTTTAGGGTTCACACTGTCCAAATTGTTATTAATATTTTTAAAAAAAAACCGTCAAATCTCAAAAGAAAATTTTTGACTTGAAACTGTCAAAAAAAATCCTTTCAAGAAATTGATACATGATTCATCTTAGCATAAGTACGCATTCATTGTGTGAAAGAGGACTAAAACACAAACTCCATCTTTTTCTCACTTTGCAAAAAGAGAAAGGATCAAAACACAAAATCCATATATCTCTCACTTTTTTCTCTATGAAAGCGTTGGAAAACATTTTCTTTTTTATGTTTAGTCTTTCATATTGGATTTTGTCGACGTCAAAATTTTACGCATTAGAAAAAGTTTTCGAAAAAGAAGAGAAACTCCAATTTTTTACAAATAAATTGGAAGTTCATTAAAGTTTTTTTTTTCGCGATGCGATAAAAAAAGCAATTTCGAAGAGGTATTTCAAATCTTCGCGCTCTAACTGATTATCAACTCATTAAAACAATAGCTACAATTTCTGGATTCGAAAGGGCAGCGCAGTAGCTAAGATTTATTTTTTAAATCGTCGCAAGATCCCTGGTTCGAGTCCCTTCGAGTTTTCAAACATCTGCCGGACGTTTTTCGAGCCAAATTCTCACAATCTGTCTTCATTGCGATACTCAATATTGTAAGCCTGATCTACCTCTTAACGTCATCAATATTCGAGTTAACTTAGGACTTCGATTACTAAATATTTACCATTACATTATCTTCTTTTCAAATGACTAAACGATTCAGCAGCTTTTTATATCTTGAAAAACGTTGAGCAAACAAGAAGATCTCTAAAATCCTTTCTAAACTTGTTGAAATCCAATGCCACCACCGCAGCCGCCGGTTTTTCAGCGGCGAATCCCCGAAAAAGTTTGAAAGGCGTTCTCAAAGCGAAAAAAAAGACTGTGCGCTGTCTGTTCCTTCGCTTGACCGAAACGTTCGCTTTTTTCATCGACGAACGAGGTCGGATGCCGACGAAATAAGCCGCGTCGGCAGGAGAGCGACGCGACGACGAAACAGCCGTTGGGCGCGAAATATTGTGCCCAAAGCGGTGAATCAGAATCCGATGTCTCTCTCTGCCTCTCAAAAAAAGAACAGAAACGAAAAAACGGCTGTCCGCGTCGCCCGTTTTCAAGGAAGAGCCGGTTTCTAGGTCAATTATAACAAAGGCACTTTCTCTTCCTCCAGATATTTTTTATGTTTCGTGTGGTACTTCGGCCCTCACACACGTTATGGCGCCTCTAAGTGTATGCATGCGACGCGGACGACTTTTGAAACTATTGGGTTACGGTGCCAAAGTCATTTGGGTCACTTTTCCCTCATCAAAAGTCGCCGAAAAAAGAACAAAGGTGTCAATTGCATGTTTCAAATAAAAATGAAAAAAAAACGTGGATAAGTGCATACGTTTTCAAAGGATGGTTGAGAATGCGTATATTTTTTTATCATTTTTTCAGCGCGGCCGACCTCTAAACGACTTGCGCGTGGTGACCAGTGAGAGCTTGACAAAAATCAGGCAGTTCAAAAAAAACCTAGAGAAAATTTGCCATCGCATATTTAACAGTTTCAAAAAAGAGTTCAGGGATTTTTGATTTTGATCAATAGTTTTGCCTCTTTTTTGAACGGTTCCTTTAAACTAAGCGTCGACAAGAAGTCATTTTAGGAGGGTTTCTCAGTTACTGAGAAATCCAATCGATTTGACGTTTTATCAAAGATAAATAATCCAATTCGCGAAAGACCTTGGCCCAAGGGAGCTGAGAAAACTCACTAATTGCAAACTGAGCCTCCTGGGAGTTGTCCTGCATTCCGTGCATGGCGTTCCAGCCGAGCAACGCCTGATCGAAGTGATCCGTCGGCAGGGTTTCCGACCTGAAACTTGAATTTCAGTTCATTTCCCGCGTTTTCAATGGAAGGCAAAACAAATGAAAAGAAGAAAGTAAAATGGACGGACGGACCCAAGGGCGGCGGCCGTCCGAGTTCTGTCGGCGTGTTTCGTCATGTGCTTCTGCAGGTAGGTCGACTGCGTGTAGGACTTGCCGCAGAACGGACAAATGTGCACCTGAACATCAACCATGACCAGACTTCCAGATCGGGGAAGGTCGGAGTTGCCAATGGAGTGGTATCCAGATGTTTAAACTTTCCAAGAACATTTCAACTTTATAAGAACTTTTTTTAAACGACCAGGATACTTCCTGGAGTACTATATGAACATCATTAAAGTCTCAACTACGAAACTTTTTAAAATTATGAGAACGGAAGCGTCGAAACAGAGAAAACCATCTAAGCTAGTCGGAAGCATTGAGACGTCATATTCTCAAAAACGTCAAAAATTCAAAAGTTGAAAATTTTAGGATATTCATTAGGTACGTTTATTGTTCACTCCTTCACTCAAAACGATTATCTTGAAAAAATAAAGGTTAGAAAAACTTTAGATTTACTCAACAGATCAGCCCGAAATCTTCTGAAAAAATGAATTTTTTCCATGTTAAACGCTACAAAGAAGCTCATACAAAACCCATTTTAAAGAATGAAATCTTTTGAAATCATAAAAAGATACACGATTCGATTCTGGAAAGAGGGATACCACTCCAAGTTGGTCACCCGTTTGACAGTTCTCTGCTGCGCACCTTTCTCACCTTGAGATGCTTCGACTCTTTGTGCTTCGGGATGTGCTCCAGAAGGCTTTGCTCGTCCGTGAAACACTTGTAACAACTGCAACATCGTATTTCCTTTGCAATACAAATTTTCAGAAAGTCTTGAAACATACTTAACTAAACGGTTGAAATCAGCTTAGGTTCACTTCAGTTGGGTGATAGGAAAAAACCAAAAGTCTTTTTTCTTCTCAACTCGCTTTCACACTTCACCTTTTTTGTGTTTCGAAACAAAGACTTTTTCCAGCAAATTTTAGTTATAAGTAAATTATTAAGGTTCTTCAAGAGGCTTTTTTTGTTTTTAAAAAATTTTAACGCTTTCTTTAAACAAAATTTCCTTTCATCACGAACTTGGGATAAAAAAACCTGAAAAAGCTCCAAAAGAAATAATTTCAATGAGTCATCCAGTTTTCTAAGTATACCTTTCGATTATGATCCCATTCAATGTTTCAAAAACTCACCTATTGCACTTGAAAGGCTTGTCCGTTTGATGACACCTTGAGTGCGATTGGAGGTTGCTCAGCTGCGAGAACGCTTTTTCGCAACCCGTGAACTTGCACTGAAATCCCGTCATTTATCTTCTTGAAACTTATTTAAAAAGTGGGGATAGAGAATCGGTGTAGGATTTTGATATCGATCTGTTCCAAATCCAAACCTAACTCATATTCATTTTTTTTCATTCAGGTATATTGAGATTTACCTTATAAGGTTTTTCGCCAGTGTGCGTTCGGATATGTTGCTGCAGATGCGAGAGTTGCGTGAACTGAAAATGAACAATTTTTTATAATATTTGAAGCAATTTCTAAAGCATTTTTTTTCGAGCTATTCTGCTTCTAATTCATTTTTTTTTCTTATTTCCCGTTTCCTGTTCCTCTTTATTCTTCAAACCCAAAAACTCTTATCAAATCGCCCCAATTTTTTTTCTTCTCCCGAGACAGTCGGCACTTTTTTTCAAAACGTTTTTTTCAAGACAGAACCACTTTTTTTGCTCGAAAAAAATCAGGTCAAGAAAGATAAGAAATGAGAAAAAAAGTCGTCGCGGCGCTCGTTTTTTCTACTGATTCTGGGGGTCAGTGAGACAGAAAAAAAAGCGTTTTTTGGGTACCGTAGACCAAAAAAGCTGAGAACGGCGTGCGCAGCGACGAAGATAAGAGAGAAACGGCCTTGAGTAAGGGAAACGGGAAAATACCGCCGCGCTGTTGTAAATGCCCCCCTTTTTTCAGTGGCTGACATTTTTCACGATAATGGACAGTAACCTAAAAAGTTTACGAGGAGAAGAGGAAGATCAGTCAGATAATCACCGAGGAAAGCAACCTCGATAGAAAAAACTCAAAGTTTTGAGCTCTTCGAAAAATTTTCTGTCGATTTATTGTGAAGAAATTTAACCTAGTCCTCACGTTTTGAAAACTTGACAAAAATTTTTGAAAAAAAAGCAAAATATTGCTTGGAAATTATCATTTCACAAAAAGAATATGGTCCGAAATAAAAAAAATTAGAACTTACTTTCAAGTTTTTGAGCCAAATTCCTGCTTGGTTCTTACTGATAAATTTAGTTTTACCACAGTTTTTCTTAAACTTTATTTCGATCAAATATAAATTTTCAAGTGGTATGATAGGCATATATATATTTTTTTTCTTAATGTTTTTCTCCGATTTGTTCGGTTAATCAAATCCAATTTACACGAAAAATCAATATTTAAAAAAATTTGATAAACCCCAGTTTTTGAAACTCCTCTTGGACCTGTTTTCTCATCAAATTTTAAAATATAATACAGTCTAGTCTCATTGATCGCCCTTTTTCAACAAAGGTTTCGTGTACTTGTGCGAAAAGAGCCCAAGGTCAAGGAGAAGCCGTGGAAAAAAAAAGAAAAAGACGAAACTCTTTGGAAAGTTCATTGTCTGTCGATTTTGCGTGCGGTATCGCGTGTCCCTTACGAGCCGTTCCTTTTTAAACGAACATTTTTTCGAGAGCAGGAAGAAAAAAGAGAGAAAAAAAGGCCGTCACGTTTTTGTCCCCACCGAAATGGACTCTGTCGTCCAATGTTTGGCCGGCACAAAAAGAGACCTCCTTTTTTTGTTTGTTTTGTTGTTTGTTCGGTTTCCCCATAGGGCGCGTTTTCGGCGATCCAAATGTTGCGATTTTTTCTCAAGAGAGAGAAAGAGCAGCGCAACGAGCACTTTGCACTATGTTTCCAACGAATTGACCTTTCACCTCATCCCGTTTTGTGTTATGATCGGTGTCATACTCGAGAAACGAGATTTCATAGTTTTATCATCGACGGCTTAAAAGAGAGATATCACAAGGCTAGAAAAATTGTATACTGAAACAAGAGGTTTTTTTCGTTTTTTTAAGTATTTTTTTCCCAAGCTAGCGAAAGATGAAATATACTATATATAAACAAGGTTCAGACTTGAAAGCCAAAAAATCCCTTAAATTTAATCAGCAACAAAAAAAAGTCTATTCATATCTAAAAAAAAAGGTTCGGTCACGTTTTTGTATTTAATATCAAAAAAAAAGCTTTAATTTTCCCAAACTCATAATAAACATGGATTTCCCTGAACGATTCAAACGAATTTTTAAATAGAAAAAAAGTTCCAAAACTGAATTATTTTTCTTCTTAACCATCGAGTCTCAAAAGCTTCGATACCACATAATATCAAGAAACTTGAAAACATTTTCAAAAAACTTTCCGATTAATGTTGATGGTTGATTTTGACTCATATGAATTTGCGAAAAAAAAAATCATTGGGCTCCCTGTTTCCTTAAAAGCGCACGAAAACTGTAGACCAGTCCAACCAATGAATATGCAACAACCTCCGCTTGACCACGCCTCTTTTCGTGACAAAAAAGAGGAAAATTGAGGAGGAAAAAAAATCAATAGCCCTACATTATCGATTAGAAAACTTCCAGAGGAGTTTTAGGCCCAATGAAAACAGATTTTCTTAGGCGCCATCAAAAAAATATGACTGAAAAGCCGTAAACTCATTTTTCTTCAAAAACCAGAAAAAGCGTATATTTTGTGAGCATGTGATGAGCTTTCAATTTCTCAAGAATGATTCTGATCGTAATATAAACAAGAAAAATAATATTTAAAAAAATAAAAAAATTAAAAAAATAAAAAAAGCTTTTGAACTGGGTCATCGACCTTTTTTTCTTTTTTTCAACCCAACCTATTTTTTTGAATTGAAAGAAAGAAATAAAAATTTTTTTCAAGAGCACAGATCAAAAAGATAAAACCCGAGAGTAAATAAAAAAAGCGGAGCTCTTTACGTGATTTTGCAGAGGAACGATTTTATGGATTTTTCTGTGCAAGAGAAAAAAAGATCAAAAAAATTGAAGATTTCATTAAAAAAAGTTTCTATTTCTATCAATCGCTAAATAATATTGAAAAACGGATACTTGCCCAAAAAAATCATATTGTTTACAAAAACGAAAAAGGTAGATATTTTAAAAAAATTTTCCCGGGATTTCAGCAATACAACGAGAAGGATATAAACCAAAGAAAAAAATTTCCGCAGCTGTTTTTTTACTTTTTTTGAAATTGTAATGGTTTTTTTAAGACTGAAAAATTTATGTGCTTCTCAACTTAAAAATTAGAATCAAGCCACTCAAAAGATAAATAAAGGTAAATTGACGACCAAATTTTCATTTTTTTTTTTGGAGTTTGATTTCGACGGCTCAATGTTGAATTTAGGTGAAGTTAAAATTACAAAGGCTACTAGTTTTATCTTCATTGAAAGGTTCAAGACGTTGAAGGAAGTTATCAATGGAGCGAAGATGCGTTGCCTTCGGAGCAATTTTTCGGTGGCTCAAAATTCCCATCGCTTTTCTAGTGCGCCATACAGAAAACTAATCGTTTCTTATCAAGAGAGGCTGAAAAACCGCTCTCATGAAGTTTTTTTTTCATCGTCTTAATTATCCCGATATTTGATTATTTTTCATGACAGGATGCTATACCGATCTTCTACATTTTATTTCTAACGGATGCTTTATTCAAATAGCTGATAACTCGTTATTCACAATTCGCTCTGGTATTTTTCATTGAAATGCTCTTTTTTACTCGTTGCGGACGAAGTAAAAAAGAAAAACCTTCTTGCCGCAGTACTGGCAAGGACCGAAGGGCTTGATCCCGAGATGGATCCTCATGTGTTGGGAGAGATAGGACGAGTTGGCGAAAGACTTGACGCATTGGGTGCACTTGTAGGGCTTCGCCTCGCGCATCTGCATCTGCTGCTGCAGTTGCCCGACGTCCGGCTTCGTCTCGAACTGAAACTTCTTTCTCGTTTTTCTTCTTCTTTTCACTTCATTCTTGTCAGTTCTGGTGCACCACAGTTCGTAAATGGTACAAATGAATGCTTTGGTGAATCTCTTTTCATTTTAATTTCTTCATTTTCTGATAGTTGTGTTTATATATTTTTAAGGGATGTAAAAAATTGTGTGATGTTCCCCATCAAACTAACTTTTGACTCAAGTTCCTTGTCTCAGGATAGAAGCAGATTTAGAAATTCAATCTTAAAGAGTTTCGAGGTATAATGGTTTTGTGAAAAAGTTCCGTTCAGAATTTATGGGAAGTATGCAATTTGCAAGCTCTCAACATTAAACAAATCTCATTATCGATCCAATTAAAAATTACACAATTTCTGTCTTAAAAGGTGTCATTTAAAAAAATTCTGCCAAAGTATTCCCATCTTAGGTTCTTTTCAAAGTGACAATAACTGAAAAAAGAAAAAAAAATACCTAAAAAGGATATTCAGAAATGAAACTTATTTTGAAATTCAACTTTTCTTTTTGTATATCCAACTCAAGTTTTTGACGTGGTTTGATAGTTCAACTTGAAAATAGAAAAAAATCAAAAAACCACATTTGAAACAGAACTCTAATCAATCGACTGTTATACCTCCTCGATTCATTGACCCTCATTCTACTTAAAAAACTTCTGAGAATTCATAAAAAGCCTTCAGAAAAGGAGAAAAGAACCGAAAATAGTGAACTGATCAATTGTTAAGAGAGAATTTTGGAAAAAAAAAGTGCGTCGCCATGTGTGTTGTGTGTGGGCCGTGAGTAAACACCGGGTGGTCTTCCAGCGGAAAAAAACCGTTGGACCAAAAATTCTTTGAATTGAAAAAAAAATTATAGAAAAGGTTAAAGGAAATCAAATTTTTTTCAAAGAAAAATAATTTTGTGTGAAAAAAAGTTTATAAAAGGGAATTTTTATCAGCATGAGAATTCCAGAATCAAAAAAAGTCCCTGTTATAAAAAAATAACTGAAAGAATTTTTTTGTAATTGACCTTTGTTTGGAATGTTTATATTCTAATTCTCACTTGTTTCTGACATTTTTTTCTCTTTTTCTCTGATATTGTTTCCGAAAAACTTTTCTCAACTCAGAAATTTTAAAAATTGCAAGAAATGAAAAAAAGAGCTTTCATAAAGAAAAAGTAGAAATGAGAAAAACTTCTTTTCGAAAAAAACCCCAGGAAAAAAAGTTGACTATTAGAAATTATTGAGTAGGTTTTTTTCTTTTTTTCTGAACGAAAAAAATGGGAACAAATGTAAATAAATATTATATAGAAAAAAAGTATTTTTTTCAAACTCGACAAGCTGTAAGTAGCCATCAATCAAGAGCTGTTTGTTACTTGAACTTTTTCTGGGTTTTTATTTTTTTGTCAAAGTTAATTATGAATATTCAAATTTCTTTCAAAGCTGTTCTCTTCATCTACCCCACGGTCTGAAGCCAGAGAATACATTCATTCGTAAAAAAAAAAGCAAAAGGTCAGCGCGATACCAGTTCCAAACGGGTGGGTTTCTGGGAAAAAAAAGTGTCCGCGAGCCCAAAAAACAACAAGAAATGGGTAGAAAAAGTTGAAGGAAAAGCGAAAAAGTGCGCGGCGATCGACCTCGGTCATACAAAAAGGGGCGGAGTCTCGTGCCTCCCACCCATTCTCAACAATTTCAATTCGACTCCCCGCGGCCATCCTCGTCGTTCGAATTTCTCCTCGTTTGCTGTGTCAAACTCTCACTTTGCGACTTCTACCGTACCTCACACAATACTCTTCCAACTTTTCCCCCACACAGATTATTTTCAGAGCAAAGTGCGAAGAACGAGCTTCTCCTTCGGACTACCGTAAGGCACTTCTTGTTCTCTGTTACAAGAGAAGAAGAAAAAAAAAGGAAGAACTAGCAAAGAAACTACAAACATTGAAAGGAACAAAAGAGTTTAGAGCAAATAGTTCCTAAAAGTGAAGAGAAAGAACAACTTTCTGAACTACAGTTCATAAATCCATGTGTGAAATCTAAATCATAAGTCTAGACAACTTGAAATATTCAAGATTAGCTAGACAGTATGCGAAACGAAGAGGTTTAGACTTCTCTTCATATTTTTTTGTTTTACCAAAGTACCTATGAATGAAAGTCAACAAGAGAGAGCTCATGTAGTTTTTTTAAATATCAAAAGTCCGAATAAACAATTTTTGTTGAATAAGATCGATTTTTGAATTTTGTGATACAAAAATCTCAAACTTATTTCAAAAATTTACTTTGAAAAATCTCTATGATTGGTTTTATGTAAACCATCCTCAAAAAAATTCTTCCATCGATGAAAAAATCGTATAACACTGCTTTTTGATTTAAAGTCTTCTGAATGACTTTTTTTCAGCTAATGAGTACCTTTACTGAGTAACCTTTCATGAATATTTCTTTCAGAATAAAGATCTGAGTTCAACTCATCTTTCATGGGCGTGGTTAACGATAATAACCTCTTATTTATTATGACGGAGAGAATAGAAAAACTATAGATTCATGAAAAATACAATAAGCAATGTTCATAAGCAATAACCTTAAAGATGAAATATTAAAAAAATTGAATCCGATTCCTAGGAAATTTTCATCTCTTTTTGTTTCATCCTTCCTCTTGAACCACCGGAAAACTGTCAATCGATACAGTATACAGTAGTCTTCCCTTCGATGAAAGGTCTCATCAAAGAATATAATCTTATCAAATTCCAGCCTTTCCCTGGTCCGATTTCCGAAGGAACGAATTGATTTTTCCCGACGAAAAATCGATAGGTAGAGGGTCCAACCGAACTGGCAACGCGATGACGAAAAAAAAACGAAGCCAGAAAAAAAGTGGCGATGGACGCGGGGAATTTGATGGAGGCGGCGCGACGGCCAAAAAATTGCTGAATGCAAAGGCAAACCATTTTTTGTCCCTTTCTTCGAGTCCTTACGACTTTCCTGCGCCTAATGACACTTAGTTGGTGATTAGGCCGTGGATCGAAAAAAAAAGAGAAAAAATCTGCGTCAATTCAGGGAGACTATTACAAGGATACAAGAACAGAAATTGTTCGCGATTTGAACTAAAGAATGGTATTCCATACCAACAAAGCTTGAAATTGATTCATTTGAACTTGAAAATAGGACACCGGGAAAAAAGAAAACAGCAAGAAATTGACTGTAAAAAAAGGCTGAGTGTTTCAAAAAACGATCAGCTTAGCAAGGGACCATATGAAAACTGCAAATTGGTTGCAACTTATTTTAGAGATCCGATTTCAAAAATGTAAAAAATCACTCAATGATGGTCAGTTCAAAATTAAGAAAAAAAAAAGAAAACGATTTGTTTAAATAATTATATGAATTCTCTCACACCCCGAACTCTAAATCCAAATTTTCCAAAAAATGTGCTTAGAAAATTTCAATTCGAAAGTTGCTTTGGCACGATCAAAAGAAACGAGTCTCTAAAGGGAGAATCGTCTTATTTGGACGCTAAAAATGGTCAAAAAAGTATGTCTCTTTCGTAAAGCTGCAAGCCTACTTAGAATTTCTAAAAACTGCAGAAACAAGGAAAAATTTACCTCTGAGACAAAGAAGTAGTCGAATCAGAAGTTAACGCCGTAAAGATAGTCTTCCAAAATCGGTCAAAAGATGAAGAGAATTAGGCCGAGAGAAAAAAAAAATGGGAAATTTAGGAAGAGTGGCCGAAAAACGGAACGGTACAGGGAGAAAAAAAACTGATGCTCTTTCTCCTCTCAAGGTGATGGAGGCCTCGGAAGGCGAAACCGCCAGGGTTACGGTAAGATCGCAGAGGTGCGCGCAAGACTTTGGACGCCTGCGTCGCCATTTTCTGCCGCAGAAGATTCCGGTTCTGTCGCCGTCGTCGCTGCATCGTCGACGTTACCAAGGTCCGATCCATGGGAAAAATCGACTTTTTCTGGGGTCTTATTTACAATTGTTTTGGAGGAATTATTGGAGTAGCCAGTGAAGTGTTGGAAAAAAATTAGATGGAAAAGTTATCCCAAAGGTAGAAAAAGAACAAAATAAGAACGATGCCAAGATCGCAATGAAAAAAACTGTAGTTCTTATTTTTTTTGAGTTTTTTTATATGTCACATTAACTGCTTAGAAGTCCAGAAAAAATCAATTCCTTCATAAAAAATGCCGTTCAAAGAAAATAAATTTGCTAGACTTTTGTTCGGGTTTTTTTGATATCCCCGAAAAGTTTACAAGTTTTCTTGTAACGAAAAAAAGAAAAATAAAAACTGTGGACCTTTTTTTTTCTTCATCATTTTCTTTCCATCCTTACGAGGCGTTGTGGAACCGGAGACGTCTTTTTGCGATGGGGAAAAAAAGAATCAGACAAACCTAGCCAAAAAATCAACTTTCCTTTATCAAAAGAGAACAGGTTTCCTGAAAAACATTGACTATCGTGAAACCTATTGGAAAGTAACCAGTTCAAAGTAATAAACTCCAGTTTCACTTCGTTTTTAATCATTTAAAAAAAAGTTTTCAAGTTCCATAAACAGAAACATCAACCTTCAAACATTAACAAAAACTAGAAAAAATTGTTTTTCGTTACTTTTTCTCTTGAATTATGATTTTAAAAAAATTGAATGGGCATAAAATCAGTTGAGGGCCCTTGACTTTCAAAAGCCTCTAAAAAGACTTTTTGAGTTAAGATAGAACCAATAAAAATGACAAAGGCGAAAAATCGATCTCAGGGTTACCTGAAGGTTGCTCATTGTATCATCGAAAGTTAGACAAACACAACAGAAGTCAGTCAGAGCCTTGAAAACTTACGAAATTCGAAAAAAAGACCAGGTGAGACTGAATTTCTCATCAGGTTGAAAAAAAAGGCCAAAAAAGCTCTTTTCAGACAAAAATGATTGAACTGAACTGGAACTGTAAAACTATTTTATTAAAAATTTTGAGAAAACCTGCAAGCCTTCCGTATAAATTTTTGAAAAAATTAACCGAAAATCGAAGCTCTTGGTTAAAAAAAATTGATCAGCCGAAAATCTTACAGAAATTTCCATTTTTTTAACAAAAAGAAAGTTGAACTATCTGATTAGTACCTCGAAAAAAGATTAATCAGAGCTAACAGACAAAAAAATTCTTCAATCTATTATTTATCGAGCTTCGAATTGTTAGGGATGAACTGTAGATCGCTTTTAAAAAAGTCACAAAAAACCTTTAAAAAATTAAAAAAAAGCTAAACCATCTCGAATAGAAGAAAAATGATTTAATCTCAATTAAATCAGTGAAAGTCCGCTCTATAGTCAAAAATTGTCTCTTGGTTAAACTTCGATGAAAACTTGAGAGAATTAAATCGAAGATAGGAAGCGAAAAAAAAACTCGTTGGACGCAACAGGAATCGCAACAAAGAAAAAAGAAGAAGTAGACTAGAGACCTCGCTGACTTCTGGAGCCGAACAATCGTCGACGTCGACGTGGACGTCTTCGTCGTCGACCTCCAGGGGCTCCTGATTCTCGACGCCGACCGAGTGCGACGTCGCCATCTTCCGACCTGCACTGACGACCCGACAGCGACTGGTCGTTTACGAAGTTATCATGCGAGGAAAAAAACGATGGGAGAAAAATGACTTGACATGGAGGCCTGTCCTTCTCGCATCGAGAAGTTATGTATCGGCCATTAATTTGTCAAGGTGTTCCACGATTTCTGAATCGTTTCGTCGCTGTAGAAAAGCTCGGATAATCCGGCTTGCTTCAGTTGAAGCTGATTGGGCGGAGTTGGGCGAATTTAGAGAGAAAGCATCGGAATAATCTAATCTTTACAAAACGTTATGAAAAATGTTGGGAAAAAAGTGTGAAGCTGGGCGAAGTGTTCATCTGTTTATAAAAGTGAGAGATTCCACTCTTCCAACAAAAATTTCTTGGGAAAAATCCGAAAAAATAAGCGGTGGAACCAACTAACTGTGATATCTTAGAATGGTTATTGATTGTCCCTGTTGAAGTTGAAAAATCAAAGAAGTCCAGTTATAAAAGGATTTAGTGAATTAGTTACTTCTTGATTGATGATTATTCGAACTGATTAGAAGTTTAAAAAGTTGTAAAAAGCTCTCGAAGTAGTTTCGGTCCTCGAAATATGGAAAAATTCTCTAATCATATCTTCTTTCTGACAATGAAGTTAGTGAAGCAATAGATTGCAAAATGTAGTCCAACTACTACCAAATCAATTGGACAATAAGATTTTATTGAACTTTGAAAAAAATCTTCAAAAAGTATACCAATTCATCTTATATCAACTTCAGAGCTTTTGAGAAAAAGATAAAAGATGCATAATCGACCAGGAACTTTATATTCTTACTTCAAGATGAGTGGGAACTTTCCGAAGAGCTGACTTCGTAAATCATATACTTATCGCGAGAAACTCAACCTTTTCTTTTTTTCCTATCCAAAAAAAGATGAAATTATATCGAATTACATCAATTTACAAAAAAGTATACCTACTGAAATGGTGGCTTGAATTTTGAAAAAGTATCAAACTATGACGTTCATCTGTATGAAAGTTAATTTGGAAGATTTGAAATTATTTTTTGAAGGTTTGAAGCTAAAGCCTTCCGTTACTGATTACTCTCACTTACCGTTCATGATTATCATGGATCTACCAGAAGTGAGATTGATAGTAGAAGAGGAAGAAGATTCAAAGAATCCGACGTCTGGATGAAGTCCGACGAGACTGTCTGCAGTGGTGGGACCGCCCTGGGAGTGAACTTTCCCCCAAAAAAAACCCCCCACCGCAAAAAAACTCGGTCAGTTCAGTTTTTTTCGTCTCTTTGCGATCACTTTTTGCGACTCTCAGGTGGTTTTTACGTGGAATGAGGCGAAAAAAACGACTGGATTGACCCATTTTTTGACCTATTTTATGTCGAATCCAGGCGTTTTTTCGAAGCCGAATGCGCCAGTTTTTTGTTCCTGCGTCTCTTTTCTCTCGCTTTTCGCGTTTTTTGTCCCTTTCCAACTGCACTTTTTTGGATAGCCTAGAAAAAGGGGCCGATTGATCATCTTTTTTTTTCTCGCCAAAAAAAAGTCTGGTATAAGAAGCGGCCAGTTTAGAGAAAAAAAATTCGCGTGTTCGACTCGAATCAGTTAGATTTCAACTTTATATTTTTAGCTCATTCTGAGATAGATCTTATGATCAAAAGACCGACTTTTAATACGCTCAAATCTTTATTTTTCGATGTTTGACACACGAAAATGGCCAAAAAATACCCTTTTAATGATTAATTTTGAGAAAAAAAAAAAAAAATTTCTCCTTTCTGCGTTTTTTTCATCGTCACTCTTGAAAAAAATTTCTCATTTAATGTTGAGCGAAGCCAGTAAAAAAGGAAATATTTTTTCTAAAAGTTATTTTGAAGAAACTTTTTACGACTTTCTGTCCTTATTCGAACTATGAAGTTTTAGCTAATTAGCGAGAAAACTTGGGATTTTATGACCTTTTGATGTTTCTTCACAGTAGTTTCAAAAAGATGGGCAAACTATCCAATAAAATGGAAAAAACCTGATTTTTCAGGCTCCTTTTCTTTCTCGGGAACACTTTTTTCTATTAGTTTCCTTGGAGGATAACATCTAACGGCGCAAAACACATTTCCTACTTTTATTTCTTTTCCTTTTGTTGAAATTTCAAACTTTATCTTTTTCGAAAGCTTCAAAAGCGATAAATTGCAATATTCCAACTAATCGAGCTGCAAAGTGATCCCTAGAATGAATTGCCAATCGGAAGGCGGAAGAAATTAATTGCCCCGAGGGGTCGGCAGCAGAGAGCGGAGACGCAGAGAAATGCAGAAAAAAAACGACTGCAGATAGATTCGAAAAAAAAAGTAGGTCGAGCAGGACTTTAGCCGAAAGAGGGATAATTTCCAGTCCAGTAATTGCAAGATAGGAGTTAATATTTCGTGTGTAGTTTGTTGAAGATTGAGTCGGAATGGAATGAAAAAACGTGAGAAGAGAAGGAAACCTACTGATTTGGTCTGTTGTTTAGGATAAAAGTTGTGTTCACAATCTACTTGGAACTATTTTATAATTTAATGAACTTCACTTGAGTCAAAAATGAGCGTTTCATTTCGCAAAATCCTTTGTAAACCGGACCAGATAAAATAAAAACTGTTTGGAAAATGAAAGTTTTGATGAAGTTTCAATACTTTATTGAAAGTTGACACGGAGAAAATCATTTCCGCAAGTCGAGGGCCAGCAAAACTTTCAAATTGCCATTGACTCGAAACTACTTCTGCACGAAGATATCGGCAAGTAGTGGCGTTGCAACGCGACCGCGCCGCTTTGAGCCATTCCAAGTGCGTCCAAGGTTTCGAACCACATCGGATGTAGTATATATTTCGTTTGAACTATCGTATCTCCCCTATTCGAAGTTGAGCTTATTCTCTCAAAAAAGCGAGTTCTCTCAAAACCTGAAGAGCCTCGCAGGGAAAAAAAGTTTCATTTCGTAAACATTAGGATCGTTTCATTTTCTGCTTTTTTTTTCGTGACAAAGTGCAAATCAATGGACTGACGTTCGTGCCTCCCAAGAACGAGGGAACGCGAGGCGCAGAACGGGTGGAAATTGTGGGCGGAGCCAATTGTTCACAGCGCGAAAAAAAAGAAAACGAGGAAAAAAAACGCGTCGAAGAACCGGAGGAACATTTCAAATGCAACTATTACTTTGCCCGAGCGTCAAGCTTTTTTTTTTGGTTTGGTTGCTTGGCGTCGGGGTCTACGGTAGCTAAACAGTACCTGAGTCAACAGGGAAAAACACGTGAGATGAGATACAGTCGTTTGGAACTCGAAAAGTTCCGGGGGATCCCAGTTCAGCTTCGGTAAATGAAAAAAGCTTGCAGGAAAAAATAAAATCTAATGAAAGAGACTGAAAAAACCAACTTTGATGCATTGATTGTAATCAAAATCTGGATTTTATTTGGGAATTTTTCAGAAAGAAAAAACAAAAAAATTATTTAATTTTTTTACCGGGGGATCCCAGTTTAGCTTCGATAAAAAGAGCCTTTTTTTCAGTATAAAACAAAAAAATTTTTTTTTAATTGAAAGGCGAAAAAATTAAGAAAAATTTTTGATACGGTTGTTAATTATCTTCGGATCGAAATAGCCTTCTTGAATATTTTTTTCATGTCTTCTACTGAACTTTTATCAAAAAAATCTTTAAATTTACTTTTTCTGGCCAGCCTAATAAGAAAAAATTAAAATACAAACAAAACCTTTTTTTCACGACTTTCTCGTGTGCTTTTTTTGTTGAAAAAAGAACAAAGATTCTGAAATCGAGATTTCTATTAGTGTTCCACAACTTCCATGGAAAAGTGAGTAAGTCCCGATTGAGATCATAAAAAGTTTGAAATCAAATCACTGCGCGCCATATTCCGAGAACACGATGAGTAATGGGAAACTATAAAAAGGTTAAGCTGAATCACCTGCCTTTCAATAAGAGAAGAAAAAGAAAGATTATGATTATGTGATAGTATTTGATAAGTCCTCAGAAATCACCGAGAAACGAGGAAAACTAACCGGATTGATGCCCGCAAAGGGGCTCTCTGCAAGCGCCGCAATCGTTGACGGCGCAATTTTGACGTCGGGGCTGATTTTCTTCTTTAAAATGAGCAACTTTTGTTTCGGGTCGAAAAGCATAGCACGCCGATAAGTTCAGACTTTGAACAGAAAAAAAAACAGTAAAAATGATGAATTCCGAATGTAACATTTGGAAATCCCCTGGAAAACTGCTTTTGAGAATCAAAAAATCTCAAAACAAATAAATCCACCTGTGAAAAAAGGGATTGCAGAGAATTGCTCAAAAACGACTCGCCTCGAGATTCAAAAGATCAAAGGGAGAAGAAGCAAGAGAAAAAGACACAGAAAAAAGTGGGAGAAGCTTAGTTTACTTATATAAGCTTTATTCACTAGTTCTTTGCAAAAAAAAAGTAGCGTTCCTGGAAATAATATGGGTTTTTTTATGGGTTCGTGGAATTCCCATAACACGCTGTATTATTCTATTTATGATCAAAAAAACTTGATTTCTTCAGAAAAAGGCTCAAATATTGGTTTGAGAAATCCAAAAAATCATTTTTTTGTTAGAAGCAGAACACAAGCCTAATTTGGATCAAGTTAAAAAAATTTAGAAAATATTTTTTGTAGAATATTGTGAATAGATAACTGAAATAAAAAAATTCAAAAAAATTTTATTTAACTTTAACTTTTTTTCATTTTCATTGAATCGGGCATTCTGAATTATTCAATGCCTTCTTAATTCAACTGCTGTATTTGCTATCAGTCTCAAATTAAATAAAAATTTAAAAAGGAAAAAAATATCATAATTTTTTTCTAATCACATTACGTAATGTACTTTTTTTGTAATACGTGTCGAAGTTTTTTTGACAAGTTTTCTCAGGATAATTACAAAAAAACGTTTGAAAATTTTTTTGAAAAAAAGCCATGGAGAGGAATTCTATTGAAGTAAATATACTAAAAATTTGATTTGTAACTGAAAAAAATTTTCTGTATTTTATTTTTCATTTCAAAAAAACTTGATCTGTCAAATAAATGTTATATTTTTTTACATCTGATAAAATACTAGATAAGCCTTCCGTCAAAAAAAAAAATACATAGTATAGTCACTGAACTTTTTTTCACTGTATGAAAACTTAGCAAACAATCGCATTTTGACACCTTGATCTCCATTATTTTTACAATGTGAAAAAGAAGAAAAAGAAGGAAAAAAGAAACGCAGGAAAAAAAGAAGAAGAAGAACGTAGTTCGCAGGTCTTTTGAAAGAAAAAGAAGACGGACAAAAGAAGTTGACGAAAGTCAGAGGAGAAAAAGTGCAAGCAAGCTAGGCGGGCTCGGATCGGAGCTTCGGAGCCACGGAGCAGAGAGGCAAAAGTGCGTTCGCCTTGGGGGAACCGAACGCCAGGGACGAGAAAAAAAAACGTCTGCGCCTGTGTGTTTCCTCACGGGTGGCTCTATCTCTTTCGTGTGTTCCTTTCCTTTCCGTTCGTTTCGACGAGGCAAAACGCCAAGGCCTGAGGGCCAGAGAAGAGGTCGCGCACGCTCTTTTCCATTCCAACTTCCCCCTAGTCCTAGCAATTGCCCGGTTCGACCTCATCGATGATTTGCGAGTTTCAAACACAATGCTTATCACGAATTTTCGAACATTCTTTTTTTTCAGGGAAACAACTCTGTTGTGGGGGGTTAGAGGTGAGAAAATGGAGGTCAAGTCGGCTTCCGACTTCGAAAACTCCTTTGAAAAATGAGTAGGAAACTCCCTTCAAGAAAAAATGAGTCAAAGAGACTTTAATTCAAAGGATCCATAATTTATAAACCATTCCTCCAAATCAACTAAACCGGTCCTAATTTCACTCTAATATAATTCTTGCTCAAGCTATGTATCTTTATTTGTAGTTCATTTTGTTTTATGTATCAGAGTGAAATAAATATTCAAATATTCAACTAATAAATCATTTTCATTCTCAGAAAAAGTTGGAGAGCCCTTGATTAATGGAAGAGAAGCCATTCGTGTTGGACAACTTTTTCTTCTGGCCACTCAAAAAATGACTGAGGTTTTCCCGGTTTCTTTCCATCGAGTATCCACTCGAAAACAATTAACCAGATTTTTTTCCTCGGCCTGCTTTTCCCAAAAAAAGCGGAAATTGAGATTCGCGCTGCAGCGAATTTGTACAAACTGAAAGAAAATGGGACTAGCAACTCACAAAATTCGAAAGAAAAACTGGTTGAATTCCGCTTCGGTGATTGCATTCCCAAAAGAAGCAAAACGATTTTTTTATTCCTCCAGGGATTTTTTTCTGATTGGGGTTCTTCAGAATTGAGGAAAAACGTCTTCATCATACTAAATTTCTCTGACTTCTTCTCAAAATCAGTCCACTCAGCGCAATTATCAGTAGAAAGTTCCTCGCGTGAGAATTCCCCACAAAAACGTGTGAGTTTCCCAATTTTCCATCTCTATTTCTCCGTTCTCTCTTCTCAATAAAAAGGTGAAAGGCGAAACCAACACCACAAAAAAAAGTTCAGCGTTCTTTTTTTTCATCGAACCAGGGAAAAAAGGTGCTCTCGACCCCTCTGTTGGAGTTGTGCGTTAGCGCAAACATCGTGTCATTTTTGGAAAAAAAAAAGAAAATGAAGATGTTCAAAATATAGACTCTGGTAAAGTGACACCGAGAGGCGAGGTTTTTTCTTCGCGCAAAAAACATTTGAGGACCATTAAAGTTCAGACAGACCAAAAAAGAACTTTTAAAAAATTTTAAAAGTAACTTTGTTAGAAATTTTTTTTAGATACATTGTTTGTAAAAAAGGCTCTTTTCGAAACCTCTTTTTATGAGATCGAATAATAATCGTTTTCCCACTTTTTAACTGAAAAAGTTGAGTGTTGAAAAATATAATCAAAAAAACGAAAGAAGTTTTTCTATGTCCACGCTTTCCAAAAATTTAGCAGTTCCCAATGGTAGGGAGAAAACGTAGCCTAGTGGCTGAGATTCATTTCTGGCGTCCACAAGGTCACTGGATCGAATCCTACCAAGGTTGGTCTACTTTTTTTTGACGACTTTGAGGGTACCACTGCTAAACCAAAGTGCTCCTATCAGCTTTTGAAAAATCTGGATTCTAATCTTCTTCGAGGTGAATTCAAGACTTCTATGCCGATTCTTTTGTTCCTCTTTGTAATTCCGACGCAATTCTTTTATGCGTGAAAATGCCCTATTTTCTGTTTGAATTGAAAAGCCGAAACTTCAAAAAAATGGAAGAAATCAAAGTCCACGAAGTGCCGGAATGGCAATGGAAGAAATCGGCTTCTCGTTAATTCTTTATAATGATGAAACTACAAAGTCGGGGGTCAAAGCACGAATGAGCAATAGAACGAGGAGGAATTCGCGGCCACAAAAAATGGCAGCGGAGAAACATTTCCGCCGTTCAGTCGCCGTCAATTGCATTGCATATCGCCCTCGGGGCAGCCCCGTTCTCTCAGAGGACCTCCCAAAAAGTAAAAAACATTAGAGGAAAGGCGAATGAGCGCCTAAAAACGCTTTTGCCAAAGGTCTTCCTGCTCTTTCCTGATAGAAGTAGACGTGTTCTGGGCAGGTGAACAGAAGGCTAGGATTTGATTTCTGAGCAACTCAGAACTTATACGAAACTGAAGTGAATAGATCTTCGGAAAGCTGCATTTCAGAGAAAAGTAAAAATTGTAAAATTGTCTGATTGTTGCTTTAAAATATAAACTGAAAATCAAAATGGCTCTATGAAGATAGTTTGTCCCGAAAATCCAAAAAAATATCGCCATTTTTCAAAAAGATATGGGAAGCTCCTTTTCGAGTACCTTCCCTCGGCGATTTTCTCTAAGATCTTCATGCCTTTTTGACCATCTTTAGCAGGTTTTTCTCATTAAAGCCTATTTGACGAATAGCCTTGTAACAACACATCTTTTGAAAATTGCGCAGTTCTTTTCCTTCCATAATCCTCAAAAAACTTTTCAGACTTTGCCAAAAAGAATATTTTTCCGAAAGACTCAAAAAACTCTAAACTTGGCCATTTTTAGCTCGCCTCTGAAGCTCACAAATAAAGATCTCTACTGCAAGTCGCCAAAATAAATGAATTGTGACTTTAGTTTGTTCAGAGAAAATCTCATCAAATTGAACTGATAATTGGATAAGTGCAACTCGTGGATGTTACGATAGTCTGGAACAAAAGATTCGTTTTGTTTTGTTTTTCTGACGTAAACTCTTGGGTCCAATGTCCTCCCAAATGAAGAGCAAGTTTTTAGAAATTCTAGATTAAGCGAAAACAACTAGGCAGTAGGATAAAGACTCCATATGACTGTTTCGTTTTATCTTGAGGATTTGAAAAAAGTTTCAAATGGCAAAAAAGACACTCGTGCTTCTGTACGTGATCTGCTGGCTTTAAGTTGAAGTCATTAGAAGAACTTTCTTCTTTTCTTTCCTTTTCAAAGAATTTTTTAAAAATCTCTCCATACACTGGCTGGAATCTCTTTTTCTTCATGCCGAGATCCCATTCGTGATTCAGGACTGACAAAATTCACAATAACAACACCAAAACAGCGAAAACATGCTTTCCTTTTTTTGAAACAAAAGTTTGCTTTTCGGGACAGGCAAAATTGACTTCAAGTCAAACTTTTGAAATCGTCTTCTAACTTCATTTTTTCTCTTTGGTTTCTCTTTCTGGTTTTTTCTTCTATTCAAAAGCTCCTCAAGACCAATTCGGACTTCACTTCGCGGAAAAAAAAAGTGAACTAGGATGTTGCGCAACTAACAGCGATACTTTTTTTCCCGGTTGCGCAATGAGAAACGAAAATTCGTGGGGCTCAATTAAAATATTCCCCATACTTCCGTAAAATTCATTCGTTCTTTTAAGATTTTTAACGGAATGACTGTTGCAAAAAAAAAAACGTACATTCATGTGGCCATTCCGTCCGAACTGCGAGAGCATGGGGTACGGTAGCAGGGAGTTGTTTTGGAAGGAGAACAGATCTGAAACACCAAAAATGGTCAAAAGGAAGTGTTCTCTTATGAGACATGTATTAATTTTTCAGTCGGAAGATCATTAGCGGAAATAATAAGCGGAAGAGTTAATATGCACCTGAAAGCTACTTTTTGAGGGAATGATTTTTTTTTCATATTGATGATCTTAATGTCGAACTACGGTAGCACATGCGCTTGGAACACTCATATCTTGTTTCGAAATTGAAAAAAGATTGAATGATTCAAAAATTTTCAAACTGAAACTTCGAATACATATACGAAATTTGATTTATTTTTTACGTTTGAGACATTTGACTTTCGGGATGATAAGATGGCAAACTAGGACCGTTTTCCATGAGTGTATTAAAATATCCAAATTTCTAGAGAGTCTGGAAACGAAGAACTCATTTATTCTTTACTCTCTACTGACCCGCATTATTGAAGTTGGCAAAGTCCGAGTTGAGGCTGGCATGCTGCAAAGCCATGTTGAGGTTGGTGATTGGCTGATGGGGCGAGGAGACGTCTCCACCGGCCGAAGTCGAACCTCCGGCGCCAATCTTCAAAGATTATCGAGCTATACGTTTTCTGAGAGAGTTTTTCAGAAAATCACCTCGTCCGAGTTGTTTCCGTGGCTGGCATCCGTGGTGTCGGTGCCGTCCGTCGACCGGGACTGCGACCGCGCTGCAAATAGTTTGAGTTTTACTCAAAATTCCAATTTCGAAATTTTCAAAGGTGTTTTCGGTAATTCAAAAATTCTTTTATTATTTATGATCTCGAAAAACATACAAAATTGGCTTTTCGGGAGCCGTTAAAAAAATTGGTCCTAAAAAGATTCTATGCACGAAATAACAAAATTCTGGAATTATTTGGAGAATTCAAAAGCCCTTGATCGAATGCAACAAGGAGGACCATATCAACAGAGGATGAACTGATCGAGTTTTTCTTTTCAATCTTTTAATTTGAACAAATCTTTAAAAAAAACCTACAAGGACCACTTGAGCTTTGGGATCTTAGGGGTCAAACACAAAATCCCTATGGATCACCTAAAATCTTTTGATTCGAGAAGAAGAAACCACCTAGTTCAAATTATTCCAATCAAAAGTTTTCAAATTTTCTTTCCCGAACTTTGCCCTTTTGTTCAAATCCTCCGTCAACCTTTGTTTGTTCATCCAGACACCGACCTCACACCAAGTTCGGTTCAAAACGCGACACGCCCCGAAATTCAAATCTGAGCGTCGCGAGGAACTTGAAACAATGGGGTGAAAAAGCCACGGACTGTTCTATCAAAAAGTAGACGACCGCACAAGGCGACAAGCAGGGCGGGCCGGCACGGCGATTCATACCGACCACGCTTTTTTTGAATCTTTTTCGAATTTCTTGGAGGTTCGAAAATTTCCGAGGAAAATGAGCGAGATGCGTTTGACTCTCTCAATTAATATAAACATTTGAATTTCGAGAGCAACTAAATTACCGTCTTTTTGAGTAGTCACTTAAGAAAACCAGAGTAGTTCCTATAAGGGTTCGTGGAAAACAGCCCATAAGAACTTTTTTTTTAATTTCACCTTCATAAGGAATGAACACTGCCCCCTATAGGGGTTTAGGGGTCTCTCAATTTTTTGTTCAACTTTGAAAATTAAAAAGACAATCTCGACTAATTTATCCTCTCTTGATATTTTCCATATCAATAATCGATCAGAACTTTTCCTATGAGGGTCCTACAGGGGAAGTTAAAGTGGCCCTAGAGAGAAACCTTCAGAGGCCCCTAAGGTTGTCCCTATAAGGACCACTCTGGAGTTCCTAGGCGAATGGTGTTTTTTTTAGAAAAAAGATGGATGTTATACAAAAAGATTACTAGTGTCGCTGTTGTTGAGCGTATTCGCGAAGAGATTGTTCAGATGCTGGCCTTCAGAAGGCGCGATCGGTTGTCCAAAGCTGACGTCTGCAAAATATTCTGATCGAGAAGCCCAAAATATTCTGTTTTGTATTGTTCTCAAACTATAATTCGTTAGATTCATCATGGATGCTAACTTCAAAAAGTGCTGAAAATTCATATTTTGGAGCAAGAAACAGAAAATCCTCTTTAGAAGATAATTGTACTGCCTCGAACTATTTTTTTTAAAAAAATTAGGAACTTTTGAAAATTATCCTGAGAATTCAAAAAAAGCTTCTTCCGAAATGCTCTTCTCGACTTTCATGATTTTTTTCTTATCAGAACTCATACTTTTTGCCTTCTAAAAAGTTTTTTTCAATCGAAAAAAATGTTTTTTTAAAGATGCTCGAAAAACTATTTAGGAAAAAAAGTTAGTTTTTGAAAAATGTCATCATTCTCAAAAAAAGAAAAAGAAAAAAAGTTACCAATCGCCGGCGTCTGCATGTCGAACAGCTTCACGTTGTTGAACTCTGGCGCATCAAACTACAACAAAGTCTGGGTTACTGTGGGTCGAGAGTGAGCCGCCGTCCGGGGAGGCTCATGAGTAAATGAACCGAGTGCGGCAAAGGACATCTGGGCCGAAGCTGCGACCGTAAAAAGCACCGGAGATGCTCCAGCTGTGGTCGTTTTTCCCATTTTACCCATGTTTATGGCATTTCACGGGATATCTCCATATCGGAATGACTGTCAGCCGCTCTTTGAAGCGCGAGAAAACTTTTTCGGAGTTGATAATAAGGTGGATCATCTTTGATGAACTTTTTTTAAACATTTTTTCAAATTTTTACAGCCTTCGGATTCAAAAAAATTAGGGTTCGAAAAAAATGCTTTGAAAGATTTTCAAGAAAAAAAGAAAAATAAATTCTCTGTACGACGTAACTTATGACGCAGAAAACTACAAACCCCGACGTTCTTTTTGAAAAAAACTGTCGAAAAAAACGATGAAAAACTTTTTGACTTTTTTGAAATTCTTTAGCTACCTAACCATTTCGAAAACAATTCTTCAGAACTTCCCATTGCAAATTAAATTCAAAAACTATATTTTACTCCTCAAAACTTCTTCGTAGCTCCATTTTTGAAGTTTGTTTTCCTTCAAAATTGAGGACCACTCGGACATTGGTCACACAAAATCTCTCATGGGAAATGGTTCAGGAGGACCAAAAAAAGTGGTGCATATTTTGAATCGTGGGTAACAGACCAGCGGAAGCGACGATTCAGCGACAAAAAAAAATGGTGGCTGGCACCGGAAAAAAGAAAATCGCACTCTCGACGCGAAACAAAGAAACCGTTCGAAAATCCCCCAAGGCAGACGTTTTTTCTTCTTTCTCTGCTTTCTATGATTCTCTCGATATCTCACATGAGGGTCCCAGGTAAAAAGTTTTTGAACTCGGTCAGGAGGCCAAAAAAAGAGTTTGGAAAAAATATTGTTACGATAAGAAAACTTGGTTTATAATTTGCCTTTTTTTCCTATTAGAATTCAATTAAAAATACAAAAAAAGTGAACCAAGGAATCAGAGAACTCGAATTCAAAGTCACAAAAAAATTGTTTTGCATATCAGTTAACTCGTAAGAAAAACGATTACCTTGATAAGGTCACTTGAAGTTTACTTTTCCAGTTTTATTCATCATTCAATTAAAAATTGAACTACACTGTGTTTCGGTTGTTATTGTTAATTCTCTCCATCACTAACCTCGAAATAAAAATAAAAAAATCGAGAAAAATAAGGGAATCGCAAAAAAGAGGCCATGTAGGAAAGCGGCAGCTTTTTCAAACAAAGATCCACAAAAAAATAATTTTTTTATTGATTTTTTTCGCTGGGATAAACTTCAAAAAAACAGCTCGCTCCTGTTGTCAAAGATCAACAAATTTCTTTAGAAATAAATTTGGAGTATAAAGAGTAAAAAAAAACCATTCTAATTTTTTGTAAAAGAAAGAAGTTGATAAAATCGACAAAAAACTTGACAACAAAATTTTGTTAAAAAAATTTTTCGTAGTATGATATAACGCGTTTGAGGAAATAGCTTCAATTATTGAAATTCCTCCGAAAAGAATTCTTTCTGATCTCAAGTTGTTATTCTTATTTCGCAACTGCGGACCTCCTTCCGAGTCGCCAGGTCTTACTCGAAATTTCAAAGAAAAAAATCTAGTAATTGATAAAAATTACCTTATCATGCTGATCATACATGAACTGATCCATCTGGAGCATAGCAGTTCGATTTCGGAGCTCAAAAGATTCCGTTGGAAGAAGCAACGCGACGAAAACGGCACGTGGATAAGTAAGAAAGGGGGCGGAGCGTCGGTCGGCAGAAGATTCTGTTGGCACCTGCCGACCGGACCAAGGGATCTCTTTAGGAGTTGTTTAAGGTGGGAAAACAAGAAAACGTCATCGAAAAGCTGAAAAAGATCACAGAGAAGGAAATGATTCTTCCAGGAATTTGAGTCCGAGCCGTTTCAGTGGCGAACGTGATGCTCAAAATAGGTCTTGTAGAAATTTCTCTGATGGCTGTTGATTGATGTTCATGCAAAAAATCCAGAAAACCAGCTTTCCGAAGAACAATGCTAGTTGATCTTATGAAATTTTGAGCTTCAAAAGTTGAATAAAAACTGAAAAAGTACTGAGGAGGAAAGTCGTTTCATTTGAAAAATGAGGATTTTCTGAAAATTAGACAAAAACTGTCCTGTGTACCTTATTTTAATATTCTAAAATATCGTGAAAACCTGGGCAAATCTCCCTTTTTAAGAGAAGAAATTTCGAACTTCCAACCCAAAAATCTGGAAATTTTTCACTGGAAAGCTTTTTCTTCATTTAAGGACCTCAATGGCTTTCCCTGGATGAATCAAAGATTTTTCGGCTGATTCGTTCAGAAACTGGCTGAAAATTACGTATGATTTTGAATTTTCGATGGTAAACCGTTTGGGAAGTTTAGATCTTACCAGAGACTGTAAGCTGGCTATTATAGTTTTCTAACAGAAAATGGCCGTTATTTCTAAATTCAAGAAATCCAAATCACAATAGAACAGAGGTTAGATCAACTACTTTCCTATAGTAAGTCCTAATAAATCAGATCTTGATCAACTCCATTAGTTTATCACGAAAAAAGAATAGCTGAAGTAGTTTCAGGCTTTCTTTCAAATTTAATGGAGCAGAATTCGAAGTGAGAACTAAATTGGAAACATTCTCTCCGACAATTGTTCCAGATTCCACGAAGAAACTGAGATTTTCTTCATTCGGCTGTGAAGCAAGCGAGAGAATGCTCAACTTCGATTTCCTTCCTCGAACTTTCATTCAATTATTGTAAATTTCATATGTAATTTATCGAGGCAGAGTTCTTGAAAAAAATAATTATGGAAAAAAACAATGTTAAATTGAATATTTTTTTCGAATTTGTTCGAAAAAAATCTTCGTCTTTTAAATAGGTCGCTACTGCAAATTTTTTTTATCCGCTCCTAATGATCTCAACCCGGATTCTCGATAACAAGTCAGGCGCCAGCTTAATTGATCCCTTGAATTCTCAGAAACGTCCGGCTTGAGCTACCGAATTCCTAGTAAAATCAAGAAAAAAGTGATATTTGGTGCACAAAAATATTCCAATTATTCATTTCGAGTCCTAAAAACTTTCTAATTTTAGAAAAAGTATAGTATCACATGAAGTTACTAATTGCCCTTTTTGAGTTGTTAGGCGTATCGATGGCTCTTTTGAAAGTCATAAGACATATGTCTGCATATGGTAATTGTCTAGACCACAAAATCACATCATTTTAAGACTTCCGAAGACTCCAAATAAGGGAAGATTTGCACTTGTTCAGGGCTTTTTCCTCAGACGTTCCTATCCGGTTGATTACCTTCGGAGTACACAAAAGTAGAGTGCATCAGCTGTCTTTGGAACGTTTACCGTAGCCGCGCTAACGATAATGGTCAGTGGAGCGCACATTTTGCACTTTCTTTAGACATTTTTGGAAGAGCGAACACCTATCCGATGAGATATCCCGTGAGTCATAAGCAGGAGCAGAGCCGCGTTTATTTGAATAAAATGAGAACTGACCTGCAAAACACGACAAGAGGATGGGCCGCTGTGCGAGGCTTCCGTGCCTTTGAGGCTTTTTTTTATCGAGGCCTTGGGCCTTTGAGATCAGAAAAAAGTTTCTCTTTTGAAGAGCCGGAGTTGGACTCCGTGGAATTGACGAAAAAGGAAAAAGCGGCTGGGAAAACCCGCCGACTTTCTCGCTTTCAGCGGATACCTGCAAGCATTGTTTAAGCATTTGAAGATAATATTGGAAAGAGCGAGTTGAAATAATGAATGTTAAAACTCGAAATGATGAAAAAGAACATGCAAAAGATTTTCAAAATATAGTTTAATTTAAATGAAACTACTCGCATTGTCAAATGCGTCCAGAAAAGTTCAAATGGGAGTGAATGAAATATAATATTCTTGAAAACTCTGAAAAAAAAATAGTAAAACCCGAAGATTTAAAGATGAAGCTGTGGAAGCTTTCAAGAAGATTGATAAGTTTAGAGACCGAAACTTCGCCCCAAAATCACATAAGATTATTCTTCATCTCATCCTCTTTACGAGCTTGTTAAAAACATAAAATAGTTCAAAAACAGACCTGAAAATGTAAGAAATATCTTCCAAGAGGTTGTTGTATGAAACGTTAGAGATTTTTGAAGCAAGACAAAATTTACAAAGTCTGATGGGATTGTAGTAAAAGGTCTTGTTTTGTAGGATATGAGGGACAATTTTTTGGAGATACAAAAGTACAGACTTTTCCTAGTACAAAAAAGAAAGAGAAGTGAGCAACGAGAATATGACTTGAACCCCGTCGAGGAAAACTTTGTAGGAACTATGAATCTTGAAGATAGATTGATCAAAAACTCACAACCTATCATTTCAGTGTTTCTTTGTACACATCTCCTTTCTCCACTGTAAAAATCGCAGAACCTAATCGAATCTGTTTGATTTCCACGGAAGTGTTCTTGGAACAAAAGATCGACCAAAACACAAAATTCAAGTTTTGTTTATCCATCTGTCTTTTGTGTTACTGCAGAGTTTCTCTGGGGTTATTAAGCGGCAAAAGATTTTCTAGTAGAAGCATAGAATAAGAAAGAAAAATGAGAAAATATATGTTGCTCAGAAAAAAAAGCTAGTGAAAATGACAAGGTGGGTGGTGTGATATTGATGCGGGCTGACGATTAAAGTAGGATAAAAAAAGGAGAGAAGCAGAAAAAAACAAGGTCGAGTGCAGAGAAAAAAAAGCATAAAAAAAGAGTATATCAAAAGAATTCATAGAGGCCATTCACTGTGATTAAAGATTATCCGAAACAAAAAGTCCAATTGAAAAAAATCTCAAAAAAAGTTTGGGTAAATGTTTTTTTCATATAAACTCTAATGATGGTGTTTCAAAAAAACTATTTAGTTGCTGAGAATTTTTTTTGAAAATATATAAAATGAGCTTCCGTCTTGTTTTTTTCTTTATTTCTAATTACAAAAAAATTGATTTTAAAAAATTCGTAAGAATTCAACATCTCAACTCAAATATTAATTAGCTATCATTTTATTTTAAAAAGCTTAACTTTAAAGATAGAAAAAAATATTGAAAAAAATTTTTTTCTTAGCTAATCAACTTCCCGAGGGCTTTCTGAACTTTTTCAGTGAATTATTACAGAATTAAAAAAATGAAACAATTTTTTTTTAACCTGTAAGTGATTGTCATAAACCTAACGATCACTTTGACTCAGAAAACTTACGCAAAAAATATTTGAAGTACTAAAATTTTTGTGAGTTTTGAAAACTAGAGCCTTATGTGAAAATTCAGATTAAACGTAGCTCTCCTCAGAAAAATCGGAGAAGGCGCCGGTTGAAAGGAAGGAACGCTACAAAGACGGTTCGACTTTTTAATAGTTTGACAAAAAAGTCGATGGAATAGTGAAGAATCTGGAGGTAAGAAAGTGGAGAAAAAGGGAAAAGTGACCCGTCGAGAAAACGGGGCGGCGGCTGAAAAAAACAGTCGACGGAGAGACTGGAGACAGTCGGGAAGCAACTTCTTTTTTTCCTACAATCTCGGATTGATCGGCTGCCGATTTGACAACGGGTTTGCAGTTGATATTGGCCAGTGGCTTCTGTTCTACGCGAAAATCTGCACGGCTTCTACAGTCGACCAAGCTAGAACCTCGAAGAAGTCGATGTAGGGACAGTACTGAAGAAAGGTCGACTGAAACGCACTGAAACAAGGTATAGAATCTATGAGCTGAAAGAAGAAGTTGAAACATTTTTTTATGATTTTTTTATTGCGTGTTCCCAACGTCCAATATGTCTCGGAGGCTTTCTTCAGGCTTACTAGTCTTCATTTAGAAATTTTAACTATAAGAATATTTTTTTATATTATACTGAAAGTCTTAAAAGTGCGGTAGACGTCAAGATAAAAAAAGTTCCATCTGAAGTTTTTTGGAGTGAAGCCTCCAGTTATTTCATGCTTCCGAAAGATCAAGTTGAAGCGGCGGAGAAGATGGTAGCGAAAGAGGTTTTCTTGAGGGAAAAATTGCGACCATTTTCAAAGAAAAACTGGAAAATATCAATGAAAAAAAGATCGACGGAAGGGCCTTCATAAATGACGTCACCCGTATATCTCCTTTTTGGCGGATTTGTTTTTGTTTGAACCTTATTTTTTTATTTTTGAACCGATTCATGGTTTTTTTTTATTCATTATTTTGGAATTCTTGAGTTTAAATTCTAATGTCTTCAATATATTACTTGCAAAAAAATACCTCTAATGGCTTCATAACTTCCGTCCCTAGCTTCATCAAGACCCTGATGCAGGTTAATTAGGCACTTTGCTGCCAACAGATCAATCGAAGATTTCCGAACAGAAAAAGAGCGCGTTTGCGCCCATCGATTCTTATCCAATCGTTTTTTGTTTCCAGAAAACTCGGGTGGGCATCTTGTTTCAGAAGGAAAGGTGACAAAACGTCGGGCGAAGAAATATCGGAAGACTTCGAGGCAAAAAAGAACGAGAATGGGCAAGTCCGAAACAACGGCACCACGGACCAAGTTGAGAACGGGAGCGAAAGGCAGAAACGGTAAAAAAAAATATTGCAGAAAACGATAGGTGATACTGTTCAAGTTTTGTGAAGTCAAGAAGAAAAGAAAAAATCGAAAAAAAACCGAATTAAGATTCTAAAAATATTAACCTGGAAGACTTTCTAGTTTTCCATTAAAAAAAACAAAAAAAATTTTTAATCGTAAAAACGCAGCGCAACCGCCACGCTCATTCACACCATTCTAATTAGGTTAAGAATGATTTTAATCGAAAAAGAAATTATTTGAAAAATTTATCTTGGCAGAGGAAGTAGAAATAATTAAAATGACAAAGAATCCGAAAAAACAGCAAAAAAATCCCATGAAATTTGGTCCGACGAGTTTTCAGGAGGAAAAAAAGAGAACGTGAGCGAACATCCTTACGGAGAGGCCGAAAAAACGTCGTCCGAGTGGTTTTCTCACACAAACAGTCCTTTTTGCTTCAAACCTGTCGCTCAAAATTCTAGCTTCGAATGAAAGAAAACAGTAAACAAAGCTTGGAAAGGTGAAAAAAGGAGACTTATAAAGTCTATCAAAGTTATTTCCAGTTATGTAAGTGAAAATTGAAAGCGAAGTTTAAAGAGCACTTGACTCTGGTTGGACAAATCAAGACCTCTACTGGGAAAAACTTCAGTGGTCCCTTGAGAGGTTCCTCAATGACTATTTGGAGGGGTCACTGTAGTAGTTCTCTTTTTAGTGGATACTTCTTGACTACTAAAGTGACCACTAAAACGTCAAAACCCTAACGTCGCCACTAAAAATTTCCCAGTGAATTAGAGCACGCATCACCTTATGAGTCATTTTCAAAATGGAATTTCGGATGATTTCAATGAAAATCATCGTTTTTTTAAACCTATCAACTTCGAAAAGCAAAAGCTTGAAGGTTTCCAGGCTTTGATTTGAAAAAAAAAGAGTCCCGAACGCGTCGCAAAAAAACCGCAAAAAATAACTGCTTACATTTTAGGTTTACTTCAATGACTTCATAAGTCTCTAATTAAAGATCAGAAAATTATAGAATCAAACTTGTTTTGAAGCTGTTTTTTCTATAATTCGAAACGCTTTTTCTTTCATAAATCATCTGGCCGCTTTGAGATCACGCGCCGGGTCACTTCTTTCCTTCAAGCAATGAAATGTGGCGCTCAAAACTTAACTATATTACATTACACATGGAGAAGAAAAAATCGAGGTTGAAAAGTGTAAAAAGGCGAAGTGGGATATATTCGTTTTTCGCGGCCAGATCTTTGGGAAAAAACGGCTGCGGCGGTTGGGCCGCAGGTCATTAATTTCGCCCCAGGGCTAGCGCCGAGTTGGTACGTTTCATTCAGGTGTTCCTTGCCGTCAAGAAGCTTTTTTCTGATGACAACGTTTCAGAAAAAATTGTTCCGGTTGACGTTTGAAGTCTAACTTTTTTCTGTTTCTTTTTTACAACCGTCGTTGTACTTCTACCGGCACAAAAAAGCACAGATGGGAGAATAACAACTACAAAAACGGACGGAAAGTGCGAACAGCTTCAAATAAAAAGAGAAATAAAAAAGAAAAGGACATATTTTCGCTCTACAAAGTTGGGGATAAAACCGACCTTTTTTCAGGATGGAGCTACTGTAAATGATGCAGTGATGCGTGAACACAAAGACATAGATCCAAAAATTTGCTAAAAAAATAAAAATTCAAAATTCAAAATTTTGTGACAAAACTTTTCAAAAAGTAGGCATATATGTCGACAATGATTTTGATTTTTAGTCTGCAGCTTCATTATATCTTCCAAAAGCTTAACTATAACTTACTTCACGAGATAAATAACCAGAATCAGATTGGAAATTCAGAGGAGGAAAGGCAAGCCATTTTAAACGCGGTCTTTGGCCATCAATGAAAACTTCACAGTATCAGATTCTCTCAGAAATATTTCGGAACAAAATAGAAAAAAATCGGAAAAATTGAGCCCAATTGTTTCGGAGAGGATTTGTTTCAGGACAGCGCGGAGCCTCATATTGGAGGCCACATGTGTAAGAGAGCTGTTATGAAAGTCACAAAAAATCGCAGCCTTCGGGCTCCGACACGACGATTATGCGCATCAAGCTGCCAGGATGTTCGACAAATAACCAAGAATTTAGCGATGGAGCGCGGATGTGAATGAAAAAATGGCCGAGGATTTCGATATAATTTCCCATAAGTTGTCTAGTTTTAAAATATCGGAGGGAAAAGAAAATTCGAGAATTGAAACCTCTGAATCGTAGAAACTACCACGTTCAAGTTACTTGGACAATCGCAAGAGCTTAGCGATGGAGCGCGGATGTCCGGAAGAAACGGCTATTTCTCGTTATGCGCATTTTGGAAGGGTATGAGACATTGCATTTGAAAGCTTTAAAAATTTTTTTGAAAACTAATTTCTATAAAAAAATGAAAATGAAAAATTGAGGTAAATTTCATCGAATTTCCAAAGACATAAAAATCAATGACAATATTTGAAAAAGAAAAAGAAATCGAAAAAAATTACTCGATAAAGGGGTACAAACATTGAATTTGAAAGCTCAGCCTTTCAGAAAAGATAATCTTTTCATAACTGAATTTGAAAAATGAAGTTGATTTTTTATTCATGAATTGTATACTCTCTGAGCTTTCCGAGCAGAACCAACAAAAAAAAAATCAGAAAAAGTTCTGCGATTTTCAAAAATGACTCTTCTGTTGCGCAAAAATACACGAGTAACAAGTTCAAAGTACAAGGATAGATCCTTTTTTGCTCTCAAATCTTTAACTTTTCTTATCCCCAGCTCTATATTTTTTAACAGTCAAATCAACTTCAATGAATCACTTCAAAGGCTTCATCGATTTGTTCAAATTTTTTCTGGACAATTTTTGAAGGGAGATAGAGAGGGAAAAGAGAGCGAGGAAGTTCTCAAGAGAGCGAGAGCTCAGGTGCGCCGAACAATAGGCGTCACAGCGGTTCGGAACGCTTTGTAGCCGGAAACTCTCACGCTAATTCTGGTTCTATCCGATGTAAATTATCTTATATATCAAGTGTAAAAACAAGCTTTTTCCTACGAGCAGTTTAATACACAACTTGCTCAAGTTCACAAACAATCCAATTAGGAGCTGATTAGAGGCGTATAAAACAATGAGTTCGAAGAAAGAATGGATAACAAAGCAGATAAGAGATCAATTTGTGACAAAGAGCTTTGAATTAAAAACATTCACTGTCACAATTGAAGATCGGCGCTGGTTGTGAGAGATCGAGAGGGTGTAGACAGGTCAGACAGTTTCAAACATTTATGATTGGATCATAGTTTGAAAAATTCAGAACTTCAGATTCCAATTAGAGCTCATTTAAAAAAAATCGTAAAAAATTAAAAAACGTTTTCAAAGAAGCAAACTTTACAAAAAATTGTGTAATAAAGTTCTTCAAAACCAAAATTCAGGAGAAAACATCTTTATTGTAATTATGCTTGTTGGTTTGAAAAAAAAACCGGAAAAAAATTACGAGTAGATCAAAAAAAGATCCGAAAAAGTTTAAAAAACAGCTGCTCAAACAAGAAAAGTTCCGCTGACTTTTTCCAAAGCATACAACAAACTTCGAAAAAACTTTCGAGTGAAAAAACATGTAAGACTTGCAAAAAGATGAAATCAAAAGGTCAAAAAGTAGAGTTGAAAGGGCGCCGTTGCAGCGCCAAAAACGGCCGTGGAACCACCGAGAGACGCGAAAAAGAAGGAAAAGAACGGGGGAACGAGAAAAATCGCCAATAAACAAACAAAAATTGGGAACGGTTCGCAACACTGGCGCCGCCGACTGGAAACTGTTCAGATCTCGAGCTGTCGACAAGCCAAGTGGTCCCTTTAGAGGCTTTTTGGAACAGTTTTTGGGGTTAGATCTTGTAAGGAAGGACCCTTGTACGAGAGCTTTCAAGATGTCCATCGAAATTCGTAAAAAACGGGCCTGGGAAATGATCTCTATCGGAAAATAGTCAAGAAAAAATATAATAATTCTTTTCACCCTTCCGGTTTACACATTTCACGCAAACCACAACGCGTCGCGGTCGCGAAGCGGTTCTTTTTTCTATTTTTTTCTGTCAAAACGCAGCGCGACCTCAACGCTTTGAGCCATTCCGTGTTTCTCGAGGTTTTTTTTTCAAGTAAATAAAAACCTAATGAAGCTAATTATTTTTTGTGAATAAACCTGTATTTCGGAGGTTTCAAAATTATAAAACGAGTTTTTCATAAGCATGTCACCCGAAATTTTTTTCTGAAACTACTTAAAATGTTTCTATAGCCATTCTGATATAAAAAAACACATGAGCTAAATAAACTTTGCAAGAAAAAGGTGAGAACAAAAGATACTTTACTCACCTAATTATTCCCACTGATGGAAGTTCATCACACTAACTAATTAGTTGGAGCTATCGCTTTACTTGGAATTTTCTTCTCATTATGGATATTTGTAAACAAGAAAAAACCCATTGAATCAAGAAACAATCGCTGCAAAGCCTGATACTGATATCTGAGAAGAAAATGAAAAATAATGCTTTTTGTGGGGGCCAAAAAATATTTGTAGGGACTTTTCTTTGGCAAAAGCTGTAGAAGCTGAGAAAAGCTCAAACTTTCCGACTCTCAAACTTGAGAATTTTCGAATTTTTTTCATTCTCAAAAAGTCGAACGGTAAAAAGAAACAGCCTTGAAACTTGTAGGCTTTTTCGAAGGTCGCAAAGCCGACGGAAAATGGGCGGAGTTGGCGGAA